AATGCACATGCTGAAGATGAATCCGATATAGACGAAGTTGAGGTGGATAATTCTGAACCTGAATTTAAAAGCAGTAGATTTGAAGATCCGGAAATGGAAAACTATGAAACTGAATCTACGTATGATGAAGACGAAGATCTTGAGGAAAATGATTCCGAATCCGTCACGGAGGTGGAAGATGACGAATCATCTGATGAAGATGAGTCTAGTTCTGATTTGGAAGACAATGCAGCCTATTTAGACTGGTTGGGAGAGGCAAAAGAAGCGATTGATGAGATGTGGAGTGAAAAACATGAAAAGTACATCAACGAGGGCATGAGTGAAGATCAGGACACGGAAAAGGCCAACAGAAAGACCCTGTGGGCAGTCAAGCGAATCTTTTTCAACAAATACAAAGATTTTTTGTCAAGTTACATACATCTGAAAGATAATGATACTCATCAAGAAATTGTGGACGAGATCGAAGACAGAGTCAATCATTCCGGTATTCTACTGCCCACGGCTGTCAGCCGGGTCATATCTAAACACCACGCCAAATTTGACGGCCTGTTCCATCAATTAGATGAAGATGACGTTAACGAGGAAGACAGTGACGATTAAAGACTAGTCAACGTTACATTAAGATCACTGATGATTTAATTGCAAAGAATACATTAAGAGTGTTTCATTGAGAAATGACGTCAATAAAGCAATGATGTTATCATGTATACACTTTCTGCAGTTGTATTTTTCTTTGTTGGTGTTGTCTTACAGTTAAACAATCGGGAAAGCCCTACTGTCAAGCAGTCATATAATTAGTGTTTGGACACGCCCTGTCAATAATCCCCGAAATGTTTACGGTCTTTAATGCTTCATGTATGGCTTTATCACGCACCGTGTCCAACTTTGGGACTTTGTTGGGGTAAAAAAAGTTAGTTGCCTTATGACACTCTAAATCTTCAATATAAAATAGAAGTACGTACTATTGCTTTAACACAAAAGACCTAGTTATATATATATCCTTGATTTTGTAAACAAGTCCGGCACGGTGGTACACTAGGGTTCGGTGCATTCCTGTACAGACAACGGTAAAGGGGTATTAAGGCTTGAAATCATGTTTAGTCAGTCAACTTCATTGACTTCTTTCACGTACAGATTTTTGAAGCTCCCGCACATGCCGTGCGCGCTGCCAATTAAGTCCCATTGTCCAATAAAGGGAGTCAGCGTTCACTACTGTTGCGTAACTCCTGGCAATCGATATTTAGAACGCTCAATAATCCATCCCCCACTGTACATGCAGGTAGGTTAAGTCGGTGAAAGATAATCGATATAATGAACACGTCTTGAAAGAATTACGTCTTTATGGATTAGGGAAACAGCGCTATCTGATCGGACGGTGTAAATATACAGTGTACATGTAGGATGCAGTCAGTCCCTTAATACAGATGTACGTGTACATACTGTACACACCGAGCCGACCCTGAAAGTTTGTATTTTCTACGACCACCGCACACAGATATACGTACATAGATGGTTCTGGCGGTAATGTGGAAGAATACAGTCGACTCTCGTTATAACAAGGTCGATGGGACTAGCCAAATTACCTCTTTATTACCTCTTCTTTGTTATGAAAGCAGAACCTCTTTATAAAAGTGCTCTTTATAATATAATGAGAGTCGACTGTATTGTGCAATTGTTATTGCACCTGGATAACACACACGATATGACAAGGCAAGTATCGGTGCAGAAGCACGGAGTTATTTATTTGCTCCATGATCGGTGCGGTCATCGAGGGGTGATCGACCATCGGTCTCCGTATAGATCTAGAACGCATGGATTCATTAGCTCTCTGATCTATTATTAACACAATTCCTCCATGGTTAAAACAATCATCGGACTATACCGTGCAAACTTTTTTAAAACTCGACTAGAAGAAACTCTTGTATGTCTGTACACGTACACGAACTTGTCCGTGTGGATTGCACAGTGGACTACCGGGATCAGTCATTCGCAACAAATCTTAAGGGTTGTTCCATTCTAGACGATGTTCGCCGTACTCGATAATAATTTACTAAAAGATAAATTCTTCAATTAGACAATCATAATTTTTTCTTTCTTTCTTTCTTTCTTTTGGAAGGGGGGAAGGGTAATGGTTTACTGCAGCAAAAAATTGTAAGCGTTATGATCAATACCGCAAAATCGACAGGCATTTAATAATCGTTCAATCGTGGCATTTTTATATTCGCGTCGTTTCCACTCTATAAGTGCGTTAAAACATTGCCCCCATTCACAAAATTTGTTTTCCTCTAAATGTCTATACATAGCGGCTCTTGATAGACCGAGATTCATCATTAACTTCTCCCAAGGTCGCTCGCACTCTCCATTCTTACCAGAGTAAAAAACATTTTTTCACAAGATTTCCAGCTAGTCGGCTTAATTGGCGCTCTGTTGGTGTGGCCTGCATTTTGTTTTTATTATTTACTGTTTGCACACTGCTTTGAATGAATACAAATGATAGTCTTGGTCATTTCAAACGTTTGACATTCATAATCCGGCTCAAGTCTCCCTTTGTCCGCTATTCCTGTTCAGGTCTTCCTCTGTCCGCTATTCCATCTAGCCGGGTGGGCTGCCCCCTTTGTCCAATACATTTTTTAGACCCATATCCTTTGTCCGGTAAACCTTACATACGCCCATGCGCTCTTTTATTATGCTAACATCATCCATCGATATGCTAATTGGTTTCATTGATATGCTAATGAGTCCATTGTCTTTGTGCATTATGCATAAAATTCTTTTTTCTGTCCGATGAAGACCCTACTCACTACTATTGTATTATTTGTTGTTGTTAACCTATTTTCTTGCAGGTTGATAATACAGGGTGGGAAAATACGAGGGTAGGCAAAAACGATGGTAGGCGGCATTGAAAATAATTTATTCGCGATTGAGGGGCGAATTAGAGAATAAGTATAATTACATCAGAGAGGTAACAAAGATGGTGTGTATGAGCTACAACCCACCAATGGTGTCTGCATGCATCATCGTGAAGAATGGAACAAAAGCTGTGCACCCATGCAGAGGGTTAACAATAAGTAAAGGTACACTGAAGCGCATAATGAGGGCCCAGGAGTAAGGCTTAATACACAGCTATCCATTGCTGAACAATGGATCGAATTCATCTCTTAGCTCAAAACATTAATAAGAATCCACACTTTTTGTTCCCTTGTAAACCGGACAATAGTTGCGAGAGGGACGTAGTTTAAGTCGGAGAAACACTCAAAAGGTGGAGATTCTTTGTCTGTCCGATGAAGACCCTACTCACTACTTACAATCCATTTGGGAAACACCGAACTTCGATGGCAAGCATTGCGCGGACACGGCTCAGGATGCGTCGCTATCTTGGAGACAGTTTAAGCTGTGTCGAGACAGAAATATCCGAACTCAAGGTCTTGAGTTTCCGTCTCTGTGCTGGTAGGATGAAAGTTGACTGCCAAGATAGGGAATCGTCTGCTAACGGCATTCTACTTCTACTGTATCTGTCAATATAATGAAGCTGGATAACAAGTGGCTTGATTAGAGGCATTCAATTGCAATATCAGTCATTAACAAATTTTCATGAAAATTTGACGTGCGTACTGCTTGCTGGGGAATTCGGTCAGTGACTTAAACACGCCTGTTCAACCACACCTTAATGTCACACTCCGCTGATTCCATTCAAATGTAAATTCTCGCTTTGGCTAACCCAATGAAAATATATATGTATGTTAGTGTTCCAGCTACGCACATACACTTAATTAAAAAAAAAAAATCTAAAATGCTATCGATGCGAGCGTACGGGATGGAGGATTTATAACACCAACCAAAGGAAGTTTGTATTGCGAGCAGCTTGTTTGTGAAACACTTTGCCCACTGAGATGAAGACCGCTTACCTTGATATTGTTACATGGAGTACAAATCGAAATATCTCAGTCACCACAGGAATTGTCTTGTTTGGAAATTACATAACATTAGAAAATCATCTGAGAAGTATTGATAACTGAATTTGATTATTCAGTTATGTATCTATTCTCTATAATTGTCAACGAACGGTCCCTTTTGTTCTATTTTTTTACGGGCCATTACTTAAATAACAAAGGAAGAGTTATAATAAAACTGTAAGTAAATGGGTTAAGACTAGATATTAACACACAAAAATTGAAAGCGAAAACGCGAAATTCAGTAACAATTGTTACAAAGCTAATTTTAAAAATTAAAGAAAAAACAAAGACAAACAAAAAAATATAATTTTCAGTTTTTACATTAAAATATAAATAATACATGTAAGTAAACGAATAAGAATTAAAAATACTGGAAACTAAAAATAAAATTAAAATAAAACTAAAAAGGGAGAGTATTTTATACTATTTCACTTTGAATCCATAATCGTCACCGAATTTTTTTTTACAATATCAGAGCGGCAAATTGAAAAAGGCAAAGAGAACATTCAATTGTGTAGACACAATTCAAGAAATAACCGAAATGCTCACAGGCAATATTAACATAGTACGCCGTTAAAAAAGCCTTCAATTGAGACGAAAACTTATTACTCTGTAAATTATGCAGTTTTCGGAGAGGTATAAAGTAGCAGCTTTAGCTGCATTTTGTTCAAAGTTCTTTGAATTCTCTGTTTTTGTCACGGCAAGCACGAAGATACATTATTACTTTACATGTACTGTAAAATATTCCTTAAATCTAAAGCGAAAATTTGTGTTGTTATTAATGTCAGGAACCTTATTTTCAAAATGCCCAAAACTTGATCATTTTACAAACCGTTACTCTTCCAATTTATGCATGGAACTGCTTGCAGGGGCCATTCACAACAAAGCCTGTAGATTCCCAACTTATCTTCAGATGACTGTGCAATTTTAAGAATGTACAGTTAACTGCACAATTTTATTCTATTCTTATAAATAATCTTTATTGAATAGAGTGACGTCACAAAAGTAGTTTACGCAGTGCCCAACCATATGTGTGGATATCACGACTACAGTGACCGTGCAGAGGAAAAGTGTTTCCCATTTAGTTGACCGCTAGGTTCACACGCAACCAGTTGGCCGGGCTTGTGGCAGGGGTTGCTGGAAGGACCTGTTGAACTTCCTTTGCCATAAGCTGTTGCGATAATTCTGTTGGGACATAAACATCGTCTTAGGAGCTAAGATGGCTCGTGTTGTGGTATGGTTCACGGTTCTCTCCTTAATGCTGATGGCCGCTCACGGGCAGCAGCAGGGCATACTGAACAAGTTGAGAGAGTCTCGTCAAGATGGTGCGCCTCAGGCTTGGAAAAAGCTGAGGATTTCATCGCCTCAAGGTGGGTGGAATTATGAAGATGAATCTCTCTTCTTACGGATTATGAGGTATAAGTGAAACCACAGACAAATTCGCCGTTTTTAATACCCCTGCAACATGTGACCCTCCAGCACAGAACTAGTCGGAAGTTGCACAGTCATTACTACAGCCTGTAAATTGTACTTGTAGTACATCGTACAGGCAAAAAATTAAATTAAAAAAAAAATCGTATTTAAGTGTCAGAAGCTTGAATAATGGATATACTCTATTTCACTTTCAAGGACGTTTATCTGTAAGTTTCCTACCGTAAGTACATCAAAACTTGATTTTTGTGAGGTGCAGCTAATTCCATGACAAATTCGCTTGGAAATATTCAAAAACATCAAAACAACCGAATAGTAGGTATTTTCATATTCCTATAATTGTATGTATCGGTGGAAAGCTTGATATTCAATGTCCTTTGATCCCAAAAGCCCTCTTTTCAAATATTGGTTCGCGTGACTGGTTTAGTGCTGGAGGGTCACATAAGAATCTAGAGCTCGGTTGTACTTTTATTCTCGGCTTCTGAGAACGATTTTTTTTTTGGAAGAGCTTTATCTTGGGCGGGGCGCAAATTATTCTTTTCCAAACGCGATCCGACAATATCGAAAGGGGGTGCTCTCTCATTCTGCATGTCCAGGGCTTTAGAGAATAAGTGGTCTAACAAGAAATAATAGTTTCACCGACGGTTGGCAGCTGATTCGTGGACTGGTTCAATGGCAGTAGTCCTGATTTCTAATCAGGTGATCCGAGTTCGAATCCCAGCGAGAGTTTTACACTTCTTCGCATTTTACCTTTAGAATAAATGGGGAAGGAACATTTCTTACAAGACGAAAAGCCTAACTTGGGTTTGTGTTTTGGAGAACAGGGCATTACATAATATGCATTTAATACACCAATCAGAGAAGGGAAATAGATGTCGTTTGGACAAAAAAAATCGCGGACGGGGCAGGATTTAGTTGGTCTGAAAATTTCGAAGTTGCGCACTATTCTTTAGGCCAGCTCCAGACGCGCGGGACAGTCAGCTCGGTGAAAGTTGAATAAATGTTAATAAGTCAACGGAAGACGTTTTGGAAAGAATGTTGCATCCTGACGCCATATTTTTCATCACATGTTATCTCAATGATGGCCAGTCATTGCAAAAATGTTGAAAAGACATGAATCTGGGACTGAGGCACATTTCGTATTTTGTTAGAAAATACTTTGAAAATGCACTCGAGTCTCCATTGACGTTGTACACAACCAAAGAAGTGGCGTCAGGATACTACATTCTTTCCCATGATAATTCCCTGATGTCCATAACGACCAGCATTTTTACATCGTTTCCCAGCTTCCATGAACACAAGGTCCCGGTGTAACAATAGTTCCTATAAAATATACACACCCCCAATTCCGTCCATTTCTTAAAAATTACAGCAGTAAATGTTGTATAATTACCTTTAATTAAATATCGACTGACTTGTCTCATGAATTTATATCTTGTTTGGATGCATGACAAACTGCAGACAATCCTAAATATCTGGAAATGTAATTTTAATTGAATGTAAATATTCTTGGTTCTGAAGATTTTCTCTGAAAATGATTGCCTTAATTGACAGTTAATTATTGGGGGGGGGGGGTTGTTACTTCCATACAACACCTAATTATTTCGTTGGTATGAGCACTTCGAAGTTTGCGCGCTTGTCCTTAGACCAACTCCAGACTGAGACCTTGAGTGAAAAAAGAAAACATGCAAAACAAAATCAGGCCATCCTCATCACCCTTTAGCCAACAAAATGCTCCAAAATGTTCACGAGGCAAAGACAAGCTCCCCAGTATTTCACCAGCCACTAAGTTTTGAGGTTAAGGGCCCTGGAAAATGTTGGACCCTAGACACTCTGTGGTGCGATCTGAGGCAATTTCTGACCACCTTAACCACTTTTGTTTTAGCAAAAGATCATCTTTTAAACATAATTTTCGAGTTTGGAGTCATTGAATCAGCTATTCTAAGCCATAGAATCATTATGTAGGCTACAATAAAAAAGTGTGTGTGTGTGTGTGTGGGGAGGGGGGGGGGGGGGTCGGGGGGGGGGGGGTGGGGTGGGGGGGGGTGGGGACACAAACGATATGATATCCACCACTTCAAGAAGTTTGTCTGTGTGTGCGTGTGTGTGTGTGTGTGGGGGGGGGGGGGGGGGACTTGCCCCCATTCCCCACCGATTGACGCCCATGGGAGCTTAATATAGAGCTATAATGACGAAATCCTGTTTCGCGATAAAAAGGTTGTGCATGATTGTTTCCCACTGTTTTCTCGAGAAGTGCAATATCCAACTGGGTTGAAAATTCAACAGGCTAGGTTTTGAACATTCTTCTGTTGATTTTGAGTAGTGTTATTATTGGAAACAGCAAAATGCATGAACAGCAAATGATATATGCCGTGCATTTATGCGTTGTTTAGGCTGTGCAGTTGGTGACAGCTATTCTATGACGATTGTAATCGTAGTTTCCTTAACATTTTCAATTCCTACCGTGCGAGGAGCAAAATTATTGTAAAACTTGTATTTCTCATTGTCGACAGCGTACCAATATTCTGCAGGTTTGAATAGGTTCCACATTTCCACCCGCCATTTTTTTTTTTTTACCTTTTCTTGTACGATTGTTTGGTTCGTTATACGAAAATTGAAATGGGTCTTTCAAGATCAACCTTTAGAGTATAGATTCATTGTCATACACGGGGTCAGACGAAGTATGGGATCGCCGTCATAAAGAGTTCATGGAGGGGAACAAATAACAAAATACATGTGGACTCAATGGAACTCCTTCACTAGTAAAAAGGAGAACAGTTGGGCCGTTGGAAATATCACTCCAGGGTTCCAAAATAAATATTTGTTGAAACTAGGAGCCATTGAAGAGATTAGCCCTGGCCCGGTGGCCTTTGCAGGACTGTCGTCACACAGTCCTGCACAAACGAAAATGAAAATAAATTACCAGAAAGCACTGAGAGATCGCAAACCTCCGCCAAGGCTAAACAATTCCCCGCCAAAAATGAACTACCCGCGTAAATGGCGAAGGATCCTTTAAAAAAAATCCTGGATCCCGACCCAGATCCGGATCACTTCCAAAATATAATCGATTTGCACTTGAACCAAGAACCACCCCTTAATTCCCCCCCCCAGCAAATCCATCCATAACTGTTTGAGTTTTCTTGTTAACAGAGAAACCAACCAACCAACTAACCAAATCTGATGAAAACATAATATAACCTCCTTAATTGGCGGAGGTAATAAATCAAACGGGAAATTGTCCGCCTCGCGTTATTACTTTTGAGGCCGCCAATCATTTTCTCAATACATGTATAGACCAAACTATGGTAGGCCCAACAATGCAAAAATGAACAATAATAATTATTAATGATTACAAAAATATGATTGGAATATATTATTTGGCCACAGAATTTTTTTGGGGATGGAGGGAACTATTTTGACGTTGGTGGCGCCATTACACCCCTTTTATACTATAACCACGATCAAATATATATACATGTATAACCACGGTCAAATATATATACATGTATAACCACGGTCAAATAAAAAAAAAAAATGACCCCCGCCAAAAAAATGACAACCCCCCCCCCCATCCCTTATGATAACATGTTTGGTCCTAAATCAAGTCTTCATGCGAGAGACGAAAGTGGATTCTTTTCATTATCATGTTATCACTATAGTATTCTACGAACTTTTAGTCAGTCTGCAGAATCAACGGAATAAACTATTGTGCAATCTGGGCCTCCTTACCATTAGTCTTTGTAATAGACCACGGCGAGTAATTATCGGGGACCAGGCCCCAAGCCAGTTTTAAACATACTTGTTTAATACCAGCCAAGCACATACTGTACCTTTCGGTCAAAGAGTCAAAACAATGCCGTGGTCTATTACGCGTGAACAGATTTGCTGATTAATTACGCAAGACCCCGCCTCTTGACCTACTAGATTTTGACCAATCAGCGTGGGCGCTATCCATAGGCCTATCGGGTCTTCGGTCATTCACCCGTTGCGCGTCATAGACATGGATAAAAAAAAAAATTGTCACGGCGTGCGCGCTCTGAATCATGTTACGCGCTCCCGGCTATTACAAAACACTGTATTCGAATTGACCAATCACAGTTTGAGTACTGATTTGGGAATGAAATGACGTCACGATTTAGTAAAGTCGAATCCGATTGGCTGGCGCGCGGCTTGCATAAATTTGCATGTCAGGAGATATCGGACGTTCTCCAGGATTTGGTTCCGTGGATAACGATGATACTCAGACTATCTTACTATAGGCTAGCCAAACATTTTGCGGGATGGGGCAGTGGGGGGTGTTACCCCCATAACGCCTAAATGAATGGCATGAATCCAGCGCGTTGTCCAGGGAGTATACAGCACGGTTTGAAGGGAAGTAGTGGGAATTACTGGTCCCTCGGTGTAGGTCAGCTTGACTACCTCCCGACGCCAAGCGGAGGGAGGTAGTCAAGCAGACCTACACCGAGGGACCAGTAATTCCAAATATTTTCCAGAAATAAACCATGCTGTATTTGTTTTACTACACCTCACTGTCTTTTTAGTAGCCTCACTGTCTTTTTAGTAGCCTCATTGCCTTGTCCGTAACGGCCTTCGTTTGCTGCTCAGCACATTTCAAGTTCTTCATCACATAGTCTGGTGCCAACACTCTTTAATGTGTCTTTACTGCAGTAGTAAGAAGGTTTACAACAACAGACTGGTTCCGTAAAGATTACATGCTATAGACTGCATGTCTACGAGGTGGGTTCCAGAGGGAATTTTTGGTGCTACCAGAAAAAACGACCGCACGGCAGCGAGCTGGATACTCACCGGGATGACGTCACGTGGGCGCGTATTATTTTTACTTCTCGGACGCACGGCGGAATCGGCCAATGACGCGCTCTAATTTGATCATGAATATTTATGAGGTGTAGTAAAAGCCATTCTGATTCAATTGAAAAGAATTTTATGTGCGCTTTGGGGCCAGCTGTACAAGTTGGTATTTCGTTAAGAACAGAAATCCGCTATACTCCTGTGTATAAATTATTGAAAGAGTTGTGTTTCTCCCTCTTTTTCTTCAAGGAGTTGCACCCCGGACGCCCCTGAAAGCTTTCCAATTAGTCACAAATGACGTCATCACAGGCCGAAGATGGAAGGGCCTACCCAGAGAATTCACACAAGCCAAGAATTCGATGCAGGACAAGGATACCTACCAAATGGTCTACGTTGAGCAAGAGCGTCCTCAATCCTTCCGTCAGGATCCAAAGAACAGTTTTCTGGTTTCAAATGAGATCGGACATGATTTCAAGCAAGCATCCCAAGTCCGAATCACTGGACCTGACTCCGGAGCAAATCTGCCCGATAACGCGCTGGAGCAAACTCGAGTTGGCGGATCTGAACCGGAGCTCAGTAACGAAGTGGTAAATCACATTCGACATGAGGATCCCGGGACTGGCCATACTGATGCAGTGGTTTCTGACCACACTCAGGATGAAAAATCTGGCCCTGATCTTGGTAATGGCCCCCTCAAGGATGATGGATCCGGGTCGGGCCTCGGTGATACTCCAGTTTCTGACCTCTATAGGGATGATGGATCCGGGTCTGGCCTTGGTAATGCACTAGTCTCTGACCTCTATAAGGATCAAGGATCCGGATCTGGCCTCGGTAATGTACTAGTTTCTGACCTCTATAAGGATGAGGGATCTGGGTCAGGCATTGGTAATGCGCTAGTCTCTGACCTCTATAAGGATCAAGGATCCGGGTCTGGCCTCAGTAATGCACTAGTATCTGACCGCTATGAGGATAAGGGATCTGGGTCGGGCCTTGGTAATTCACTGGTTTCTGATCCCTATAAGGGTCAGGGATCCGGATCTGGCCTCGGTAATGCACTAGTTTCTGACCTCTATAAGGATGAGGGATCTGGGTCGGGCCTTGGTAATTCACTGGTTTCTGATCCCTATAAGGGTCAGGGATCCGGATCTGGCCTAGGTAATACACTAATTTCTGACCTCTATAAGGATGAGGGATCTGGGTCGGGCCTTGGTAATTCACTGGTTTCTGACCCCTATAAGGGTCAGGGATCCGGATCTGGCCTTGGTAAGGCACTAGTTTCTGACCTCTATAAGGATCAGGGATCCGGGTCTGGCCTCGGTAATGCACTAGTTTCTGACCTCTATAAGGATGAGGGATCTGGGTCGGGCGTTGGTAATTCACTGGTTTCTGACCCCTATAAGGGTCAGGGATCCGGATCTGGCCTCGGTAATGCACTAGTTTCTGACCTCTATAAGGATGAGGGATCTGGGTCGGGCCTTGGTAATTCACTGGTTTCTGACCCCTATAAGGGTCAGGGATCCGGATCTGGCCTCGGTAATGCACTGGTTTCTGACCACTATAAGGATGAGGGATCTGGGTCGGGCCTCGGTAATTCACTGGTTTCTGACCCCTATAAGGATCAGGGATCCGGATCTTTCCTCGGTAAGGTACTAGTTTCTGACCACTATAAGGATGAGGGATCTGGGTCGGGCCTTGGTAATTCACTGGTTTCTGACCCCTATAAGGGTCAGGGATCCGGATCTGGCCTAGGTAATGCACTAATTTCTGACCTCTATAAGGATGAGGGATCTGGGTCGGGCCTTGGTAATTCACTGGTTTCTGACCCCTATAAGGGTCAGGGATCCGGATCTGGCCTTGGTAAGGCACTAGTTTCTGACCTCTATAAGGATCAGGGATCCGGGTCTGGCCTCGGTAATGCACTAGTTTCTGCCCTCTATAAGGATGAGGGATCTGGGTCGGGCGTTGGTAATTCACTGGTTTCTGACCCCTATAAGGGTCAGGGATCCGGATCTGGCCTCGGTAATGCACTAGTTTCTGACCTCTATAAGGATGAGGGATCTGGGTCGGGCCTTGGTAATTCACTGGTTTCTGACCCCTATAAGGGTCAGGGATCCGGATCTGGCCTCGGTAATGCACTGGTTTCTGACCACTATAAGGATGAGGGATCTGGGTCGGGCCTCGGTAATTCACTGGTTTCTGACCCCCATAAGGATCAGGGATCCGGATCTTTCCTCGGTAAGGTACTAGTTTCTGACCACTATAAGGATGAGGGATCTGGGTCGGGCCTTGGTAATTCACTGGTTTCTGACCCCTATAAGAATCAGGGATCCGGATCTGGCCTTGGTAAGGCACTAGTTTCTGACCTCTATAAGGATCAGGGATCCGGGTCTGGCCTCGTTAATGCACTAGTTTCTGACCTCTATAAGGATGAGGGATCTGGGTCGGGCCTTGGTAATTCACTAGTTCCTGACCTCTATAAGGATCAGGGATCCGGTTCTGGCCTCGGTAATGCACTAGTTTCTGACCCCTATAAGGATCAAGGATCCGGGTCTGGCCTCGGTAATGCACTAGTTCCTGACCTCTTTGAGGATGAGGAATCTGGGTCGGGCCTTGGTAATTCACTGGTTTCTGATCCCTATAAGGATCAGGGATCCGGATCTGGCCTTGGTAATGCTCTGGGTCCTGACCACTATAACTCTGATGGATCTGGCTTTGGCCTGAGTAATACTGTGGTGTCTGACCACGATCAGGTTGATGGATCTGGATCAGGCTTCGGCAATTAAGAGATCTCCGAGTATAGTCGAGTTGATGGAAATGAACAAGAAAACAAAAGATGTGTTTTCCTATTTTATGAAAGTTTCCTGTTTGGTGGAGGTTACTTAATATTTTTCACTTTCTTTCAGTCTTCTAAAGAAATCTATCCAATGAAGTACTTGTATCTAAAAGATGAAAGGTAGAATAGTAAGTCACTGAGTATAAATTACTGCAGCTGTATTATTTGTGTTTTCCTAATAATGCCATAATTAATAAAAAAGAACGTTCTCCAATAGTTTTACTTTGTAACTTCTCTACAGGCATGCGCCTACTTCGCCGTTTAATGGTTAATTGTCCGATTTTGGCGGCAGATTTTATGCACTCTATATACTGTATGTTAATAATATCGAAGGAACACTTTTTGCGGGTCATGGAACACCCACCTCTATCTTTTATAATAGTTTATATTTTCGATTAATACATTTTTTTTATATGACTTTATTTATAGTTTATTGAGAAATTAGTTCTTCAGATAAGATTTTTCTTTAACGATGGGAGAAGCAGCTTTTTTAAGTTTCGAATGTTCGACTTGACATGAAATTAGATGACTTTTATTGGTACGCAGTTTGCTACCAAAACCATTCTTTTTGGTTGGCAATTTTAATAGCCATACTTTCGGGAAACGTTGAATTTATATTATTTTTTTGAGGGTCAACGCTTGTTGTTTTTGGTTGCTCACACGATTTCCAATAACAGTGTCACGTGCGACTGCCTGTCTTTGGAGAACCAGTGTGAAGATCAATTGCAATTAAACTTGTCATTTCCTTATTTCGGATGTAAAATCTAGTATATCATAATAATAATAATAACAGGTTCTTATATAGCGCTTTTAACTAAGATCAAAGCGCTTTACATTATTATTACCCCCTAATCATTGTCCGATTTTGGCGGCAGATTTTATGCACTCTATATACTGTATGTTAATAATATCGAAGGAACACTTTTTGCGGGTCATGGAACACCCACCTCTATCTTTTATAATAGTTTATATTTTCGATTAATACATTTTTTTTATATGACTTCATTTATAGTTTATTGAGAAATTTGTTCTTCAGATAAGATTTTTCTTTAACGATTTTAAATTTTAATTGCCATACTTTCGGGAAACGTTGAATTTATATATTTGTTGAGGGTCAAAGCTTGTTGTTTTTAGTTGCTCACACAATTTCCAATAACAGTGTCACGTGCGATTGCCTGTCTTTGGAGAACCAGTGTGAAGATCAATTGCAATTAAACTTGTCATTGCCTTATTTCGGATGAAAAATCTAGTATATCATAGCAACGTCAGCGCTTTTTACCTGGATGGGATTTTTTTTTTAACACTTTTGTTCATTTCTTGACAGCCCCTGCGTACATTTTAGATTGTATCCTTAAACTTCGTGTCTAAAGATCTAACCATTCAATTAAATTAAACATATTCGTCACAAATGACAAAACTGGAACAAATCACTACAAATTTGCAACAAAAAACAGGTACCTTCCCACAGAAAATCGTATAATCAGCGCTACTGATAGATTACCAGTCCTTTCAAGTAACATCATTTCTGAAACGGAGGAAAACTGGTCACAGAATGTTGAAAGACCGATGAAAATCCCAAAGGCGAAAAAAAGTCCGGGAAGAATTTCATACCTGGGTGTCATTAATTTTTCCCTGCAGTGACCTATTAGCCATCAGAAAGCGATTACATGTCATAAAAAAACCACAAAATTTAGCAGGAAAAATATTGAAGTATTTTCTGAGAAAGAATTTTTTTCGGTCCAGTGCAGTCTCATAAAATTTGTGCAAATGATGTCCAGGTATGGAACTTTTTCCAAAAAGCCTACAGTAAGATGTCATTAAATAGCTTAAAACTTAAAACGGTCTTTAACACTGTTGTGACATAAGTTTGGTGTTACTCAGACCGGTTTGACGCAGACTTCAGAAATTCTAAACAGTGTGCAATTCCAATGGTCATTCCAATATGTCTGGTTTTTCAGAGAGAGAGAAAAAAAAAGAATTTTCACTTCGGAGGATTTTTGAGTCGTATAAAGATAATTTAGTGTCGTGAAATATCCTTGTATATCATACTGATTTGTTCTCACTTCTATAAGCAGTTAATTTTATGTTCTTTATAGAGGGCTTGCTTTATGTCTTGAAGTATTTAAAAATAGAAACTTTATTAATTAACATTCTTTGTTTTTGTTTTTTTGCTTGAATTATAAAAAAAAGTTATATAGCAGAAGGTGAAGTCCCGTGTGTTTTGTGATATGCTGTTTTACAACGAATGTACTTACTAGAAGGCAATTCAACTGAGGATTTCTTTTTACGACTGTGTTTGCATAGTGTATCTGTATGAAGAAAATGAACAATTAGATACGGCTGTTAAAGGTGTACTTTCGTGTGGAGATGGCATATGAAGTTGTTTTTTCCCTTAAATACCGCATTTCAAAAGTCTGTCACAGGAAGTCTACATAATGTCCTTCATTTAAGAAGACAACGTTTAACCAGTGTTTGTTACATCTGACATGGTGGCCATTTTGTTTTTGGCTTAAAGCAGGGTGGATCAAAAAACAAACCCGAGATATTATTGCTAATTGAAACAGAAGTAGGGCACATGTGAATCAAAGGGAGATATCCTCTGTTACGGTTGAATCTCCTCTTTAAGATGACACCCTGGTCGTGTCTTTACATTCACGGTCGACTGAGCAGTGACCAATTTTATGAAAGGGTCTATTAAGAGAATTGCGCCCGGCCATTTTTCATGGTGAAATCTCTTTTTTTCCCCCACTTGCCTTGATTGGCAACCATTAGGCTTTTTGTGACAAATGACACCACATAAACCACAATTAAAAAGTGGCGCAATTCTCTAAATAGACCCTTTCATAAAATTGGTCACTGCTCAGGGTTTCATTTTAAAGAGGAGATTTAACCCTAAAAGAGGATATCTCCCTTTGATTCACATGTGCCCTACTTCTGTTCCAATCAGCAATAATATCTCGGTTTCGTTTTTTTCTTATCCACCCTGTATAACCTATTATGATGTATTTGCAGTGAATTAACCATGGAATATTATGATCCAAATCTATTGTCACACTGGCACAGGATAATACTATATACTAAACAAGAGACAGTTTACTGTGGAAAATCGGGTCCTACACCAATACTGAACAGACATTAAAAAAAAAACCAAGGCTGGAGTCGAGACTAGTGCTGTAATGGCCCGATTTTTATGAGGCCCAAAATTTTGTACCCGGAAAAAATCTTTCGCGCAAAACTTTTCAGCATAAAATTGCCAATTTCCAAGAGTATGGTTGGGTGCGCTTTTACAGTGCTGTTGCCCGAGTACTCCAGTTCTCGGTGTATGCCTATATTGAGGGGCAATTGTCTCGCTCCAATGTGAACTGGGCCCTGGGGCAGTGCGTGTTTAGTTATCACGTAGACGTTCCGTGATCGTGGTACAATTGGATTGTTCATGCACTATGCACTCTACCCTCATAAAGCTAGTTTCGTGTATAGGCAAAATCGTTTTTTTTTCATGCTGTCAACAAGTACATCCATCAGCATCAACAGTTTCGCCGTAATTATTGGTGTGGGTAAATCAGTTTTGCACTTTCTTCAATTTCAAAAGAGGATTGTCAATTTTAATGAAATTCATTGGTATCAACTTGCTCTTTTTTTTCTTCATTTTATTTGCCAGCGATTTTTTTTTTTTTTTTTTTTTTTTTTTTTTTTTTTACAAACGCTTGGTTCGCGGAAGAAAAGCGTTTAAGATCGAGCCCATCTATTTGTATTCCCCTGGTACTGATAGTTGAAATCACGATAGTTTTGCATTTTCCATTATTTGCTCTCTTCAGTTTGGGGTCAAGGATGTTTTCTTTGGTAGTTACTTTTTTGGTATTTCGGACATTAGAAGGGGAAGTATAACCTAGCCTATAACCTATCACAAATCGCGAATACTGACGTCAATATTCACCACCCCAAAAAAATTCACGTCTCGCCCTCCGGTCACAAATATTGACGTCACTATTCGCATCAAAAAAAATTCTTGTCGTGAATATTGACATCAATGTTCGCGATGTCCCTTCAAGGCCACCATATGGAACTGAGAGAATGAAATACCAATCCGAATGGGGGCGCGGTAACCATTAACCAAGGCATTTTCGGGTATAACTAGACATGAATTTAAGCTAATCGACGCAAGTTTACATTTTGCTACAGCTCAAAACTAACATATTAAAAAAAATGATACTTCATATGTAAGAAAAAGTAATCAATAAATGCATCAATAAACGGAATTGTTCTGGTGTTTATACACTAAAAAAATGTCTTCACGTGTAGCACTCTCATATTTGCTGTATTATATGGCCTATAAATCTACGCTTCACAACATTATAAAGTTTGATAAATAATTTGCTCTTGTGAGTACAATGTAATGAAACAGAAACGTTCATGACAATAATAAATGTTTTTTTAAATAGATAAAATAGTGGATTTTATTGCAAACATTTAAAAATGGAACTTTCAAAATAGCATGAAATAGGCCTATCCTAATTGATTGTAAGTTAATAATGGCATTAAGAATCCTGTGATATCATTATGCTAAAAATTTCTGGTGATGGTAAGGACCAAACCATCACGCTGTCAACCAGGGGCGGTGGACCCGGGGAGGGGGGGGGGCAGGGGCACTTGCCCCGAGATTTACGCAAGTGCGCCTCTTGTGGACATATAAGTGCCCCCTCGAGATGAAAATAAAACTGGCCCTAAAAATTTCGGATAATTTGTTTTCAGTAATAATTTCCCAAATTGGTATAGAGAGTTCTGATATGAACGGGGAATATGAAAACCAAGCCCCCAAACCCACAAGTGCGCCCTGAAAATGGGCACATAATGTATAGTTTGCATAATGGCCGGTTTTGAAGAGCGCCCCCATTATGAATATGGTACCCCCCCCCACCACCACCACCACGATTTGATTTTATGGAGGCCAAGTGTCATGTCCCGTGAAAAAAAAAACATGTCGACATTTCAGCACGGATGTGCCAACAAAACCGTGACTACGACCAGTACAAGCTGTACAGAAAGTCATGTAGGGTTGAAAGTCCGTAGGGATTTACCAATGGAAACGGACAATAGTAATTATTGTTTGGATATACGCTTTAGGCCTACGTCGCTTTCTGCAGTGATTAACGGAATGGGCTACACGTACATTTCGTGTGCACTTACAAAACATAGAGTACTGAAAACAAACGAATTTTTAAGAAATCGATTAACAAATACCATGGGTCAATTTACCATAATACAGGATATTCCACGGGTAAACAAGTCAAAGCTTGATTAAAAGGCCACGTTTTCTGACCACGAGGGCCATTCTTGTGCGCACGAGAAATCACGTCACAAACCGCGCGCGCCGCATTTGATCCACCGCATGGCCATCGGCGCGGCAGTCTCGCCCGAGTCTTCCCCCGTCGCGTCTGGCCACTCGAGACGCTTCCTCCACACGGACCACTTCCCGTGATCTTCGGAGTGGCATGCCCTAACATCTCCCACACATACATCTCGATCGTCACCATTTACTTTTTTCCAATTAAAGATGACAACGTCGGAAGCGGAAACGTCCATTGTCATCAAACTTTGGTAAAATTTATTGCGCAGTGTAGAAAGTTTACCAATGAAATGGGAGTGTGGTTAGGCCTATAGAAACAGTACACGTTTCGGTTGGGATCGCTGTCAAAGTACATGTTTCCGAAAGTTCAATGTCCAATCTTCAGACGTATAGTCACAGACAGTCACAGACTGTAGTCCAGATATCACTGCTTCAGCATGGGATTGGAGCAGATTTGTACTAGACTCTATGCTTGACAGCAATATGGAGGTTTTTTGTATAATTTAATAACAACCTTGACCAAGTTATATCTACGGTCCAAGCCGACAATGACGTATTCGGGTCATTTTCCGAGACCTTTCGAGACCGTTTATTTTTATCAATTATTTGACCTTTCAAGGGGCAATGACAATCTTATAGATGAAAAAACTGTCAAGAAGACCCATTTTATGGGATGCAGCCACAATGTACACCCTATAGTTGCATCTCCTCTTTTCAACACAGAAACTTTGTTTTCCAAGACCACTCACATGATATCTAGTCATTCGTAATGCACAGTATCCTGCGTATACTTCCGGTTAAAGGTACGGTACGTAGGATCTATTGCTTTTCGTGCCTTTTTTTTCGTTTGAAGTGACAAAGTGGCAAAAACAAATCTTAAGAATGGTACATTACAGCGAAACTAAAGTTTCAGCTCAGTTGATAGGCTTACTATACATTTTTTGAGAAAACAGATTCTCATAACTGGATACCGTTTCGAATGTAAGTAAAAGAGTGTGCCACCAGACAACCGATCTTAAAACCACCTTCAATGTTACTTTTCTTCCAAACGATATAATTTCAGGCGGCACGGGCGTAAATCCGGGGGGGGGGGTATATATTCCCCACACTTTTTGACCGGGGAAGGGCTATTGAATCATCCCCCCCCCCTCACTTTTTCGTGATGAGAAAAAAATGTTGATTTTGAGGTAATTTCTCAACATCCCAACAACCAAAATGTATTCAATAGCACTGAAAAGTTGTGAAACGAAGAACAAAAGCTTTTAACATGCGCCTAATTAATGCCAGTATGTACATAATGATATATACATCTATACCCTGAAGAGCGCCCCTTAGTGTAATGTGGTGTCAGGCCCCCACCCCCATTCATTTCACTTGGTGCTTGATACCAGTCCTATTTAAACCTTGAGCAAGGTCCTTGACATTAACTCGGTAGGCGCTTTTCCGAGTAATTGCAAATGATCCAATATAGGCCTACGTGTCATTGAGACAATTAGTGTTCGCGAAGGACGCATGAAGCGTCCGTGCCCCTGCGGTCGGGATATTGACTTCCTATTATGAATTTCCACTTCCCTTGAAATGTTTCCAGAAGACCATAAATAGGAAGCAATCGACAGTATTCCTCATTCCGATCACACATTATCTTAGCGCACTTGCGTATATACAGTAACTATTCACTACATTGGCAAGCATGAAGTGTCTGTTGTTTGTGCTGAGCTTCGTCGGCGTTAGTTACGCCTCGCAGGGTCATTACGAAGGAGGAACCGTAACATGGAGAGCCGATCCGCTACATCCTCAAAATGTAAGTTTCTCAGGGCGATTGCATTGGTATCATTTCCAGAGAAAAACTCTGTCAGAGGCACCTTAGCCAACACAAGACATGACAAACTTAGTAAAGCTCGTCCAAGAGACAACAATATTCTAGTCAATCGATTCATAATGGCTATTTACTTAGTCTTTACAAGATGGGCCGGATTTCGACCGTTTACGGGGCAACCCGATGCAGTCCTCACCAGCCAAAAACCAGGCTAAATCATAACTTATAGTGCGGTCAGTCATTGAGTCAGTCAATGAGATATGTACAAATAGAGGCCTAAAGGCTGGCCCTCTGGCAACAGCAAAAACGTATTTGTCACTGATACAATTTCTCTGGGAACAATTTCTTTGAACTGTATAGGCGCACAAAATGCTTCATGAAACAGCCGCCACTTTTTAGTCAGCGTATTTAAACGGTTCTAAGCAAGAAAAGGCATGCAAACTAAAATGGTTAAACTTGCTCTCCTGAAGACGGCCAGAGCATACTGACCGGAACGTCGAGTTTATACCTCTGGTTCTTTTCAGAACCATTGTCCTAGTTGAGAAATTATTCGCACATGGTGTTTCCGCAAACCTTTCATTATTTAAACTTGCTCTCCATGCTCCTCAACGATCAATTCGATTTTTTTCTCCTCTACCAATTTTTCAATTTCTATGTTTGTACGGAAAAAAAGTAATATTAATTCTTGCATTTTGGACGTTTGTGACTATCTGGATTGGCTCTTTAAATTTCGGCGTATGAACCCTTAAAATTAGAAAACCAAGGGACTTTCACATCGGACCTGCCTCATTATTCTCCTCGTTCCCCGTTTAGATAAACGTGACGGTCCAGCTAAACTTCAAGCACAGCTACACCAACGGCTACCTGCACGAGCCGTGCACGGACGCGGCGATCCAGCGGAGAGAAGTGCTTAACACGGAGGGGGCCTTCAAGCTTGATGGCGAGAGGGTGACGTGGGCCAAGTATGTCTGCTCGGCCTATGACGAAGTCGATAACTGGAGTATGGGTACCTACACTTTTGCCCATACTTTGAGGCCGGGCCAGACCAGCCTCCAAATCAAGTAAGTCTAATTATATTAACATTGAGGTAATATAGGCCTTCTGGCAGGCAGAAATGCGTTGCCTTGTAAGAAAATTCTGCTAGGATCAAAACGCCATTACAACTGCCTTTCCTGCCTTACAACTGAAGTTTCGAAGATGTATTGTCCATGCTATGTTCCGTTTTGATCTTGATTTCTTTCTTTTTAATTGCAATATCTCCAGCAATGTGTTTTGAATGAAACATCGAACGAAAAAGCACGGTCCTCATTTAAATTATTGGAATAATTACTTCACCAATATCTAATTATGTTAGGCCCGACAATAATTTTTGCCAGACTAATTTCTGCGCCATAATCTAGAATGATATCGGTAATAATACGGACGGGAACCAGTCTTTTTGCAGGGCGAATGTGTACGCAAAAGCAACCCAAGATAAAAAGCCATTACATGTATCCCAGAGGACCGTAGACGCCAGAAATGAAAAAAAATGTAGTTCTTTCGTAGAACTATTAAAAACATAGTATTACAAATATCTAAGTTTAAAATTCGTAAGGTGAGGAAATCGCATGAGATAATAATGGAATGCGCATTTTGTGGCATGAAATCATATTGTCACCTTATGTTTCTTTATCAGTTACGAGGAATGTTGCTGGCTGACGGACATTGCTAACAACGGGAAGCAGGTGAGCGAGGGCCGGGGCTGGAACCTAGCCTCGACGGTCGACATCAGCCCTCGACCCGACAACAACGCCATCAACAACCCGCCCATGGCTGCCGCCATCCCGGTCTTTAAGATGAACAAGGGATGCCAGAGTGCCTTGTATATCCCGGGTGAGTTTACCACATTAGACAAAAAAAGACTTTTATCTTGGAAGGAGCTTCAATGGTATTCTTATTCATCGATTTTTTTTTACCCTTGCTCCTCACATTTGGGGTGCATACAGAAGTGTAACTTTATGATTTGTGAAAAAAGTCGATTATATCTGACATTTTGGGCTATTTATATCACTTTCACATCTAAAACTCAAAACTTCAGAAAACAGCTTTTCAACTTGCCCTCCGAACTAAAGGTATCTCAATCCGCATCTTCTAGAATCATTTTTTTTTTTAAATCCAATGGTGCTAAGAAAAAAAAGGATACATTTCTTGATCACAGATGACTGTTGTGCTCTTTCCTCAATGGCTATTCTTGGTCGGAATTAAACAAAAGAACTTATATCATTTAATGTGTTATCAATATTTCTAATTAGATAGAGTTTCTAATTATCTATAGCTTGGGATAATGACGCAGACATAGTCAAATGTCGCTGGACTGACCCCGACAGAAACGAATGCAACAACCAGGATGGCGACGTGTGCGGTCCCCTGTACGTGGACGCGAAGAGGAGGAAGATTGGGGCGGAGCTTGAACAGGTGGGTGGGAAGAACAAAGGACAAAACAATAAGAAGCAAGAAGAACGAACGAAAAGAAGATTAAGTCTTATACATGAATTGTGCATAAATACAGGGTGAGTCAAAAAACACGAAACCCAAATGTCGGGACTATTGTTTTAGTGAAGTTCTGCATGAAGCACTTTGAAAATCTAGGATATGAAAGCCCAATTCATAAGCTTTCTTTAAGTACAAGAATCATTCAAATCACCGATGTACTTTTTAAGTTACGGAATTTTAAACACAACCACCGTTTTAAAGTTCTGTCCACGGATCACACAAAAGGTGTGCGTTCTTTCAGCAAAACGAAAACAATTCACACACATCCCTATGTGATTTGTTTTCGTTTTGCTGAAAGAATACTTACCTTTTTTTGTGATCCGTGGACATAACTTTAAAACGGTGCTTGCATGTGTTTAAAAGTCCGTAACTTGAAAATTACATAAGTGATTTGAATGATTCTTGTACTAAAACAAAGCTTATGAAGATTTTGAAAGTCCCGATTGATACCATCTTAGGTGGAATAATTTCACAGGGTATTTGGTACCATTCCTATCTTCATTTTGAGAACTATTTTTCTCATTAAATAGATAGGGCCGTTCCCGCGTTTTACCAATGTTCCTAGACGCCTTTAAATTTGCTCCTGAACGATTAATAGTCGACTTCTATGAACTGTATGCCTCCAGTTAATTGGTGATGTGTGAATTCGCACCCTCAGGACACCTGCAAGCTGATATTCCGCTCGAAGAACCCTAAAGGCATCTACGCCATGTCGGTCATGATCGAGGACTTCGCCCCTTCGGACTTGACCACGCCCTTGAGTAAGATCCCATTGCAGTTTCTGGTGTCGGTGGTCCCGCGTAACGGCAAGTGCCGTAAGCCAGTCATGTTGGACGTGCACGGGGCGTGCGTGACGATCCCGGCCGGGCGACCCATGCAGAAATCCATCACAGCTCGGAGCTCTTCCCCGGACTTTCGGTGAGTGAAGTAAAGGACCTTATAAATGTTGCCTTTTGTTTTTTGCAAAACCGACCCCAACATAAGAAGTGAACTTGCCCATTTCCAATCGATTACATTGACAGACAGTCGTCTAGTCATCTGCTTTTCATGCATTTTGTTGTTTGCAATAATAACATCACTCAAAACCCGCAGAAGAATATTCAAAACCTTGAAGTTTCATCTGGATATTACACTTTTTAAGAAAATAGTTAAGAACCATACACAACCTTTTGATCACGAAACACGATTTCGTCTACAGCACTCTTGATTTCCAAAAAATATAATTTTTTTTAAAGAGTACTCTTAATGACAGCAATCAAGACGAAATAATTTCACGGGGTGTTTAGTACCAGTACGATCTTTAATCCAAGTAAGCTTTTGATAACAATTTGGTGGATACTTTTGGGATAAATGCAAATGATCCTATAGGCCTATGCCATTAATTAATATTTTACCACATTAACTCGTGACAATTCTTTCATTTATATCAGTATGCTCCATATTTGAAATAAATAATTATAAATACTCGAATTTCTTAATTCGATTCTTTTAGAGACGGTAGCTATCGTCGACTACAAAACTAGTTTATAATCATTAAAATGCACGTCTCCTTTGGGAAGAAAGAAACCGTTTAAAATATAGCATTTTGTTGATTTTTTTTCATCCTCACAGGATTGAAAGCATCGACACAATAAAGCCCCTCGGCATTACCGTTTCCCCCGTTGCCAAAGTAGAAGGATCCGACACTGACTATTACGTCATGTTGTCTTGGACGCCATCCATTGGTCAGATTGGGCGTCACGTGATCTGTTATAAAGCCGAAGAGGAAGGACGTTTCTACAGTGACATGGCATGTGTTTACATCAATGTTGTCGGTAGGTGAATTTCCAAAAGAATTTATTTTTATGTGTGGTTAAACAAAAATGAAGGAAATGTTGTAGTGTAACTCTGAAATTAACACATAAAAATTATGAGTCCTTTATGAGGAAATAATAATGTAAAACGAGTTGTGAGTCATAATAAAGTGAGTCCTTAAGTACATTATGAGTCATTATTCCGCATTATAAGATGTACAAAAGACCATGATCATGCAATATCATATTGTTCTAACTTTTTATACTATCCTGTATACTAGATTGTCACTCAAACTTTCTGTATTCGTCGGTAAAACCCGAGTTTGTGCAAACGTTTTCAAAATCGCCAATTTTAAGCATTATGGAAATACACCTCGATTATCTATGGAGAACACCAAATCAAATAAAAAGTAAAACTTGTTTTTTATCTTTTTGCAATCCTGAAGTGACGGTCCTTTGTATGTGATGACGTAATTGTTACTTTTTTCCAAAAATTTATTTATTCATTGTGAAATTCATTTAAATCCATTAAACCTAAAAATTGCCAGGTGTGAGCATAGGCAAAACATTCCTCAATTGCGGTATATGGAAGTACACTAGACATATCCAAATCACAACCTGTTGGTCATGCCATTGCAGATCCTGATGTCTACGAACCACTGCATGTGCTAAAGTCGTCGTCTGTCCCCGCAGAAGGTTCGGAAATAACAGATAGGAACTTCCGAATACAATTCAACAAACAGGTATGAGATTCCAATTAGATTCTTTGTTACAGTCAAAACTGTTGTGAAATATTATTTTTAATACATGTCCATCGCTGTGTATTTTGCTGAAACTATAGGACAAGGCGTTAGAGAAATAACTTTTTTTTTCAAAGTTATATACATAGTCAATCTAAACATTAATTTGTGTAGGCTATTAAGATAGTGGATTTTTCTCATTGTTCGTAAACAGAACTTGAATTCCACTTGTTGTCATGTAAATATGTTATATCACATTCTTCCAAATCACAAAATAACAAAATATTACTTCCAAATTACTTTATGTATTGCTTGCTATAAAAACAGGTTTCAAGACCGGACAAGGCAGCTTTTATTTCCATCCTGGACGCCGAAGATGAAGTCATTTTCAGGGCAGACACTTCATCAGAAACGGAAGTCGAGTTGCAGGGAAACATTCTCATGTTCTCTCTTCCGCCGGACGTTATACTGAAGTACGGAAGCGCCTACAGGATACGGGTTGAGGCGCAGGCGGTCAGGCCAACTGAAAGGTGTGGGTCGGCGCCCTCTGTTGACGAATGGAATTTCACATGGATGGGTGAGCCATTAGTTTGTGTGATATTGATAAATTACCATGAATCATAGCTTTCAATTTTTCATTCAGTTTCATAAAAAGGTCGAAATCCTTGATGAGCTTTAGTCATAAAACACTTTGACAAATGACTTTGACAAATTACTTAATTCATCCAGTTTCTTCTCACGTATGCCTCACTATGGAACTCAGGTATCCTGTTTTCCAGTTGATTTTGATATGTAATAATAAAATGTAAACATAATAAAAACATGTTGACAAATATTTATTCACGTAGAATAATGTAGTTGGTGTTTTTCAGTTGTACTTCAGCAGGGTGGAATTCGAAAAAAAAATTGTCCATCAGAGCGCGGGCAGGCAGAACTTAGCATATGAATTTCAAGGGTTTTTAGAATGTGTGGTTGCTTTTCTGTGTGTAATTGATTTCCATAACTAATGATTATCATGAAAGATAACACCTTTCCTTAATTAAATAGTCAATTTTTTTTAATTTCCGAAGGCCGCAAACTCCCCGGTAAACTGGAAGGCCCCGACACAGTTCTTGAGCAGCCCAGCTCGGCAGACTGTCGCAGTAACTTCATGCAAGTGTTTGTCTCCAAGGAACTGGTCGGGGAACTAGACCCCTCCGCCATGCACCTCAACGACCCGACATGCACCGGCAGAGAATACAACGCCACTCATTACGTCATCGGGACGTCGTATAACATGTGCCAAACATCCGTACAGGTGAGGCTTGCGGAAAACAAAATCAGTTTCATTAAAATTGGAAACAAATTAGACTTTCTTGCAGTTGCGTGAGTTTATATCCCAATTTTATCCAAAACAAGTTTTGTTTTCGTTTGAAGATTTAAATTTACATTTGAAGTTGTATTTTTTTGCCGATAGGCAGCCAATGAAGTTGGTCTCGTGTCTTTCGAGAATACGGTCTACATCCCACCTCAACCGTACACCCCAGAGAGCGAGATTACGCGAGATCATTTCATCGAAATACGCATGTCCTGCCGTCTCCATAGCGACAATGTCGGCTACGTGGCCTTTGACCCCAACGTCACCACGATCGTTTACTACGAAGAAGGCTTCGGGAAATTTGACTTCTCGTTGGACATGTACGAAGATGTCTACTACGCCACGCCCATCGATCGCCACGCCCACCCGGTGCCCGTTCAACTCGACCAGCCCGTGTTCTTTGAGGCCCGCATCAACTGCGATCCAGAGAAGCATTGCGACAGTGACGTCATGATGATTGATAGCTGTTGGGCAACGCCCACAACCAACCCTTTCGACGTCACTCGTTTCGTCTTCATAAAGAATGGGTAAAAAAGGATTCTTTTATTGGTCTCATCTCAAATTTCAGTTCAACAACAGTTATTTACAAATAATTCAATAATTTTAACGAAATCAGTATCATGAACAGCTTTTGTGAATTTTGGCATGCACCATTGCAAACAATGACAGAGTCAAAAAATAAAGAGGTTGATTTAGGAATGCCATAACAAGACCGATACCATACAGTGTGAGTAAAAAAGAAAGAAAGGAAACCCTAATGGCAGGACCATTTTCTTAATAAAGTTCTCCACGTAGCACTTTCAAAATCTAGGATATGAAAGCCCAATTAATAACCTTTCTTTTAGTACAAAAATCATTCAAATCACTTATTCCATAACTTTTCAAGTTATGGAATGTTACACACAAACACCGTTTTAAAGTTCTGTCCACGGATCACCAAAAAAGGTGTGTGTTCTTTTGGCAAAAACGAAAACAAGACACACACATCCCTATGTGATTTGTTTTTGCTTTGCTGATAGAACACTTTCCACGTTGCGTTTAAAATTCCGTAACTTAAAGAGTACATAAGTGATTCGAATGATCTTGTACTAAAAGAAAGCTTATTATTTGGGCTATCATATCCTAGATTTTGATATTGCTACATGCAGAACTTCATAAAAAAAATGCCCTGCCATATGGGTTGCCTTTTGTTTTTACTCACCCCGTATATGAGACAGACACTAAAACTAAACGCGCACAGGGCAGACATTAAGGAGTCTCATGATAGACTTTTAGCGCCGCGACTGACTACATGTTCCAATTTTCTACATTCTTTCCCTAAAACTATGACTTGTTTTGAATTTGAAAAGTGGTAATTTAGTAAACGTAACATAGCTGATTAAATATTCTCACATACTCGGCATTTTGTTTGTCTCTAGATGTGCCAAAGATGACACCATACAATTCCTGCCATCGCCTTCAAGTAACATAAAGCGATTCTCCGTTCATTCATTTGCCTTCCTCGATGAACACATCTACAACCCGGTAAGTTTGTCTTATGTTACTGTCTCTCTTTTTTTCTGTTTCAGTAAAAACTTTTCGTATTTTCCCCTTTCATTTCCTGAAACAAACTAAGCTAATTTGTGTTTCTTCGTAAATGCAGGTTTATGTTCACTGCAAAATGAGTAAGTGCAATGCCCAGGGCGTCGAATCAAGCTGTGACGTTAACTGTGAAGAGCCAATGGAATCAGAGGAGTCGGTTGACGTCATCGACGGCGACACCGGCAACAATTTAGTGCGCAGGTCAAGACGTGACGTCAGTGACCAATCTCCCCAGGCAACAGAGCACATAGCAACGAGACGACTAAACCCAGAGGGAAACCTAGGTGTGTATTTCGGATTAATTTTTGTGTTAGTTTTTCGAGGAAAAACGGTATAGAGTATCGTTACGGTATTCCGATGGTTGCAGGTTCAAACCCTGATCCAGTCAATTTTCTTTTTTCAATTTTCTAATTCCAAATCTATTCTAACATTAGGCCCATGATCTTTTAAAGTTTCAAATTTGAATTTTTTCGAAAAAGGGAGCGATTTCCATAACTTTTGGCACTCTTGAATTTTTGACCGCCAAACAGGAGTCAAACTTACGCTGCGTGCAGCCGCAAATTCGGTCAAATAATGATAATTATTCGAGTATTAATTATTCAAGTTTTACTTGGAATCCACAGTAAGTGCGATTCTAGTCCGAAGCTTAAACGATTCGCCTGTTGTTTTTTATGCCAGAAGACTTACTCCCAGTTAGTTCTAAAGAATAAACAAGTCATTTCACCCTTTTTTTAAGAGTGTGTGCAACCTATACAAATTTCGTCCATATTTCTCCCATAGATGCAAATGCAACCGCGGGATTCAACGCCGACGTTGTAGAAATCGCAATGCTTGGAAGCGTCATAGTCCTACTGCTGATGCTCATCTGTGCCCAGCATATGAAACAATACGCGGCTGGAGAGAAGACTACCAGTAGCGCTTAACAGAGTTTAAATGACTTTTAATCTAAATCGGAAATTTTACTAACATTATTTGAATAGTTTAAATATCTCTTTTTCATTATTGTGGGGTAAAGGGATTGGCGAAGTCTTACTTTACTCAAGGAATGTTGCACACCATCCTAAACTCGATGAGTCATTTTGAAATCAGTGATGGGGCTCGTATGATTCAAAAATTCTGCCTTGCAGATCTGCTTGCCTTTGAATTGACTGGTTTGGCGGTACTTTACCAACTCTGTTTGAAGTAGAATTTGTTTTAAAATGAGTAAGTACTTTTAATCTATTAAAACAGGTATTTCTGCCTCAATTATGGAACACTACATTCAAGGAATTTCACTCCAGATGATAATTTAATGAAATGTCGATTAAATGTGGCAACAATGGAATCAAAATTTAAGGAATTTCCAAATTGTTATATTTTGTTAAAATAAAAAAATATCAAATTATAATAAACTTTGTGCAAGAAAGATTGTATCATGTCATGCAATGACTGAAACGTGTGACCTCGCACGTACACAGTCACACTAGAACTGATGGACAATGTGTCCAGTACCAGTCTTGTTCTTCAATAATTATCGTATGTTCGTTAAAAATCCATCTTTTTGGGGTGTTCACTTGTCTTGAAAACTGTGTCGAAAAAATTATGAAAAATTTTGATGGGAAGAGGTTTAGACAACAATTTAGATAAATGGATAAGATAAAGCGGTGGGCTTCTCCATGGGCGTCGCCAGGATTTGTTTCTAGAGGGGGGCAAAGCATATCCCCCCGAGATTCCTGTACTTTTCCCAGCGTATTCTCGATTTATCATTTTTCGAGGAGGGAGGCAGGGACATTTAACACCCCCACCCATTAAATTAACAGCAATATCACTACGCGCCTCTTTTTTTCTTTTTTTTGTTTTGTTTCCCCCTTTTTTGCTTTTCCAGAGGGGGAAAGTGCCCCCCTCCACTGTCCCCCCCCCCCCCTCGCGGCGCCCATGGGCTTCTCCTAAAAGCAAGCTTGTCAAGTGGAGAAGTCCACTTCTTTTTTTTGCCACTACTGCCACTACTGCATAATATTATAATACTTGCCAATGCATATATTACTTGCCACTACTTGCCACCACTGCATAATAATCTACATGTAGTGGAATTTTCGAGGAAAACCTATATAAGAGTCAAGGGGAATTGTGTTGGTAAAAGTTGGGAACCAGACTTTGGGTATGCTGAATTCGATAAACCTGGTTCCCAAGCGAAATTTTGGGTCATTTACCGTCCAATTTGCATAAAACAAAATGGCCACCAAATTGCAAATTTTGGACACATCTCAATATTACTGACACATTGTTGTAAAAAGCCTATGCAAGACCCCCTACACCGGGGGTCCGGTTTTATCATAGACGGTTTTTATTACTCTCCATCACTTTTAATAAACTTCGGTCGGCAGCGACGGCAAGCCCCGAACGTTGCGACAGGATCAAGGTACCAACTTAACTATACCGGTATTTCAAATGACTGCGTCACTTTTAAACACGGATTCAGTTCAAACACGAAAATCTGTACATTTCTTTCTTAAATGACTTTAAATGAAGTTACATATTTTCATAAGAAACTTCTCTTTTGTCAACAGTTATTTTGTTCACCCCCATCCCTCCTTCCTTTCCAAAACATTAACTTGTACTCATAACCAGGGAGGGATTTATTCCGCTATAGCACTCCCCCTACCCCCTCCAAACAACTCCATCATCGATCCACCCTCATTATCCTCCACACACCATAGGCGTAGCAAGCGGGGAGGGGAGGGGGGTGTTTACCCCCCCCCCCCTCTTTTTAAAAAGGAGTGGTGCTCTTTTTTTGCCATCTGCCGTTCCGGGTGCTTTTGTTGTTTAATTTCAAGCTTGTATTGCCCTGAATATATTGTCCGTTTTATCACATTATCACCGTTTTATCACATTAAGCTGAGCCATTTTCTGCAATAACTCTGTGTTCTGGCAAGTAAAAATCGACAAAAGAGGTGTCTTTTCCTTTGTTTTGAGGGTCAGAGAATGGGATTAATGCATTTTCAAAGTAATAATGGTCAGCCTATTCCTAAATATGAAAATTAGCCGCCGCAATTACAGAAAATCATTTGTCTATACCGACTCTTTAAAAACCCTTTAGGCATGAGTAGGCCTACACGTCCAAATTTTGATACATAAGCATATTCTTACTCCTCATATCAAATGTAAAGCTCACAAAATTCTACATTTATAAAAGACAGAGGTAGTACTTATCCTAATTTCAGGCTATGTTAGATTATTGAATCCTGCCTTTGAAAATCACTTCCCTTTCATCTCGATCCGTGACAACAATGGGTGTTTCAACACGCGTAATGGCTAGTAAATTTATTATCAACATATAACATCTAGTTCGCCTTTCGTACCTTATAAGTTGTATCCACTAAGCACTCCTTTTGTTGCCAAATTCAAATTGTGGTTTTTTCGACATGAAACAGCGAGAGAGAACAAAGTATACGTGGGGAAACAATTCCGTTGGTACTGACCAGGACCTCAGATGTGACCTCACCGTGCCATCTGTAACGTCATTGGTTCTATTGTGCGCTCATTGGCTAAAGCTTCTGGGCCATTCCGATTTCAGAAGAGGGGAGGGACTGTTTACGGAAATAACTATGCACGTGTGCAGCAACAACGGTAACTTAATTCTTGTCCATAAAGTGGCACACGCGTCACTTAAATGGTACAGTCCTAACACAGAGACATCGGCAGTAATATCACCGTCACCAAATTCTAATGAATATGGAAAAACTTGGAATATTAAAGCGTTTTAAAACTATAAAAGCACGGACCGGAACTTTCTGTTTTATTTGGCGAGAAATCTACGAACATAATCAAAGCCTCTTGAATTTTTCATGAAAGAGTTGTTTATACATTGGAAGATCTGATACGAAGAGAAAGGCATGGAGTATTCAGTCCGAGTTTCCTTGTGGTTCCTGGTATTTTCAGCCGCATCGTACCAGGTGTCCGGCTTTCACTTCCGTGGAGGAATTCTCACTTGGAAGCCCCTACCAATTGAGCCAAGATCGGTAAGTTTCTGATTTGGCGTTTTATCTCTTTTTGTGTACAAGCATTAGGCCTACATTCGTTGCGTGGACTTCCCAACAAAAGATGTCCACATAGCCTAAACCAGTTTTAAGATTAATTAAAGTCTCTTAAAACAAAAGGTTTTCCCGGCTACCTTAAAACGGTTATTATTCGAATTTGCCGTTTCAAATATTCAAATTCGTCCATCAACATCGATTTAGTGCTCTTCCAAATGTTTAAATTCGTCTTTTGTCCGACAATTTCCAATTCAGTTCGAGCAAATTCAAACAATGAGCACACGTTTCCGTCCCATAGTATTTGATTTTGTCTCGCCTGCGCCAAACCTTGTTATTTAGAAATCAAATTCGGATAATTGATTTATATAAGACGAATTCGATATCTAAATGCTGCCATTTGGCAACGTCCTAGACGAATTTGATCTGCAATGACGAATATTCTCGCCCCGGTCTCTCAAGAGGGTGAATGGTAAATGACTAAATTGGTTTTGTTTCAAGCGAGCGATTTTTTTTCGTGGATGAAATTGAATGATAGAGTTGGTGAATTTGAATGAATTTTTTTTAAATAGCCGGGGAAACCTATAATAAACCTTTTTTTTTTTAAATCTGAACTTCAACGGATTTATTTTTTTGAAAATGAAAGTAAACTGTTTTCTCACACGACAAAGTTTTTTTCACACCAGATTTCATTTGATTTTCATGGCAAAGTATTGCCCCATGCAGCCTAAAAAACCTTTTAAAAATCCAAAGCTTTCATTGTGTTGTTTTCGAACTGACGCCTTGTATCGAAGGAAAAAAAAACATCATGAAACGCAAGGAACCCCGAGTTGTCAACATTCATTTTATTCAGGGTCGTTTGAAGCAATGAGAAACAATTGTATGGAAATTTGTCCCGCAAAATAAGATTAAGCTTGACGGGAACATGAAACCTCCAGTCTTTTGGCACCTTTATGACAGTTCTTCGGGGTTAAAAAAAAATCAGCTGTCAAAATGTTAACGACGTCATCACCTCCCGCGGCTTATTTTTTGGCTGTTGTTTTGGAACACTTTCAATTTGTTTTCGGCTTTTTATCAATTGAATCAAAAACAATTCCGAGTAATGCCCGGGACATTCAGCGTTCAAAGGTCGATTAAGCCTTCGAGGTCCGGGACAAAAGTCCAACCCCCTGCCGGTATGCCATCTATCGAATGAAGGACATAAAGTGACGTCCTCTCTCTTGAAGTCGTGGGAAAGTAGTTTATGTTACATACCACGGCGAATGCTAACGGGTCATAGTCAGACTAGGGAGTGTGGGGGTGTGGGGGAGGTGTGGGGGTGTGGGGGAGGTGTGGGATGGGGTGGGGTTGGGTTGAAGGTGGTTGGGGTGGGGGTGGGGGTGGGGGTTGTTGTTAGCTTGTTTAGTTGTAGCAGAGCAAACCCTTTCAGTCGGGAACAAAGCTTTAAAACTAAAAACTTAGTAGGCCTAATTACCCAGAAATATACCTACTGATTTAACGAGAAAATACTTGCTCAAAGTGAAGATAGCACTGGTATCAAATACCCTGTGATATTATCTTGCCAGAAAGTGTTTCGATCAAAAGAAAACAGTAATTGAACGTGGTTTTTAAAAAGTGTGTCCGCAGGCACATTTTTTTTTAAACATGCGCTAGCAACGGAATCCAGTGACAAGATCCAACTATGGTCCCTCTGTTTTAGAAAACAGATAACTTGAAATATTTTCGGACTTGTTGTTCGAAATTTGTATACTAAGTATCCCATAGGGCCTACTTAAAGTGGACGGAGTTTTTAGTTTGGTGTCTTATCCAAAAGTAAGTGAAAACTTCTGTACTGCTATAAAATAGCGATTAAAATATATATTTTTTCGCGGTCGGTTAAACTTGAGAATATGCACGTATTACGTGTTTAACAATATAATAGGCCTATATTTTTTTGTTAAGAAAGAAACTGATTTCACATGCGTTGAAGTGTTAATGAGACAATTGCAACGCCGGAGAGCGCACGTCAGCCACACATCGGGGGGCCAATAAAACTAAGGTCGTGGAGTCAAGGATTCCGGATCATTTCTTCGGGGCTTAAATTTCTGAAGAACAAAAACAATAAAACGAAATGGGCAGAACGTGACGAAAGTCAGGTAGGCCACAGGTGTCCATGAGAATGGGAACTGCACTCTTTTACCCCAAAGATTGAAAATTCATTCGATTCTAGTGAAAAGTACCTCCATCCGATTTTTTTTGGGGGAAAAAAACGAGTTTTCACTCGATTTTCACTTTTCCGCATGGTCTCTAATTACGCTCCTTTGAAATAAGAGAACTAACAGAGTTTTAGCCTCAGGTTTTTGCTGCTACTTTTTCACACCCCCTTTCCACCTTGCCCGAACCATTTTACCGCCCGAATTACATCGACTCTTTCGCAAAAACAAAAACAAACAAAAGGAAATTGGTTGAAAATTATAAATTATTTATTAAAAAAATATGCACTCGTCGGAAATTTCCCCTTTAGCTCTTTGCCACAAATAAGAACGCCTTTATGTGTTTGCCATTTAAGAGTTTTGTAAAGAAGTGAATCGTTATTTACAGATTTTTACTTTTTCGATCGGTATGTTTTTTGGTCTGAACGTTAGCATGTTGGCATATGCCCCTTGTGCTGGAAAAGTTTTGTTTCAGTTTGGTTACTTACTCATTAAACAAATTTCTAATTGGGAAAGTTTGGAATCTTTCTTTTCTCTTTTCACAATCATGCATTAAAAATCAGGGGCGGATCTAGCTTTCAGGAAACGGAGGTGGGGGTGATATATAAGGGGGGGGGGTGAGTCTAAGGCCTGCCGTCAGCACGTCCTGCTGGGGGGGGGGGGTCCAGGGGCATGCCCCCTGAAACATTTAGAAATCTACAATTTCTCCTGCATTCTAAGGCAATTCAAGAATAAAGTTAGGAACTTTGCATTACATTCCATTAATTATTTTTGGCCCCCTAACTACTTGTAGTTTCATAGTATTAGTCAGCTGAGGGGGGGGGGGTGCAACCTCCTATATATAGTCCTCTATGACACGTGACACGTGACATATTACGTCACACGTGACGTAATATGTCACGTGCCACCTTGGCCCAAAACTTTGAAAATGGATTATCCCTTATTAAAGCCCATAAAACACCAGATGCATGACAAGACTTCAGTGAACAGCCATTCTGACTTAATTGAAAAGAAATTTGCGCGCTCTGGGACCAGCTTTAATTACTAGCCTCGCCTCGTCTTGTTCGTCAGATTCAAGTGAATTACTGGGTGGCTTGGAAGAAGGATTTCAGCGAACGGCTGTTTGATGTCTGCACCCCGCAGACCGTGGTGGAGCAGACGCCGCTGTACACCGGCAAGTCGCTGTACTGCGGCGAGGAGGTCTGCCTGCATGATATGGACTACGTCTGCACCGACTACAACGCGGCCGGGGACTATGCTGCGGGCCAGGGCTCGCATACCATCGCCGTCCCGGACGGAACAGATGCGTTCGATATCAGGTACCGTCACATTTTCATTAATTTGATGAAATCACGTACGTCAGACAATGGGTGCTGGAAGGTAGCCAAAAGTTCAGGTCATCCGACCATTGAAAAATAATAAAGGGGAGGGTGTCTAACCCCACATCTCCTCTAGCGCGACGCCCATGTCTGGAGAATGTAGCTGGGAAGAAATGATGTAAGAAGGGAAGATAAAATTTGTTTCCATCTTTCAGAGATATAGGCCTATTAACAGGCTTACTCGCAAGATGTTATGATTTTCTTGGTATTGCATCGTCCCAAGACCTTTTACCTAATAAACACGGAAACTCGATTAAAGGCGGGGAAAACTCCTTTGATCTGTGGATTTTTAGTAAAGTTTCAAGTTTTCTGTCATTCAGTGACACATTATCTCAGAAGGAACATCAAGGGGGCCGAGTGCCAATCTCTGAAACAAACTCAAACATTTTAGAATTTGAAAAAAACCCAATGTTTTAGTTCATCGTGAGGTTTTGAATTCTGTGACACTTCAATGGCTAGTAAGTACTACATCCAGGTCTGGCTCAAGAGGGATTGACTGTCAAGATGGGTATTAAGCAGGCATGTGCTGTTTTTTCCTGTAATTTTTCCCTTTTTGCGTCCCAACTTTGCCTGAGGGAGGGGTTAACGCCCGAACCCAGCCACCCCCGTAGAGCTAGCTAGCTACCACTAGCAGGCCTGCCTAGTGTCAATTAATGGAGCACTATCGACGACTAAGGCGAGGTTCTTGAGAATCGAAGACTTCAAGTCACAATACAAGAAATTCACTGATCACCACACAAAGCTTACAAAGTTCTTTCAATCTTCTCCTTTAAAAACCAAGTACTGCTACTTTTCTTTACATTTCGGTACAAGTTTTCGGAGTTGTTGCTGGGTGAATTTGGAGAACTACCCCGTGCCAAGGCACTATCTACTGAACGCAACAGTGGACCTGACACCTCGGAACAATCGGGGCGGTATCATAAACTCCTCTCCAGTCGGTGCTGTCGTACCGGTTCAGCTCGTTCAGCAAGGGTGCACCCATGTTATTCGGATACCAGGTAATTTTTTGGGCACATTTATAAAATTTCTTTCTCTGATCATTTTGTTCTAATTTAATGAAGGGAAACTCAATACCAGTGGTAGTTCCTGAATTTTATCATTTGGACCCATGAAAATGGCACCCGCATTATGACTAAATTTCTATGAAATGTGGGGGTTTTGGTTTGAGTTTGTTAGTGTTCTATGTTTAAACTCTTAAAGAAAAAAATATTGTTCACATTTGAAAAAAAAAAAATTGACTGGTTTTTAATAGAGATCGATTATGAAAAAGTTATGAAAGGCACCGTTCGACCCCCAAACACCTCTGGATCCACGCCTGTATACTGTACATGTATGATTTTATTGTTCTCAAACTATATTGTAAATTGGAATAAGAATGAAACTTTAACTGTTTCTTCAGCTGAACTGACTTGAATTCTTAAAATCATTCAAGTTATGAGGGCCTAGTGTTTAGATCCAAATGCATCAAAAGGGACTCAACACCTTGGCTTCCTCTTATTTTCACTTGTGGGTCTCCTTTGAGTCCTGTTCCCATGGCTTTAGTTCCATTCTTGTTTTGTCTTTTTTTGTAGTGAGTGACCCAGATGGTGATGTGGTGAGATGCCGATTCGCTGACGAGTCAAACCGGGAGTGCTTCAAAGTCTGTGGTCCACTGGCCAATGCCGACCTGGAAAACTCAGGGGTACTTCAGATTGCCTTGATTCAATATGTACAGTGTTTTTTTTTGGGGGGGGGACTTTTTTTTTTTTAAACACAACTGTATTTTGCTGTGTTTTGTGTTGGTGAGTTTGTTTCTGCATACAATAGAGGACCTTAAACAATAGAGGACAAGGGTCCCCAGTTCCCAAGAGGTCCCCAATTTCGATTTGTGTACAAAACATTTGGGAGGTCTTCCTAAAAATTTAACGTACAAACAAAAGAGGGACAATAGGGGGCTCCCAATTGCAGGCAAATACACACTTGTGTGAGTTTGGTTGTGTTTGTTTTGGGGGCAATTGGGGGATGGTGGCTAATATCTTGTGTGTTCAACTTTCTTAAGTCATGCACAGTGAATCTAATTTCTATGCACAAACTTTTAATACATTCTTTCAGGATGAGTGTGTGTTAATTTACGATGGTTCCTCGCCTACTGTGGGATGGTATGCAGTCACCATCATGATTGAGGACTTCAACAGAAGAAGGAGTCGTAGACCTCTCAGTAGGGTGAGAGAATTGTTGCTGTTTCTTTATCAGTGGGTGTAGAGAGAATGTTGATTATGCTTTGAAATTCACAGGGTGAAATAAGAAAAGTTTAGAGATGTTTTACTTTAAGAAAATGCTACGAACCGATTTTGAAATGTGCCGCAGAACAAATATGAGGGGAAATGCTTCCATTACCTTTGTCTTTTGCATTTTATTTCATCATGTGCCAGAATATATTGCAACTTTGATATCCTAATTTATGTTTGTAGATTTTGTCTTGTTTGTAGATTTCTGAACAAGCACTGCAAAAAAAATACCAAAATAGAAATAATACTAAAATAATATTTTTATCAGATCCTCACACTTTTTTTTTTTTTTTTTTAATGATTGTTGGGTTATATATCTAGAATGAGAAATTTGCAATAAAAGTGATTAATGTATGAAGCAAAAAAAAAGATTTACCCAACAGAATAAATCTTTGACTAGAAATGAATTGAAACTTGAACTGTTGAACAGATGAGAAACAGATACGTTTTTCTTTTTTTTTTAAGTTGCTGTCCCGTGCCATATTTTCGAGTTCCCCCCTAAAAATGGACTCCTTTTCTAAATTGCCATTTTAGTACAGAAGTTCCTCACTTTGGAATGAGACATTGACTGAAAAAAGTGGTCCACGCTTAGTTATTTTGAATAACTTGTAGCCTGTCAATAATTTTGTTCTTATGGGGTAGGCTGGTGTGACTCCACGATCAGTACCGAAAATGTTCACACTGGGAGCCAGTCTGCTTGTAAGGTGGATCTATTTGTGCTAAAATAAAACAGTTTTTTTTCCACTTTTGCCTGCCATAGGTACCGCTTCATTTCTTGATCAATGTGACAGCGACTGATGATAATTGTCACCAGCCTCAATTTGTGAGCCCCACCCCTGAGAACGGCGACTGTCTGCCGGCCGCAGTGGGCCAACGGAAGACCATCAAGCTGGCTGCAAGGAGTGAGGATTCACGGTACACGTAAGTTAGTGAGGGAGTATCGTCCAAATAAGCAACTGCCCTATGATGGATTATCTGATCAATAGCTACCACAATGCTTTCTCCATTGAAGGGGGCCTTGGAGATACTAGCTCTGAACTAGATTGAGAAACCCCGGCTCTCATTGGAAATTTGACAGCTAGAGCTGGGGAGATATGTTCCCCTAAAAGTGTCCCTCTAACTGTTTTTAAAATAACTACAAAACCATGAGGCCAATTTTAAAAATGTTTGGTTGTGTAGATACTCCTTATTCTTGGCCTCAACCCCTATGAGTTTCATTTAATTTCAGTCATGCATCACATCTCAATTGCCAATTGAGCACAACAACATTTTAAACAGCTTACTTAACACAGTAATGAAATTGAATAAGGTAAGGAACTTGGTCACAGTGTCCAAAAATGTTGTAGTGATCAATTGACAATTGTGTATTGATGCATGACTGAAATGAAATAAAACCAATGGGGGTTGAGGCCAATGATAAGGAGTATCTGCACAACCAAAATAGCATCAAAGTTGACCTCATGGATTTGTTGTTATTTCAAAAATAGTCGGACGGACACTTTTTGGGGACATACTGTGTATTTCAAATCTGGGGTGTACAATATTTTCAACATATTTATTTATATTTGAGTCAATAAATTGCCTATTTCTCCCTTGTATAACAGCTAGTCAAGATAATGCTCACTTAACACGGTGCAGCAGTCATTGGCCAAGTTCGCGCAAGGACTATAGTTGACCAATGGTTAACTAACGTTTGCCCGAACTCTGTCTAGTCGACGATGGTTGACTACGCTAGTCGACTATTTGGAACCAGCCTACTGAGGTTGGTTGCTTCGCTGGTAACCAATAGCCGCGCGCATTCATAACGCTAGCAGAGAGCCAGGATCCAGAAGTTTTGCGATGACATTTTGACCAGCGTTTGACTAGAGACGTTCGCACGTTGCTATTAGTGCGCAGGCGTAAGGTACGTCACAAATCAACCACTAGTCGACTAATGGTCCTTGCCCGAACTTGGCCATTCATGCAACACAGGATTCATAGAAACTTAAAACAGAGCACAATTGAATTAAACATAGAAAACAAAATCAACTTCTATGATTTAACTATACTGACAGAGTTGAAGGGTATAACTGAATAATGTACCAACCCCTTACTAAACCATGCATAGGCATGCATCCGTTCAGTGTATTTCGTAGTCAAACACTGCAATTCTTGTTATAGTCACAATGTCAAGACGAGTAAAAGATGAGTCTTAAAATTAAATGTTGGCCCAGCATTTCATTGACAGAGAACAGATAAAGGGGAGAGAGGTGATTCAGATGATTTGAGTGCAATTTAATTGTGTAAATCTTTGACGAAAATTTGTGTTCAAAGTGTGGGGTTTGTGAAAAGTGTTTTAGAAGGTTTCGGCGTAGTAGACGATGTTTAGTGGGGCGTACATTAATAAATTATGAGCAGCAATTTATAATGCATTTTTTCTTCAACATTCATTCATCCACAGAATTTCAGGGATTTCCACCTTTGGTCTGCCTTTGGGAATGGAAGTCTCACCTCTGACCTCTGACCCAGATGACCCCTTGACCTTTTTCATCGAGCTAGGCTGGGTTCCCCGCAATAACCAAGTTGGTCCCCATCAGATCTGCTTCGCGGCATTTGATCGGAAAGACAACAAAGAGTGAGTTGTACCATATTTCTTAATGTGTGTGTGTGTATATACACCTGACTGCGTGATCTGATACACCGTGCCCTCTGGAGACGTGCACACAATAGGGAACAAAAGATTGTATACGTCTCCAAAGGGCAATTTCTATAGATGAATACGTCTCCACAAGATTTTCACGAAATTATGAAGCCCGGGAAGGGACAGGGTGAAATTTTTTTTTTGAGTTTGCTAATTCGTTCGCACGAATTACTAATTCGTTCGCACGAATTACTAATTCGAGGGAATGAATTAGTAATTCGTTCGCACGAATTAGTAATTCGTTCGAACGAATTACTAATTCGTGCGAACGAATTACTAATTCGTGCGAACGAATTAGTAATTCGTGCGAACGAATTAGCAAACTCAAAAAAAAAATTCCACCCTGTCCCTTCCCGGGCTTCATACGAAATAGATATATGGATTTTACTCAAAAACTAGGAATTTCCAAGGTGGGTTGATCTGTGACAAATGGAAGAGTTTTAGAAAAGGGATATTAAGTCCGAATTTCAGTCAAGGAAATTAATTCTGGTTAAAATAAGAGCATTTTGAAACTTCACTTTCAAACTCGAAAACTTTACTACACGAGAACAAAGAAATGTCTCCACAAGAATACAAATTTCAGTATGCGTGATGGACAGTTTAGAAATCAGGTGCCTAAAGGACCCAGACATTTGGGGGTCCTTGTTCAAGTACCAGAAGTGGAATCCCAAACCCCATCAGGTAATGAATATTCATCATCATTTCCCAGGTTTGTGCGGCATTGCTAATGTTACTAGCATTGTGACTTTGGGCGTGATCCCTGGCTACATGACATATACAGGTTTATGGCCTCTGAGCATCCTTGATGAAAGACATTGACAAAGTTGGCAGCATAGCACTGGATAGCTCAGTTGGTAGAGCACCGGAACGGCAATTCAGAGGTCGCAGGTTCAAACCTCACTCTGGTCAATTTCTTTTTTTCCACTTTTCAATTATTATGCATAATGCAAGTTATGCAACTAGTCTGTAATTTTTCTCAAATACTGTGATTTCCATGCTGGATTGACAAGCATAGGGGTGCCTATAAAATACAATTTCTAATGTAATGTGACATAATTATAATGTTTTTCTTTCTTTGAAGTTCTAGCAACTGGAAAAAGCTGCGTACTCTGTATTTTTGTACAATATGAGAAAGTCCATTTCCTTGATTTTGGGATAGAAAGAATTAGAATAACTGACTGTACTCTATCTATGAGGTGTTATGATTATTTTCAGTCACTGCACAGCTGGTCCTAAACCACCCAAGTGTATGGATTTACCAGGGAGATAAACATATTGTAATACATTGTAATACAATTTAATACAATGTAGTACAATGTAATACTTTAAAACACAATGTACATGCAGGCACAGCTGATGGTGTCATATTCTTTCTCTCTCTTTTTGTAGATTTGCATCTGATCAAGTTTGCATAAACGTTTATGTTGGAGGTAAGATCCAAGCTTGAAACTGTACTGATAAGTCTCCCTTTTCATCAAAAGTTTTGATTTATTAAAATCAACATATTTTGTTGCAAAAGTCCTGAATACACAACCTCCATGATAGTGTTAATAACTGAAAGCCAAAACACTTAGAACCTAATGCTTGCCTAATCTGTCATTCGATACAAATTAAGAGTCTAATTGTTTTCCTGTACCTGTTATATCTGAAATCTAAGATTTGTTTTTGTAATTTTGGATGCACTCTGTAATATTTGCTTCATCTGAGAGTAATTATGTGAAGCAATCGACTTACCAAACAAATAAAAATTAGCCTGACATCATTTTTAAATAAAAGGCAAATGCCATAGTACAGAGGTTACAGGGATAGGAAAAAATGTCACACTTCGGCCCTAAATTTGCAGAATGACCATTATAGATATTTCAGATAATTTTGCTAGCTGAAGGGTGAGGAAAAATTGACCGTATTATTTTAAGCTTACCTTTGCTCCACACATAGTGTTTCTGTCTGCAGTAATCCCTGCGTGCCTCACTTTGTCCTTTTTACCATTTCTCCGATCATTTCCCATTCCCATTTTCCCCTTTCATAAATGTATAATAACAATAATAATTTGGATAATGTTTCCTTCCCACAGCCTTGGTTGCACACCCAGTCCCTGAGACTTCCAGTCCACAGCCAGGAGACATTGTGGATGTATCCAATCAGGAGTGGGAAATCCATTTCAATTCAACGGTAAGGTGATGCAGAGAGGAAACTACTTAAGTGGAACAACAAAATTGAGTGGAGCGGGGTTTAAATCTGCGACCATTGCCATTTTGGGGGTAAGGGGGGTATTTAACCCCCCCCCCCCCCAATATTTTGTAAAGACTGCCTTTTTCCATTCAAATGCCCTTTTTTCAACAGGCTTACCCCCCCCCCCCAATAATTTGTAAAGAGTGCCCTTTTTTTACGAAGTGCCCTTTTTTTCTGAACAAGTGCCCTTTTCAAAAAAGAAGTGGTGCCCTTTTTTGAGGCATCTGCAGTTTTGGGTGCCTTTTTCAGAATTTCGCACATTAAAATTACTACGCCCCTGTAGTAATTTTAATCAGCTTTGTAATTTCTATCATTGTCAATGTGATAATTATTAATTTTGTCATAAATGTGCATGGGCGTCGCCAGGATTTTTTTCCAGGCGGGAGGGGGGGGGGGGGGGGGGGCGCATTTGCCCCAAAACTCCTTAACTTTTTCAACATATTCTCAATTTATTATTTTTTGCGACCGTGGGCAGGGGAACATTTGCCCTACCCCCCCCCCCCCCAAATCAAATAAACAGCAATATGGCTTTGCACCTCTTTTCCCTTTTCCAGGGGGCAAGGTGGGCAAGCACCCTCTTGCCCCCCCCCCCCCTCCTTGCGACGCCCATTTGGATGTATTATCCATGTTGCCATTGTCAATCTTCGTCAGTAAACAGTCATCTTTTTCACTCACATTTTCATTATTAACATAAAAAGGTATACATAAATTTCGTTTTAATATGATCATCACAACTCATTGTCATTTCCATCATCATATTGATTATTACATATAGCGATAAGGCCAAGAACAAATTACTTGGTACCTGTTTTCTAATAACCTACCCAACGTTCAAAATCATGCAGAACTTAAATTTATCTTTTGATTTGAAAAAAAAATTGTAAAAAGGTTTTGTGCCGTCCCCCCACCCTGGTTTTGCAGACAAAGTCCTGCAATTTTTTTGGAAATTTGGATTTCTTTTTTTTTTGTAAGTTGGTCAGCAATGCAGACTTGATACACCATGCAGCGAAGCCTGTAAACACCACAGCAAACGTTGAATGAACAGTAATTCACATGTTAACTGTTAGGAGAACATGCCAAAAAAGTTTTTACAAAACATCAATGATAGATTTTTGTCTCCTTTTCTTTGTTTAATTTATCAACCGTTTGTAATAATGTCACATTTTAAAAATTAAATAAAGGTTGAATTTGATACCTTTTTCTTGTTATGAAAATTTAGGACAAAGGAAATCAATTTTAAATACCCATCCACCCTATATATTTTTAATAAAAAATATAGGAAAGACACCTTTTTTTTTCAGCCTAATTACGATTGTCACTTATATCATTGCCACTGTCATCCCCTTATACATTTAATCATTCCTGTATGTATATGTCATTGTCATCCCACCCAGATGCAATCATAATTCCTGTTCATTTGTCAATGATTACCACAGATAATGCAGCACACCACCGAGGCCGGTGCCATCGTGTCCTTCATCAGAGCCGACACGGGCGAGCCCGTCCACACAGTGAACCTAGCCTCCGAGTCCGATCCCAACATCCAGTTTCCCATGTCGGACACTGTGGTCTTCAACACCCCCGGGTTCATCCTGGAGGGGGAGACGGAGTACATCCTGCGGGTGCACGAGGGCGCTGTTCGCAGCGACACGGACTGCAAGTCCCTCTCATCTGCTCATGAGTGGCACTTTGAGACCGGGCGTGAGTGAAATAGTTTTTTTTTGTACACCAATATGATGGTTAATCAAATCAGGTTTAGCCTTTCACCGACGTTTTTAAACACTGTATACTCAGTGTGTTACCTCCCTAGTGAAAGTTGGAAAAAATCACTCAGGTGGGACTCGAACCCACGACCTCCTGCTTTCTAGTGCAGATGTCTTACCACTCTACAACCGAGCTAATGGGATTGGTTGGCTGGTTCGAATCTGATGTACATAGCAGCAGGATCTAGCGGGTACGTTTTTAAAAACGTCGGTGAAGGGCAAAACCTAATTTGATTGATATCACCCCGATGCAAAAATCCCATCTTATAATATGATAGTTTCTAATCATTTTTTTTTGTGGCCGGATTTTATATTTTTTTCTTGGTGAACTAGGGCACATATTAAGGGTGTGATTTGTTATGATTTTTCCTGATTTCAGGATTTTTTTATCAGGAATTAAAAAAAATTCCTTTTGAAGTCTGGTATTCCCGAGGTTTTACTGTAAAGGTGGTTTTAATATGCATAATAGTTTATAAAGAATAAAAGACATGTATTTTAAGGTCTGCCCGTAGACCCTACGTTATTCTGGGGAACTGGGCGACCCTCAAACTCTCTGCCAATTATTTGATGGATTTTTTTAAAAAAACATTCCCACATCTCAACTCTGATGTAGACATTTCTTTTGATTACAAACACAAACATCTTATTATATTGGCAGCCATCAGGTTTTAAAATTCCATTCCTAGTTGGTAACAGATTTTGTCTACAATCAGTGTTGAAGAGAGTGCTCAAAGTTTATTGTAGATTTTGATAGCTGGCTGTACATTTTTGAATTTTTGACAAAAAACTTTTGCAAATTATTCTTTTGTTTAGTTACAATCGACACCATTGAAATCCATTGTTCTTTTGCTTCCTCAGCGGACCGTTCCCTCCCGGCCACCAGGTTTTCTCCCGAGGAGATCAGACGCACCCCCACGGCCGTGCCGGAATGTTTCTCCAGCTTCATGCTGATCTACGTGTCTAAGTCCTGGCTTGCAACCGTCAGTTCACTCACCGACCCGGCTGGGATGTACCTGAATGACCCATTATGCATTGGAGAAGACTTCAACGAGACACACTACGTCCTTGGGGCACCACATGACATGTGTGGTACCGTTGTAGAAGTAAGTTCAACAAGGAACCATACAGTCGACTCTCCTTAATACGAACAAAATTCTGGTTCCGTGCATGAATGATGCACCTCGATCTCCCAGGGGTCTTGGGGTCAATCTTCCTGCAGCAGCCCACATAACCACACCTATGTTTACGTTATATACCTAGGGTGGACATTCCTTTGTTTTCGTGTAGTTAAGAAAAACCTGTGAAAGAAACTCATTTTACTCACACTGTGAAAACTCTCTCAACCCAATTTTTTTTCTCTGATTCCCTTGACTGTTTCTCTTCATTTTGCGATGGATAAACTTAACCCAAAAATGCCTCTAAACCTGTTTTCCAGAGCAGGGGGAAACACTGTGTGGATGTGGGCAAGTTCAGAAAACTGGTTTGTGTAGACATCTTTTGTTCGGAAGTCCAAGCAGTGAATGTAATGCTTTTACAGTGTTTTCACTATCACAGTTTTAAATCCAAGTTTTATAATTGGCTCAAATCTCCTCATGAGGTGCAAAAATAAGTACAGCTGTAGTTGTGACTGGTGTAATGACAATCTGCTGTCCTTTTCCCTTTTCAGGTTCTTATTTGTAAAAAACAACAAAAAATCTATAAAAGGATGCAAAATTGCTGTCTGTTACTGTGTGTGTTAAATGTACGTGGAATGTGTTGTTAAAAGCATATAGGATCATTTGCATAGTATCCCAAATGTATAAGGCTGACTAACACTCCGTGATATGATTCCATCTGGCTTGCTGTCATATAAGAAGAAATCAAAAAATGTAGACGATCAGTCAATAATTGACAGAATTGTGTTTTGTGATAAAAAGGTTGTGCATAGTTTTTCACTCATTTCTCAAAAAGTGTAATATACACTGACCTGAAAGTGTACAACAGATTAGGTTTTGAGCATTCTTCTTTTGATTTTGAGTGGTGTTATTATTGGAAGTATACAAAATACATTTTAAAGCAAATGGTCCTATTAAGGAATGACAGTGAACTGATGTGCAGGAGCAGAGCAGAGCCTTGGGAGGAGGTGACGTCGCACTTCAGCATCAGATTGATAGGAGCATAAATGGCATAATGTAATATCTATTTTTATTTTACAGTCTGAAAGCAGCAATATTCAAACGGTTGAGAACATTGTCCACATTCCTCCGCAACCCCTGATTAACGGCTCCCTCATCACCAGAGACAACAACATCGAGGTCCACGTGACCTGCCGCCTGGAGGGGGCAAAGGTCACCCACGCTCAGTTTGACCCCAACATCACCACCATTGTCTACCATGAGACGGGCTACGGGACCTTCAACTTCCAACTGCGGATGTTCCATGACACAACCTTCGGGCCTAAGTACAAGCCTAGTAGTTACCCTATTGATGTGTACCAGCGACAGCGGTTGTACTTTGAAGCCAAGGTCATATCCGATGAAGACATGTCTGTATTCCTGGAGTCCTGCAGAGCGACCCCAACTGCCAATCCAAGAGATCCAACACACTACATCTTCATCAATAAAGGGTAAACAATCAAGAGTGTAGCCCAGTGGTTAGGGTAATAGAGTTCTAATCCAGCGGCTGGCCATACAACCCGTAGGCCGTTTCCTACCCAAGCTAAAAAGTGAATGCGAATTTGTGACGTCAAGTAAAAGTTTTTGCACACGTGTTGAGCACATTTCAGCTTTGGCAACTTTTCCAGCAAACACGCTTTGTGAAGTAGAATTCGCTTTGATATATTGTGAGGATCGCAAATTCTCAGGAAATGCGATCAGCATAATAGAAAGAGAAATAAAGGACTAATGTATTTAGTGCAGGATTCAATGCTCGTACACTTAGTCTCAATGTAGTAAATTTAAACTTGAGTACATACTTCTTTTTGAAACCATTCTTGGATGTGATAAAATGATTCATAAAAATATTGATGTTCATAAAGTTATTATTATATATATGAGGCGTTCTGGCAAAATGAGACAGAAATGGTCAGAGGTCGAAATGAGGGTTTGCGGGTATTAGGAAAGAGAATAAATTCTCCTTACAATACTGTTTGTTGCACTGACCGATCTGATATTCCGTCGACAAGTTATGGCTGTTTAAAGTTTGCATTTATCGACCTTATCAAAAAGTAAAATGCTGAGAAAAAGACCCTTAAAGTTTCAAAGTTTGTAGTTGTGAAAATGAAGGATGCCAATTGTTTTTCCTTAAAAACACTTTTATTCCAAAATTTGTATACTTTTTCTTTATGTGTAGTAGACATATCAAAGATTACAAATATCAATAAATCTGAAAATTGAAATTTTTTTTTTTTTTTTTTACATTTTTCTCCACTGCAGCCTGTGCCCAGTTCCATCTTGTTTTTCCAGAATGCCTCACATATTCATTTTAATAAACTTACGATAGAGGTTTGCAATATCAATAAGAAAGACTTTTGGAATGAAATTTCAGATGCCCGGTTGACGACACTGTCGAGTTCCATCATCATTCCAGCACCATACGAAAGCGGTTTTCCATCGAGGCTTTCGCCTTCATCGGCCACAACCTTCATGGATCGGTAACCATTATTGTAACCTTTTTTCCAAAACATCTTTATCACAAAGAACTATCTCAGACCTAACTCTGTGTGTGTGTGACGAGATAATATATTGGCTCAAAATGTATTGGCCCAAAAGTCATAGCGCATTGTTTTAATTATGTTCAATTTAGGTGATTTATTCAACAGCTATAAATGAATGAAAATTATTGGGATAAACCATTATATCCGCCAGCTACTTACAGAGTCATTGAGGATGTAAGTACAAAATTCTGTAAACACTGGACTGGCTATGTGTCATGTTTAATAAGTATGAAAAATTAAAGAAAACTTAAGAAGAGCTGTCTAACTTTTTCCCCAAACTTTTTGATTGCATGGAAAATTACAGATTGCATATATGGTTAGTTGGTTGCCATTATCTCCATCGACTTTTGTACATGTTTTTGTTGTTGACTTGTTCTGCCCGGAGTTCGTTAATAAGATTTTCTTTTCATATGAACAATTACAGGTATTCATTCACTGTGACATAGCTACGTGCTTTGCGGAGGACGTTGATTCTAAATGTGCCAGGGGCTGCGTGGAAACTCCATCTATTGCTAGGAGAGATACATCCGAGACTGGTTCCTCATCCTCCAAAGCCTATCCAAACACAGATGGGCCTATTAGGATCCATACCGGAGAGAAAGGTATTTTATTGATTTACTGAACATTTATTCCACGCTGTTGCTTGCATAGTACAAAAGGTCGTTACGATTTGTTAAATTGTGGTTTGACACTGCAATGTCATTGGTCTAGAACGGCCGCATGTCCAGTCTATAAAAAATGACTGTTTACGTCATATATACGCTGTGTTGTATATAAATTACCTCATATACACTGCCTTGCATATAAAACATCCCATATATACCACATTGCATAATAATATTGATCTGATACACCGTGCCCTCTGGCGACATGCACACAATTGGGAACAAAAGATTGTATACGTCTCCACAGGGCAATTTCTATAGATGAAAACGTCTCCACAAGGTTATCACGAAATAGATATATGGACCTTACTCAGAAACTAGGAATTTCCAACGTATGATGATCCGTCGCAAATGGAAGAGTTTTAGAAAAGGGATATTAATTAAGTCCGAATTTCTGCCAAGGAAATTAATTCTGGTTAAGATAAGAGCATTTTGAAACTACACTTTCAAACTTGAAAACGAGAACAAAGAAATGTCTCCACAAAGATACAAATTCCAGTAAGTTTGAGCGCGCATGAAGAGTGTGCGTGTATGGAATCCATGCGCCAACAAAAGAGGGCGCATTTTCACCACTTTTGATAGCCCAGTGGACGGGACACACAGTATACATTGCCAGATCATGTTTACACGTCCTACGGCATCAACTGGTTGATAACAGTTTAGTTGCCTCTTTTTGCAAACAGTAATGCTGGCCCATTGAGATCTTCGCATATTAGAAAATTTTCGTCTAGTCTTGATCTTGACTTGGACTCAGATAACATGGACTTGCCTCCAACACTAAAGAGTGCTACGGGAGGACAGTTGTCCTTAATGTTCATTAGTCCAGCATATCCGAGTGCATGGGGTATCCGTTTGAGATCCTCTTTGGCATTCCTTGTGCTGTTGCAATTAATAACGTCACAAAGTTTTCATTCCATTTTTTTTCCAGACACAGTGAACCAAGCAAACCCAGTGATGCTGGCTCCCAGTCAGTTCAACTTCTCCCTAGTGGAGCTACCGATGCTGACGGCAACCATCCTCCTGCTTTTCATCATTCTTGTCGTTCTGGTCCGAGCCTTCAAGTTCATGAGGCGGAGTAAGAAGCAGCAGACACCCATGTACCCTCACCGCGTGGACAGGATCAAACTGCCTTCCATCAGGATTGGCAATGAGTAACGTCTCATATGTATGTCTGATTCCATTTGCATCTATGGACTCCGTGCACTTGAAGTACCCCCTCATGTGGTTACAAGTGGAGAGTTGGGGGAGACCATTGGGAGGGATGTTTTGAACGCATTGTCAGTGGCGCCTGACGCTGACACATAGACGCTACGGATTTGTGCATATTCAGTGTAACATATTAGTTGTACGTAGTTCGCGTCATACGCGTGGAAACCAGTTTACATACATGCGAAATAGTTATATTCATCTATTTCTTTCTGGTAATGAAATCAAGGATTCCTCACAAGTGCCCTAGGTACTACGTAGCTCAAAAGCTTGTTGAAACTGCAGAGAGAGAAGACAATGAGCAGGCATTACAGTTTTTAGAGGTGGGAGGAAAACCCCAGAAGAATATTTTGGGGAAAACCCACAGAATTAGGTAGGGACTGAAAACCCAATCCACATGTGGTGCGGGCAGGAATGGAACCCAGGCCAAAGCAGTGGAAGGCGAGGACAGTAACCACTAAGATCTATTAATTTCTCAGACTGGCACAAATTGACTCAACACCTGTTTACTTAAACGTATTTTAAAAATACTACATGCCTATTTAGTTTGTATACTAAGACTTGTACCTTTATAACGTGACATAATAAAGCACATGAAGAATTATTTCCTTTTCATCGTTTCTTTACGGACAGGCTGCAAAATCAGAAAACGAGACTACTTTTATCATTTTGCCATGCATTGTATAATAATGCTTGCTTTATTTACATTTCACGTACAAAAAAAAGAAAATGTCATAAACCATATTTAGCACATCACACACACTTTATGCTCCCAAAGGATTCAAGAATTGAAAAATAATACATCATTTTACAAGTTTAAAAGTGCATAAATTACAAATAGGTGATTTACAAGTACAGTGTATTCATATAATAATTGTTTAACTTTATTTTATATTTGCTTTTATGAACTGATACATGCATCTACACACTTTATATACAGTATTCTTTACAATGAAGCTTATTTTTTATTATTTTTGTTTTAACAGCAAAGATATACTAACCAAATATGGGTTAGCATTTACAGGGTAATATGTAGACCTCTGGGTACACTTCCTCTGTTTTCCAATTGATACGATGAGTGGTACAATTGCCTCTTATCCCCATTAAACAAATCACAGCTAGGGCATGAAAAGTTGTGTTTTTTTTTTTCATGCTTTGAACATTAAAAATCATGAATTAGAAAAATCATGACAAGTTCTTATGCCAGAATTTTTCCGGCAACTGTTACAAGCTTGGTCAAGCCTGCAACAGTTTTACCTGTTAAGTTTAGTACATCTTGTGAAAACTAGCAGTAGTGTGTGCCTATTGTATACCATTTGTGAGGGGTACTACTATATTTTACTCATGTTCTACATTATATTTTGTATATAAAATAACACCACATTTTTAAATTATGCATGGAAATGGTGAGCTTATGTATAGATGCTTATTATGTGTAATACTTTTATGATAACTATACACAGTATTCTAGCATAATTTCAATTAGCCTATTTGAGAGATGACAGACACAATAGGAAGACGCTATTTTGGCTTGGGTAAATTTGGGTAAACACAAAATAGTTTACCCAGACCAACTAATGCCCTCCTATGGTGTGTATCATATCTTAAAATTGGCTAGTGCTTTGCTCAAATAGAAACTTAACGCTGTGCTACAACTGTGTGCCTAAGTTTCAGTAAGCTACCGTTAATATGTAAACAGTGTCATTTCTCAAAATGTGTGATTCACGCAGCTACATGTGTAATATGTTTCAGAAAATGTATGCAAAACTAAAAAACCTTTTTGAGATTTCAATTAATAAAGGAAAATTTGACCTTTGCTTTTTTGTGTTTCTGTCAACTTCAACCAAAGTTTAAACAAACTGTAATTGAAACCGCTGTTTCAATAGCATAGCAAATGTAGTACAGGATGATGCAATTTTAATATGTGCGGATTGAAATAACAGAAATTTTAATATGTAAACATAGGTTTGAAAAAAAAGTAATTGTGGAATATGTTTTAAATAGGCTTTGTAGTGGGATGCATGCAACCCTAAATGAGTTTCGCCGCATACTTACGCGAAAGCGAAGCGAAGTTCGTGACGTCGACAATACCTTCGAAGCGCGTCCACCATTGTTGATGACATGAATTTCGCATCGCACTTGCTTTCTTGTGAAGTTTGAACCGGGCTTAAAGCTACAGCAAAAAAGTCTCAAAACTCTTGTCTTGCATTACATTTTTCGCCACAACGAAATCCATGCATAGTTTAAAATTAGGCCATAACTAGCACAATTGACCTATCGCCATTTGCGAGTTAGCCACGCCCCTTAGACAACCCTATGGAATTCTGTACGTTAAGTTTTGATTGTCTCAGATTTTGCGCATTCCGCGTCCATTTGTATATCATGTAATTGGACAATATTTCACAAGTTGCGTTGACGCGATTCTACCGCGATAGGTTAATTATCTATCATACCATGCAGCGGTATGTTAGGGTTTTAAAAAAGAGTTCAAAGACATATTTCATGCAAGTTTGGTTCCTTACCAATCTTAAGCACTCGGCCCCTCCGCAAGAAAGGCTAGACACAGTCCGTGCAACATTCCCATCTTGGCCCAAAGTAGATAAGGGTAGGCAACCAAACACATTTTGGTTGTCTACCCTTATCTAAATGCAGAATGCTTTTAAAAACTGCAATTTGACAAAGGGTGAAGTTTGTCAGGATTTTGGCAGGATTTTGTCAGGATTTTGTCAGGATTTTCCTGATTTCAGGATATTTGTGGTCAGGATTTTTCCCGATTTCAGTATTTTTAAAGAATCCCTTTCAAATCTGGAATTCCTGAGGTTTTACTGTGAAGTTTTGTTTTACCTATAAAAGTTTAAATGTAACACCACAATGGGTATTTTAAGGGTTGCCTTTAGGTAAATACAAATATATACACATACCATTGCTCTTGGGCCCTTGGCAACCCTCAAACCCTCTGCCGATTACCTCGTGGATTTTTCATTTTCCACAAATCTCACCCCTGAATTTGGATCTTTATGAACAAGGATGGAAAATCCTTGTTTGATGTCACACCACTGGCAACGTAGGTTTCACTGAAGGAACGCCCTGAGGAAGTCATTGTATGATATCTTGCCTTCCAGACACCTGTCGTAGTAGGTCATGAGGTGAAAGAACTCGTCCTCGGAGAGGTTGATGTTGAACTGTCGCAGGACCGAGCGGAACTCGGCGGCGGTCACGATGCCGGTGCCGGTCGGGTCGATGCCGCGGAACACGCGCCGCATCTGCTTCCAGTTGTCCAGGATGCACTCGCGGACCCTCAGCATGGCCTCGATCATGTCGGTGCTGGATGAGCCTGGCTTGGTCTGAGAAAGAAGGGGGAATAAAAAAAACAAATCATGAATATTAGTACTTTACATTATCAAATTCTTTGAACTTGGATTTCACATCAAATTTGAGTATTTGACGTGCCAATCAATTTTTACACATTCCAGCCATAACTGCATATAGCGCTGTATAAAAATGGGCCATTTATAAGGATTTGCGTGCGCTTGTAAATATGAAATAAATATCAAGAACATCATGTATGTATCGCTACATATATTTTTTAAAGAAAGCTGACAAACTGACAATTGCAAGATTTCCAGTTGCAATTGGGTGCTAGTAGCCTTCACAGTATCTCTCAAAGTCATGCACTAAAAAGACTCGGCAAAAAAAGTTCCATTTTAACAGATAATAATGCCACGCACCTAAAAAAGAATAAAATCATGGATGTTGTTTTCACCTTCTCAAAACCGCTTACATGTTTTGAATATTCAAACAAAAAATGCAATTCAAATATTAGAATATTCAGTACATTTTGGATAGTCATGTATTTGATTAAGCCAATTGCGCTGATATGACAGCATTGAGCTTTATAAATCCCCACGGTGTGAGATTATATAATCCAAATTGTCATCCTTATTATCATCCTTACCGGAATCTTAGATGGATGTATCCTCTGTCTGCTCGTCAGTGTCCTGTCTCCTTCCTCGGCCACCGGCTGCAGCTTCAGCACAAAATGCTTCAGGAAGTCCAGATAAGCAAACCTAGGAGGGGATGAGCAGGAAACTTCGGTCAAAAAACTTTCAATAACACGTATTTGGTGACAGTCTCAAAAACATTACACAAGCTTTGTACAAAGCAAAATGACTATTATTTGTCTCCGTGCACAGACAGTAGAAGACGCTTTTTCACAAGTTTTGAGAACCCAGTAGATGGAAATCACCGCGTGTGCATATTGGTTTGCTTGCACATAGCATAAAGAACGCACGACTAATTTTATTAGTAGTGAGCACAAACAATTTGTCGTGTCAGTGCAAAAATGTCAGAACTCAGTTTTGAGTCGTTTTGAAAAAAATATGCATAAATAGGTTTGCGGTGGCTTGCTAAATTTTTGCATGAAATCAGTTATGACTTCTTAGTACTCATTGATTCCCGTATTTCGCAGAATGTCAGATTGCGCTGCGAGGTGATGAGTTTCTTTGAGCATATTTGATAGACGGAGACTTACTTTCCGTTCCCCTTCAAGTCGTACTTGGTGGTGAGCTGATCAAACTCCTCCCCAAACAATGAGAACCCAAGACCTTCCAAGATAGCTGCAAGAGACGATGATCAGAAATCAAACAATGTCTCAAAATATTCCCAAACTATTCTAATATTTACAATTCTGGACCCAGAAACATACTGTTAGTACACATCTATACTGCCAGGAGCAAGTTCGAGGAAGGACTACGGCCAACCATAGTTCAATCAACTTCACTCGAACACAGGATGGTTGCACTACTCTAGTCGACTGATTGGAACTTAAGCCCTGGACACAGTTCCATCACTGGTTACCAGTAGCCGTGCGCAGGGAGCATAACACACTGCAGGGAGCCAGGATCAAGACGCTTTGTAATGACTTTTTGACCATCGATTAAAGATGTTTGCACGATGCTATTAGTGCGCAGGCGTGAGTTACGTCACAAATCAACCACTTGTCCACAAATGGTCCTCGCCTGAACTTGCTCCTGAAAATATAATGGCTTCAGTTCTGAAATTTGAAAGTTGAATTTCTGCCTATAATCAAATCGAACAGATGTTATACTGCAAGGTTACAAGAAAAAAGTTTATGTGGGCACGTGTGGTCTAGCAGTAGAGCATAGGATTCATGATCGCGAGATAGTGGGTTCGAGCCCCGCCGTGGCCAAGCGTGTTGTGCCCTTGAGTAAGGCACTTTACCTCAATTCCTCCTCTGAACCCAGGCGTTAAATGGGTACCCGGTTTATTCAATGCTGCTAAGGTAACAGACTCGTTGTGGAGGAGGTGTGGTGATCCCCCACAGCAGCATATGAGTCTGGCCCAATCGCTAATGAAAGAGAGATCTGTTCCTGTAAACACAGGTTCGCCCCCCCCCCCCCTTACAAGAAGAAAATGTCAAGACAGAAAGTTGTAACTATGTGACGCCCCCTTCAGAGCCACTTCAGAGCCAATATTGTAAGACGTGCACTCGGATACATGTTATATTGAAAATGGGCTTTAAAGCTTGTTTGCCCGACATTCTCAGTGGCATACCTTTGAAGTCCTCAGCGTTAACCTGTCCCGTACTGTCAGGATCTTTCTGTCGGCAGAGACGTTGGACATCCTTCCACTGCTTGCCTATCTGGCTCTTGAGTCTCTGCTCCGCCCCGTGGGCGTTGACGAGGGGTGTGGCCAGACGAGATTGTTGACCAGTCAGCCTGCCAGACTACAATTAGAGAAGACAAAGGGAAAGCAGGTTAGCAAATGGAGAACCCTTGCCTCTCTTTAGGGCTATAAATATCCTCTGGACGTCTGGACTAAGACTAGCTATATAAAAAATGCTCTCCCTGAGCTATTTTGAATTTTGGCCTAAGGCCAAAAAAAAAATAAGTCGGTCTCTGGTCAGCGCGCGCGTCGATTTTAATCATGCGCGTCGATCTTTTTTTTTTTCCAAAATGTTCCGCGGTAGCTCCAACAGCGGCCTCTATTTCCGCACCTCCTCAATTTTTTTTACCGAAGAGCACCAAGGAATGGGAAATTGCACCAAGGCAAATGATCGAAAGCACCAAGGCAAATTATGGAGGACACCAATGTATATGAGGACACCAAAAAAGCAAAATAGTACCCACCTTGTCTGTACAATCCAAGCTTGAAGAAAAAAAAAAATAGCAAAAAAAAAAAAAAAAAGCCGCGTGGCCGCGTCAATTCCGGAACTTTGGTCTGACCAGAGACCGAATATTTTTTTTTTTTGGCCTAAGAAACAGTTTTTCTTTCTTTCTAAATCGCTATTTCTCAAGCAATACAAAAGTTATGAGACATCCGGTACCAGCTCATGTTTAGTTACGGTACAATTTCTTTATAAATGTGGAATTACTTGCGGACTGACAATAATTCAGCATATCTTTTGTGCGTTGTGTCGTGTGGTGTGGGGAAAGTAAGTAAAGTCTGTCACAAGCCAATATGGCCCTAGTCTATGTAATACACCATGGCGAAAGCTGATTAATTAGGCAAGACCCTGCCTCTTAACCTCGTAGATTTCGACCAATCAACGGGCGCTTTCTATATCGGGTCTTTGGTCATTCACCCGTTGTGCGTCATAGACAATGGATAAAAAAAAAGTGTCACGAGCTCTGTATCATGTTACGCCATATATTGCACCCGGCTGTTGTTGTATTACAAAACATTGCAGTCCAATTGACCAATCAAACCATTTAGTCCTGATAATTTATAGGAATGAAATGACAACACGATTTAGTCGACTCTGATTGGCTGGTGCGCGGCTTGCATATATCTGCATGTCTTCACATATAAGATATTATACAGGACTTGGCTCTGTGGATAACGGGTGATACTCAGACAAATATGGCCCATGGCTTGTGACAGACTTTATCTCCAGTTTCTGTGGCATGAAATAGCTGAGAATATTGCTATTCTCCCCTGGATGGGATGCTAGTCCATTGCAGGTTACTCCCCAGCTAAAACCGGTACACATGTACACTCCTCGTTCGAGACAGGCAAGTGGGAGCGAAGTGGCTTGCTCAAAGACACAGCACATGGCCAGCAGCTGGATTCGAACCCCTGACCCTCTGATAATAAGTCACTACTCATGAGCTCTAACCACTAGGCCACACTACCATGGTGCGATTAACAAAAATCAATTGTACGATTCCTACCATTTTGCTGGGTGTCCGTGATGCCGGGCTGGTGTAGATCTGCCGCACCGGATGAACTGAGCCAGCCCTGGGCATCTCAGACAGCGAATCAAACTTGGACACGTCCAGGTTATCCACCATGTACAGCTTGAGAAAGCGACGATACTCCACGTTGCCAAACTCATTGACTGGCAGCGTGTTCCACAGACTGTCAAACTGGGGTAAGCAAAACAAATAACTGTGTAAGAACAAAACCTGAGCAAACAAATGATCATATGATCACTTCATAATAATCATAGCTATTAAAGCTGGAGTCCATCATTTGCAGCTATCCAAAAAGTAACTGGCGTAATTCTTGTTGAAAAACATACTTGGTTGAAAGATAGTAACAGAACTAAACTCCCTGTGAAATTATTGTTTCTGGAAAGCTGTCATTTTGAAGTAATCAACGAAAGAAGGCATTTCCAAGGGTGCTTCTTAAGACGCACCGTAGGAAATTTAAATTAGTAGTTCATTTTGTTTTGCAGCGAAGCGCGTGCAAGCATTGGCATGACGCACACGCTCGCGGTTGCTATAATTTGTCGGATCAGTGCGCAACATCGCGTAGCTGCAATCGGCTAAGTGAGAACGTGTCTCGGACGCTAAATTCAGGCCCAATTCAAAACATGATTCAGCAACTTTTGATTCGAAATCAAGATCCTAGAATGCTGTTTTTCTCGTAATATACAGCTGAAGCTGAGCTGAAACCTCATCAGGTTAGTTGTTCAATACCCTTCTTTAGATTTTGGGCACGTTTGTTGCTTCAAACGAACAAAATGCACAAATTACAAATGATGGACTATACCTTTAACTATTCTTAACGTATGAATACTATTACATTTATGGCCCGACCCAGTGAGGAATTGTCAGCTTTGTTGTACCTGGTCTGGATTCATCCTGAAGCCGATCTCGTCCATCACCATCTTGAAGTCTTCTTTACACACCACGCCAATCTTGGCGTAGTCGATCTCGGCGAACCGCTCGGCGAATCGATAGAAGCGGGCCGAGACTGTCTCCCTCAGGTCCCGCTGTAGGTCCTCCAGGGTGTAGAGGGGCGGGGACTGGGAGGTGTCCTCCTCCACCTTGTTCAGGGAGTCAAACCAGTTGTTGGCAATCTAGGATGGGGATAAATGGAAAAGGAAAAAAAAAAAGTCATTTAGAAGTGGAAAATGTACTGTCCGTGCTAATTTCAAGTTTTATTCAAGTCAATTTTATGTTACATTAGTGCCCAGTAAAGGAAACTTTTTTTGGTCGACAGCTAACAATAAGTTATTAAAAGCAAAAAAAAATAAAATAAAATAAATGGAAAAATATCTTATCTCTTTTTAAAGCATTAGTTTCCTAACAATACAAAAGTTATTCACATTTTGAATGAGCCATTACACAAAGAAAAATCCTCCCACAGTGGGTTATGGAAAAATTACTTCAAAAATTTAAATAATTTGCGGTCAGACAGTACTATTTAAAGTTCAGTTCTTATGGGGTAGACCTCAATAATGTAGGGACATACATCACACACTGGTTGTGCCGGATTCCATGACTTTTTCCATGAGTTTTTTCTTGTATTATTAACTTTCAATGACTCCTTGTAAGAAAAACCCCACGAAATTCCATGACATTTCCATGATGTTCCATGAGATTGATAAATTCCAGGATTTTTCTGGATTTTTCCGTGACGGGATTTTTCCATGACTTTGGGAATCCTGAAAGAGGACAAAACCCTGACCTCATTTTCATTGGTGGAGAATTCCTCCAGGAAGGTCATGTAGCTGAGGGTCAGGTCGGAGTTCACACGGATCTTTGACATGAGGTGCTTGAACTGCTTGTCCGTCAGCTTGAAGCAGAAGTTATCCAAGACGCGACGCAGCTGGGGTGCTGTGATGCGTCCACTTTTGTCCTTGTCAAAAGCCCCAAAGGCCTACAATGGGTAAAAAAAAGAGTGAAAAAAATAAAATTGTTTTATTACAAGGACCAATGAATGGAAAGGAATGCTTCAATGCCATCATTAGTTGATTGCAAGTCCATCACAGAGTGTGCGACAATGTCTTCATAAGTCGATCGTAATTCCATCACAGAGTGTGGCAATGTCATTAGAAGTCGATCATAAGTCCATCACAGTGGTGACTATGTCATCATAAGTCGATCATAAGTCCATCACAGAGTGTGACTATGTCATCATACGTCAATCGTTAAGTCCATCACAGAGTGTGGCAATGTCATCAGAAGTCAATCATAAGTCCATCACAGTGGTGACTATGTCATCATAAGTCAATCATAAGTCCATCAAAGAGTGTGACTATGTCATCATAAGTCAATCGTTAAGTCCATCACAGAGTGTGACTATGTCATCATAAGTCAATCGTAAGTCCATCATAGAGTGTGACTATGTCATCATAAGTCAATCGTAAGTCCATCATAGAGTGTGACTATGTCATCATAAGTCATTCCTAATTCCATCACAGAGTGTGACTATGTCATCATAAGTCAATCGTAAGTCCATCACAGAGTGTGACTATGTCATCATAAGTCATTCCTAATTCCATCACAGAGTGTGACTATGTCATCATAAGTCAATCGTTAGTCCATCACAGAGTGTGACTTAATTATGTCATCGTAAGTCGATCGTAAGTCCATCACAGAGTGTGACAATGTAATCACAAGTGGATCGTAAGTTCATCACAGAGTTTGAAAAAGTCATTATAAGTCGATCACAAGTCCAAGACAGAGTGTGACGATGTCATCGTAAGTTGATCACAAGTCAATCACAGAGTGTGACAATGCCATTGTAAGTCCAGCACAAGTCAATCACAGAGTGTGACAATGTCCCCACACGTCCTTTGCCCTTGTACTTACAGCTCTGAGGACCGGTAGTTGAGTGCTCATCATTCTCTTGAGTTTCTTCATGGCTTTGTCTGGGCCAAGCAGAGAGAAGCTCTCTGGTCGTACCACTGGGTGGTTCTTCTGCCGATAGCGCGACTCCCTTGCCTCGTCAAAAGCGTCCAGGAATTGAATGTAGGACAGTTTACCCCTTTCTGACTGCACTCCAATTCTACATTTTGAAAGAGAATGTGAGAATTATTTTCATGCATAACAAGGTTATTCATGGTACAGGGCTAAAAAAAGAATTAAAAAAGAAGAGCAGGTACTCAGGAAAACTAAAAGCAGAAATTAACATTCCTCTTGAAACAGGGCAGATCACAGGTTGGAGGGAAACAAGCACCAGGCAATGATTGAGGGATTGTATGTTGGTTATTGAGGGAGAATGCAAAATTCAACAAACCCTTACGCGAGGCTCAACCCCATAAAAACCTTGCAAAACCGTGATGAAAACCCTCGAGTTAGTGCGTGTTTATTTTGCATTCTCCCCTCACCCGAGAATGTAAGTTTCTGTTTTGGCATAATAGCTTCCATGCTTTATTGTATTCCATTTATTGGAAAAAAAATCATTAAAAAAAGCCAAAAGAATTAAACTTCTTGACTTTGGATTGTATGATTGTACTCTTGTGAATACCAAACTATTTCATTACTGTAGGAGAGTTTCACTTTTCAAATGTGTTTCTACAGTGTTTAAATATTTTTCCCTTGAAACTATGACTCTAGGTCGACACTCGTCTTTAACGACAATGATTTCCAGACGATATACAAATTAACACACGCATTAATGAGATAAGACGACCCTCAGGACGATCTTAAGTTAAAACGAGTTCAGTCGCATTGCCAAGTAAGTTAGGACGTGTTGAATGCGTCTTAAGTTTGGTGAATTCAATCCTAGGATGAGCCGTGAGGTAAAACGAGTTAACATTCCTAAGACGCGTCTCAGCGTTTTGTGAAATCGGCCCCTGGTGAGGCTAATGGTTAACCATAGTTCGTATAACTTCACTCCAATGCAGGATGGTGCGACTATACTCTTCATGAACCAGACCACAGGGCACGGTTACTTCCCTGGTTACTAATAGCCACACATATCACAATGCACAGCAGGGATCCAGGATTAAGAAGTTTTGACCATGGTTTGACTAGAGGTGTTCGCATGTTGCTGTAAGTGGCTGGCGTAATATCATTACAAATCAACTGCTTGTCGACTTATGGTTCTCATCTTAACTTGCTCTCTGCTACAATTTGATGCCAAAACATGAAATTTTGGGCAAAAGTCCAGCTAAATGTGCATCTTTATACCTTTGTAAGAACTCAGCAAACGTATCATCATCCACCAGGTAGTTGTGATCCAGCAGGACTCGCTTGAGCTCCTTGACCGTGATGTAGCCCGTCTTGCTCAGGTCTAGCTGATTGAAGGCGGTCTGGAAGGAGGCGTAGCGGTCCCTGAAGCGATCCTTCAGGCCCTGCTCTAGCTGACTGGCTGAGATGAAGGTGGCGTTGCTGGCTTGGTTCACTGTGATGCTCATTCTGGGGGGGGGGGGGGAAGGAAAAAATAAATAAATTTATGGAAAGTTCATTTAAAAATCTAATGTTGTGGTTGATTCCTTTTAAAGTTGCTCTTCCCGTGTTCTTCAGCATATTCAATTCTTTTTCCTAACAAATTTTCAATTTAAGTGTTGTTTGAAGCTTTCCATAACGGAGTGTTTAATCTAGTGAAATAAGCTTGAGGGTACACCATGGAAATCTCTCTTTCGTGAGAACGTGGTGGTACGGAAAAGAACCGATGTTCAATTTGTATGTTTTGTTTAAATGGAAAACTACTCTTTTTTTCATTTTTGACTCTCTGAAACCTCTGAAAACATGCCTTTGTTTTGGGGATTCGTTTTGTACCAATAACGCACAAAAGATACATCTGAATTATTGTCCAGCCGTAAATAATAAAAAATTGTAAAGTAATTGTTTATTAACGCGGGAGGATTTTTTGTTCGATGTCTCTTTCAAAGATGAATGACTTTGCTTGAAAAAGAGCAATTTAAAAACAAATCTTTTCAGATTGAAACTTAAAAAAATCATGGGAAAAGCATCTTTAACCAAAAGAAATTCAGGGCGCTACAGCATATTTCACTTGGTCAACATGCAAATCGCCAAGTGGTGTACTCACTGTTTATCCATCTGGTTGATGTGATGGTCCTCCAGGGCCTCGTAGGAATCCTCGACGATCCTACGACTGACCCCGGCATCGTCACCAGGAGCGAAGGACTTGCCCATCATGCGCAGGAAATGCTGGTGGTCTATGTACCCCTTGCTGTTCACGTCATACCTGCAGGTGCACAAGCAAAACTGAATCACAACTGAAACCAAGGATTCCTCAACAGGATTCCCACAGAAATCTGTAACATTGGGTTTTGCCCTTCGTTGACGTATTTTTATGAACACTTTATACTCAGTGTTGTCCCGAGTGATTGTGAAAAAGAAAATTCACAAACTACGCAGGTGGGACTCGAACCCAATACCTCCTGATTACTAGTGCAGAAGTCTTTCAAATGCTGGCAACCTTTGATGCTGAAGCAGCTGTAACACTGAAGCTTCCATCTTGAATGACGTCACAGATTTGCTCATGAATATGCAAACCGCTTGCATAAAAACCAGAAAGGCATGGAATATCTCTTAAAACAGGCCAGAAAAAAAATGGCAATAACTTTAAATTGAACACAAGGTTGCATTTGAAGTATTACATCAGACTTCCTTTCCCCGTGCTCTTCAGCACATTCAATTTTTCTCCTCTCAATAAGTTTTCAACATGTATCTTTTATCAGATCTGCATTGTAAGTAGGCTGGTTACCAGTCAGTACATTATCAATACTGATTGTGGGGCAGGAACAAGGTTACCCCGCAAGAACAAAAGTAATGTCAGGCCGCAAGTAATTCAAAATTTAAAAGCAATAGTTCAATTTCAGTCGATGTGAATAAGTTTGGTATTGCTAGAAAAATAGCAACTTAAAAAAGCAATCTATTTTTCAGGACGAAAGTCAAAACAAAAAGGATGGGGAACACAACTTTAAAAAAGCTCAATTACATTAGCCCTTTGAAGAATTCTAGGACTTACTTTTTCCAGAGGACCTCAAATTCCTCTTTGGTCATGGGAAGCATGAAGGTGTAGAGCAGATCTCGGAGTTCCTTCTTGGTGATGACACCGTTACCATTCTTATCGATAGACATGAAGGCCTTGGCCAGGTCCTGGTACTGCCTCTGCGCCTTGGTCACCAGGATATCGTGGACCTGGTCGGCCGCAAGCTGGACTGGGTCTATGGTCTTGTTGAACCTGTGAAGAAATCAGCAAAAAACATTTTTGATATGGATTCCGTGCACAAACACCTACTCAAAAGTTACGAAGGGAGAGTTGGGGGAAACCGCTGGGCAGGGACATTTGAACGCATCGGCCATCGCGCCTGCCGCTCACACGAAGACGCTATTGGATTGTGCACATTCTGAACAAATTGAAGGTTGCGTACTTCGTGCCATGCAGAGCTTTCGAAAGTGGTAAATAATCTACTGTTCATGCACGGAGCATTGCCCATCGCATCTGCTGCTCATGCAAACACTATAGGTATGGTCCCATTCAGAATAATAACGTTGTGTGTACTACACGCCCTTGTAGGAAAATAATTTTATTTTGTAAAGTTTTCTATTAAATATTAGATTTTTCCCTTTCATACTGAGTATACAGTATTTATACGTCGGTGAAGGGCACTTTTTTATTTGTTTGTATGTCGGTCTTTTATACTTATACTTTGAATAATTTCCAGCGCCTTGAGTACCTAATTGTTGGTAGTTACGAGCACTATATAAGACTCCGGTATTATTATTATTATTACTTTAGGATACCTTTAACAGTACTGTTTAATATTTAATTAACCAGCACACAAAAAACAATCACCTAGGGAAGATTTTTTTATTTTAAATTGTTGGCCAAATGTGGCAATGCACAGTTTGAGGTCGGCAATTTGGCAGCAATTAACCAGTTAGGCCTTTTTTGTAAACAAACCATATTTTTGTGGGCCAAGGATCCCAAGGAGAGAGCGTTGGTACTAGTAACAGCGTACCTGTGATCCGAGTCCAGCCATTTGTGACTTCCCGGTGCATCAACCACCTGGAAGCGCTCGAGGAAGTCTTTATAGCTCAGCTTGGTCCTCTTGTTGATTGCCAGCTTGCTCATCAATCGCTTGAACTCCTCGTCTGAGATGGTGAACATCAGCGCGTCCATCAGCCGCCGGAAGTCATCCTGCTCAACGAGTCCGTCGTGGTTGTCATCCAGCTTGTAGAAGGTGGTGCGTAGGCTCTGTGGTTTGAAGAGAGTTATGATTAAGTCTATCAGAAGTCAATCAAAAGTCGGGTCACAAGTCAATCACATATCAGCCACAAGTCAATCAAGCTACAAGTTAGGTCAATAGTAAATCATAAGTCAGGTCATATGTCATTCAGAAGTCAGGTTTCAAGCCAATCACAAGTCTATCACAATTCTAGTCACAAGTCAATCACAAGTCAGCAACACAGGTAACAAGTCAATCACAAGTCAGCCACACAGGTAAGAAGTCAATCACAAGTCAATCACAAGTCTAGTCACAAGTCAATCACAAGCCAGCCACAAGTCAATCACAAGTCTAGTCAGAAGTCAATCGTAAGTCTAACCAAAAGTCATCCAAAATCTGGTCAAAACTAAATCACAAGTCAGGTAACAAGCCACGTCACAATGGGTTTGATTCATCAAGTTGACAGCACCCTGTACAGCCATGACAGGCTTAACTGCGCTAGCAAGGGATGAGAGGCTGCATTAGGGGAACAAAATTCAAATTCTGTCTTCCTCAAGGCAAGCACCCATATTTAGCCACCCCTTCCAACAAGTCAGAGTCCTGAAATTTGCTGAAGATGTGGTTGGGGCTGAATTTCAATGCTCTGCTAACCATAGAGTTCACCCTTACAATCACCATTCTCTACTAACAGCTCTATCAACACTATTCTGTGCTAACTCTACAAGTACAGACTCCATTGTTACGGGATGTGCGCATACACATACATGACATAAGCCAAACTTACTCGCTAACATGTGAAATATGCTTACTGTAACCACAGCATTTTCTGCTACAGTAAGCGGGGAGTTTTGCCATAAGCAGAACTATAAAATAAGGCCCTAAGCTGAAGCTGAGATTTTAGGAAAAACAACAATCATTCAAACTTACCCCAAACGCCTGCCTCATCTTGTCCATGAGCTGGCCTTCTACTTCCTCCGCCGTCATGTTGTACAGCGGCAGCTCCGTGTAGCGGTGGTTGGGAACTCGTGTGATCTCCTCCCCTGGGCCTCCGACCCTGGGATCCTCGAACTGCTCCACGAAATCCGAGTAAGTTAGAGGGCCCCGGTTGAAGCCGATGACCTCACATAGCTTGCTGAACTGCTCATCGGACATGTACATCCCAAAAGATTTCAGGACCTGAAATATAAAGGTAATGAGGTGACTAATAGTGTACTTAAGTGAGCCGCGTATTCTGGTTCACGTGCAAAGCTTTAAGTGTGTGAAGACATCTGCACGCGAACCAGCGCGTTAACAGAACAAAGACAGATGACGTCAGACTTCGGTACTCTATACAATGATCCAATAAGCCCCGTCCTGTACATTTTGACCAATCACAGCCGTGATTTATGTCTGACATGAATGCACAAATGTCAAACATGCGTGCACACATAAATGACGTATGCCTACGGAACGTTGCCAGGCACTCTCGTCGGTCTAGTGTCGCAAGCTCCTAGACTGGATATTTTACGCCAACTTCGTTCTGCCAAGGCGTTCTGGCCAAATGAAATGGAACTGAGCCCAAATTTATTGATAATTGTAATCTTTGAAATTTCTACTGCACACGTTTTTAACAAATAGTATTCAAATAGTGGAACTAAAGTGTTTTTAAGGAAAAACAACTGGCATCTTATATTGTCACAACTACAAAACAGTCGAAATTTAAAGGCCTTTTTCTCAGTATTTTACTATTTTAACATGTTGATAAAATGCAAACTTTAAACAGCCATAGCTTGTAAATGGAATGTCCAATTGAAGCGCAACAAATAGTACTGTAAGGAGAATCCTAATACCTGCAAACCCTCATTTCAACTTCTGCCCAATTCTGTCTCTTTTTGCCAGAACGCTTCAAATATTTGTTTCAGGACAATTCCAGCATTTCTGACATTATCAAATCAGACAATATTTTTTTACTTTAGGAACTCAGTGAATTAACCAGAAAATGTATTTTTAAAATCCTAAACATCTATCATCTAGGAATAGTCATCTTTATAGTTTTTTGAATAACAATGGCAGAGCCAATTAACCATGATATCTAATGAATGATTCAGAGAAATGATCCAAAACTCCACGTCTGTAATCTCCTTGACCAATACTAGATGATGGATGTATAAGATTTGAAAAGGACATGTTCAATTTTATTCACTGAGCTCCTAAAGTACCCCCAAAAAATTGGAATTGCCCAATAGGCAACAAATCTTCAATCAATGCTACATGGAAAAAAATACCATCAGAAAACCCACACATACCTCTTTGAATTCCTTCTTGTAGAGCTTGCCTCTCCTGTTCTTGCAGTACCGCAGGAAGTTCTCTCGGATGCGGCCGGATTTCTGAGCCATGCGGTCCTTTAGTTTGACCATCACCTCATCAGCCGGCATCTGGCTGGTTCTCTCTAAAGCATTCAGCTGCACATTGGTCAGCCTGTAAATGACAAATAAACAGATAATTATTACCCAGACAGAGATAGGAGAAAAATGAAAATAAAAAGATAGAATAATTGGCAGAGGGTTTGGGGGTCACCGTGGGCCCAAGAGCTAGGTAGGGTCCATGGTATACGTTTGTATTTCGCTAAAGGAACCCTTCACAATACCAATTTCTTTTATTCTAAATAAATTTTTACAATAGTACAGGGATCTGGTACACGGTACCCTGTGGAGACACGTGCACAATAGGGAACAAAAGATTGTATACGTCTCCACAGAGCAATTTCTATAGGTGAATACATCTCCACAAGGTTATTGCGAAATAGATATATGGACTTTACTCAAAAACTAGGAATTTCTAAGGTGTGTTGATCCATCGCAAATTGAAGTATTTTATGTAAGGGATATCAAGTCCGAATTTCAGCCCAGGAAATTAATTCTGGTTAAAATAGGAGCATTTTGAAAACTGTACACTTTCAAACTCGAAAACTTTAGTACACAAGAACAAACAAATGACTCCACAAGGATACAAATTCCAGTATGTGTGTTTCCAAGCACTTTATGACAACAAAATTCCCAGAGTTTTCTCTGATATTTACAAGAAAAAATTCCATATTCCATGGGAAATATTTTCACTTTGACCAGGCTGCTGTGAAGTCACGAGGTGGTGTTGCACAGCCAATTGTTAGTGTCTGGAGAGATGTGGGTAATATTCACACTGCATAAACACTAAAAAGCCACCATGGCCAGTCAGTCAATGAACACAACTTGGACACATGGCACAAGAGGCACATTCGCCAAACTGGCGAAAGCCTTTCCCTTCTGGGTCACTGTCAAATTCCCTGAGATTTCCCTGACTAGAAATATGGAAGCTTATTTTCAAGGTTTCCCTCATTTCCTGAACAGATGGGAACCCTGTAATAACAACAACACTTCATTCAGGTAAAGTGGAACGTCGCTATACTGAGCACAACTATACCAAACATTCAGCTATACTGAACATCATCCTTGGCTCCCGGTTCTTGTGTACAAAACGTACCGAACATATCGTTGTTGAAAAAAAGTCAACAGATTAAACAAAATCTACCGGTTTTTAAACACTACATGTATTTGGGCCATTTTTTTATTAATTCATTCCTGAATATTAAATGGCCCATGCTTATATCAGCTTTGAATGGTGAAGATGTAACAGGTGGCTATTATTTCCCCAAGGAATAGAAAGGAAAAGCCACCCGTTGCTGAAGTTTCTTGTCGACTTGACAAATTCAATCAAAAGGGGGCCCACTCAAGTAGGGCACAAAAGGGAGCTATATACATGAACAGAGGCCATTTTAAATACCGGCGTCTCAAAATTGCTACACGAACGATCGCTATTACAAACATTTTCCGTGGATCCTGCAATGTTCCTTATAGCGGCGTTCCACTGTACTTATGTTTTGAAAAAAAAATATAAAACTAAAGGTAAAGATCTATGTTAAATACACCCTCAGGAATTTGCTCCAGTTGATTCCTTCGTTCAACTTCAAAAAATAAATTATTATTAATCAACAGATTTTAAAGCATACACAATGTTAATACCTGATATCCAAGTCTGCTTGTCTCTGCTGCTCGCTCAGATCACTCAGCACCTGTATCCTAGTGCTTGGCCCAACCAGGTCACCCGGGGAGACGTCCACGCCTAGCTTCTGCAAGAACTCGGCAAACAAGATCTTACCGTCTGGAGATTCCTCACACTGACTCCACAACCTGTCAGGGAAAAGTTCAAGGGTGGATCATGAATTGAAAGAGAACTGAAATTTCAGACATTCAGATCTTCTATTTTAAAATTAAATTCCTCTGGAATTACAAATATTGTGCAGTCCATCATATCAATGGGCTGATCTCCTAAAGCTGTTTAAAGGTTTAGCGAAAAAGTTCTGCTTAATATTTAAAGTCGGAAATTGCCATTTTGCAGTACAGTCAGGCAAAGCCAAAATCTGATTGGTGATTGATTGTTTTTTGTTTTTGGGTAAGCCTCAATCTGTTCTATCTTTCTTAATTGTGTTGGTTCTATCAAAGATCATTAACATATATTTCCATCCTGTTTTACTGGTTGAATGCTCTTTTGCTGTAATACAACAGCGGGATTTTTCAATGGCATATTCTCAAAGATTTATTTTACAACTTCAGTTTAATTATAAATGGTATATATTTCCGTTACTCAACTCAGTACCCCAAAATGTACCATGAGAAAGCTCTAGTTCTGAGGAATCTGAATATCAGAAAACTTCTCAACTCTTAAAACGTCCAACTTTATGCTAGTTTTTGAGAGTCACATATAGTAAAGAAGGCACACAGGAAAATTTCTGCTGAGTCACCATTTTGGGAGTTCGCAATCTGGATCTCCCCAAGGCCGTAAAAAAGTAGGAAAGTCTTGTAGAAAAAAATTAGCACATGCCTGCTAACCCCCTTTCCTCCTCCGACAGCTACACCCCTCCCCCTTCAGCCAAAGCTGGAACCACCCCTGAACTTCAAAAGGACTTACACGTCAAAGTGTTCATCGGAGACAGGCAGCACATGTCGATTGAGGATCTTCTTCAGACTCTTATAGCCGATGGCTCCCGTGCTCTCGGGATCGGCCAGACGGTAGGCTGAGCTGACGCTCTTCCAGTACTCCTCGATCTTCTCTCGCAGGATGTCCTCTACCGTGGACCAGGCTAGGTTAGCTGGCGCCCGGTCATTCCAGCGATGCTCCGAGTCCAGCCATTTATGACCCTCCTAAGATAAAAATCAGTTGTAATGCAGTCACACACAAGCACAATACAAGGAAAGTCACGAGTCAATCAGAAGTCAGTCGTTAGTCAAATTACAACTCGATCAATAAGTCAGTCATAATAAGTCAAACCACAAGTCAATCATATGTCAAATCACAAGTCAAATCACCGATCGAATCCTAAGTCAAGCACAAGTCAATTGTACATCGGGTCACAAGTCAAATCATAAGTTCACGTGTGCGGACAGCAAAGCAATACAACGTCAGATATATCCGAGCATGTAAATGTCATATGACACCCCACACCAGCCAATCGGAGCCGCCTTTAGAAGTTAAGACGTCATTTGGAGCAGAAGTTTGCCAAAGCTGTTGATTGGTCAATAGCTGCCATGTTTTTCTCATACAACATCGGGTAACAGAAAACCTGATAGAATGTGCCCCCTGAATGATCAGAATCTAGAGGTCAAGACCCAGTCTTATTTTGCATAATCTGCATCATGCATAGACGCTTGCTATGCAAGCGTCTACTATTCCATATACTAATCATAAGTCAGGCCACAAGCAACAGGGAAACAATAACAAAGGCATGTCTTTGTTCAAGTACATTTTGATAAGCTTTGTCACTTCAACTGAAACTTCATGACATGTGATTAATCATTTTCTTTGTAAATTGGTTGTCCTGTGGGATAAATTGCGCATCTGTCAGTAAATATTCCACAATGAATAGTGCCCTCTATTGTCCGATAGTGTTCGATATCATCCGCTTTGAACAGCACACCAAGAAACCAGATGGTGTACCCCCATACCAAATCCTTTTTAATTTAACAGTGGCTGGGTGATCGAAAAACAAACCTAGGCTACCTTCCAGCATGGATGGCCCTTCAGCAAATTGTTGTCATACCCCCCGATTCAAAATGGTCTGGCGAAGCCCCTGCCTTTATTCTCCATGTTTTACCTTTGTTTCTCGGACTTCAAACAAGTCCAGGAACGTGTGGTAATTGATGTTGTTTGCATTGTTGGGGTCCAGCTTTGCCACCAGTCCCTTGAACTGCTGCTCGTTCAGACGGATGGTGAATTTGTCCAGGATCTTGCGTAGCTCCTTTCTTGTGACTTTGCCGTCCCGATTCTACAAAACACAAGACAGCAAAAACAATTATCAACATGTGCACAATGTCTATACACGATCCGCTACTTCTTGGTGTGGTATGGTGTCCACTAAACCCAGTTAGCAATAAAAGCATAAAATGCTATTTCACTCGTTACGGAATTTTAAGAGCCTGATTTCAAAGAAAGTCCAACAACACTATATCAAAATTATAGGTATAGGCACTTTAATGACTGTTTTGTAGCCAATATGAACGCTTCAATGAAGGTTCTGTGGCCAATTATGGGCTCATCAAAGATGTAAAAATATTTAAAACGTTGCGCAGCTGTGCGTAGTTTCATGGAAATTGACCAGAAGTTTATTGCACAGATGTACTTTTTGTAAAATCAGCTGCTGCATCCTTTATATGCCGCTTACACAGACAAAGTTAACATAGCGTAGCTGATTAAATGGGGGAGTGTGGCCTAGTGGTCAGGGTTCGTGACTCATGTTCAGAGGATCATGGTTTAAATCGAGGTGCAGGTCATATGTTGTGTCCTTGGGCAAGCTACTTAACCCCAACTTGCCTCTTTCCACCCAGGAGTAATTGGGCACCGGCATTAGCTGGAGCGATGGACTAGCATCCTATCCAGGGGGAATAGAAATCTTCTCAAGTCATTTCATGCCAAGGAATCTGGAGATAAACGCTGGCCTGGTGGGCCATATCGGCTCATGACAGAATAATTTAACTTTTTACCTGATCGAATGCCAAGAAAGCTTCCTTGATAGAAGGGTACATGTTGGTGACGTGCTTGTGCAGCAGTTCCAGTATATCCTCAACCTCCATCTCACTGTCACCTTCCCGGATTGGATTCACTCTATACATGGAAAACGGAAACAAAAACAATTAGCACTGGGAACAAGTGGTTAAGATAATCATACTCATAATGGTTTGCAAATTTGGTAAATGTGTCATTCTATAAATTAGGGGTCCACTTTTTTCTGTCTCTGTTACATCTGACATGTGCAATTCTAGATGCACTCCTTAATGTCTTTTCCCCTAAGAGTGATTATAATAACAATAATAATAATAATAATAATAATCGGCATTTAAGAACGCTCTTATTTAGTAAACTAAATCACAGCGCTTACAAATAATGAACAATTAAAGTAAATAAATAATTTTAGTTTAAGATTATGTAAAGCAAAAAACCTACACAACCAATGAGAATTGTTTGAACTCATTTTCAATGAATCTTGAGCGGCAAAAGTTCCAAGTAACAGGGACAGGAAAAATGTCAAACATTGGTAGCATCCCTAAATTCATAGAATGACCCATATACCAAGTGAATGCGCAAGCACCGGGCCCAGTTCATACCCAACACAAAAGCAAATGCTAATGTGAATTAGTGACGTCATGGCAAGTTTTCGTGCTGCGAATTCGCAAACTTGAACATATTTCAAGGACGGTGAAAATAGTGTCAAATTAGCCACACAATTTGTAATATGAAACGGCCTAAAGGTAAACAGTAAAACTAGTGGCAGACACGTGATGGTGAATGGATCATTAAGGATTCAACTCTCGGTCATGAATACGCATGAGTGAGGTAATATTAATAATTAAAGCTATAGTCCATCATTTGCAGCCATCCGAAAAGTAACTGGCATAATTATTGTTAAAAAAAATACCTGGTTGAAAAATAGTAAGGGGACTAAACTCCCTGTGAAATTATTCTTTCTGGCAAGCTGTCATTTTGAAGTAATCAACGAAAGAAAGCCTTTCCAACGAGACGCACCGTAGGAAATTTAAATTAGTAGTTCGTTTTGTTATTCGGCGAAGCGCGCGCAAGCATTGGCATGACGCACACGCGCTCTCGGTTGCTATAATTCGTCGGATCAGTGCGCGACATCGCATATAGCTGCAATTCAAAACAATTCAAAACATGATTCAGCAACTTTTGATTTGAAATTGAATGCTCCTAGAATGCTGTTTTTCTCAGAATATACAGCTGAAGCTGAGCTCAAACTTCATCAGGTTAGTTGTTCAGTATCCTTCATTAGATTTTGAACACTTTAGTTGCTTCAAACAAAAAAAATGCACAAATTACAAATGATGGACTATATCTTTAAATCAGTATAGTAATTATGACTTACTTGTGGTTGGGTTTGATTGGAAGAGTCTGTCCGTTGCCTTCAATCCTAGGATTCTGGAACTTCTCCAAGAAGTGTTCCCAGGGAATCTTATGGGAGGCCTTTAATCCAAACCTAACGGTAGCACAGAACAAAATAAGCATGCATTCAAATTCCACTCCAATTAATCAATTTCTTTGTTTGGTTTTGCTGGTACCAGAGAGCCAGCCTAGTGACCCGTTTGTACCGCTGACTGACTGGCTCACTGACTGTCATTTGTGACATAGCCTAGTTGTTTAGTGAGCCGGGCAGTGTGTAGCATCACCGTGTAACACAACTGAATTTGCTAAATCTGGCCTATGCACTTTCATGATACATGTCTAGGCAATAAGTCAAGTCTCCATGCAAACAACTTAAAGAGGTTGTGGAATGCTCGAAGACATTTCCGTCATTTTTCGGGTATATGTAGCCTAAGGTGTGATGAAATAAAAATGACTATTGTTTCTGTCATGAAATGAGTACAAAAGGTACTTTTGAGAGCTGTTTTTCAAGTCCTGTCATGCCTGTTTCGACGCGAACGTGCAATTTGTGTAAAAGTCGTCGTTGCGGGCAGCAAACAAAACACAGTAAATCGTGACGTAATAAACAGGACTCCCGATGCAGAGTAGCATAAACGAGTCCTGTTTATTACGTCACGATTTACTGTGTTTTGTTTGCTGCCCGCAACGACGACTTTTACACAAATTGCACGTTTGGGTCGAAACAGGACCTGAAAAATAGCTCTCAAAAGTACCCTTTGTACTCATTTCATGACAGAAACAATAGTCGTTTTTATTTCATCACATTTCAGGCTACATATACCCAAAAAATGACGGAAATGTCTTCGAGCATTCCACAACCTCTTTAAGTGGATTTTTCATTTCCACCACGTTACCAGTACAGCCATTACTCTACAACATTTTTAGCCATGCTGAATCAACTAAATAGAATTTGTCTTGTTTGTTTGGGAAAAATTTAGTTCCACTAGGGATTGTGTAGCGACATCTTACCTATCCATAAGCTGGGCAAACAACTGATCGGACATCGGCAGTGTAAACTGGATCAGAATGCTCTTCAGATCGTCCAAGGATACGAAGCCGTCTTGCCGGGCATCAAATGCCATGAACATTTTCTTGAGATTCACGTAATTTTCCTTCAGCTGCAAATAACGATAAACCAGAAAATGTAGAAAATAAGACATGCAGAAATTAATGTCAGACTTCGCATTTAAAATATAGAAAACTTAAAAACAAAATTCAGGTCTATCGTGGCTAAAGTGAACCAAAATCATTTCACAATTTCTCCTCACTTTGACATCACATAGTTTGCTGAAATATGCTCTCCCTGTGCTATTTCCAAGTTTCACCCTGAAAAAATAGCTCTTGTTTTCAAATTGATTTTTTTCAGTGCAAAAGTTATTCACTTCTAAATCAGAAATCGAACAAAATATATCCGCCCACATTAGTTATATTATTCATTGTCAAAAATTTCAAATTATTTGCGGCCTGACAATAATTTAGGTGTAAATTTTCTGCGTTATGGCCACAAAATCAACAAAAAATAGAGACGTATTTTCAGAGGGTTGAAACGTCTAACATAAAAGAGAAGTAGCTACCTCCCTTTTAAATATAATATACAAATTAAAAATTTGTCAGGAAAAAGATATCAGATATGTTGAAGAGGCACAGTGAAGCAACTTTGTGCTCATGATGTACTGTGAATATTATTCTCTCCGCGGTATTTCCTGGGGGCACTCACAATTGTAAAATGTAAAAATAAAAATATTATCATTACCCTTTTGCGGAGCTCTGCCTCGATCTGAGGGAAGGTCATTCCTCGGACTGAGTCATCGGATCCGTTGAAGACAGCCAGCTGTTCCACTTGCTTGGCTCTGTTTTGTTCTCTCTCAGAAAAGGATACTGAAAAATAGTGAAAAAACAATCTGAGTCAGGTACATTCTAAAAAAAGATCAATCACTGAAACTGAGAATTTACAGGTACTGTAAACCGCTTGCAAACATTCAAAATGAAACTGCTAAAATATTATTAAATAGTCTACTTGATTGTTAGTAAATAATAGTATCAATCTTTCTGTGAAATCTTAGCAAATTTTCGGAACGGATGACAGATAAACACGCAACGAGCGAGGCCGGAAATATCTGTGTGATATCCCACGCCGGGGTCCGGTCAATGTCAAAAGAATCCCGGCGCGAACTGGTTAATGCTGTCATTTGCATTAGTACTTACTATGGTTCAGACCGAACCATCTGAAGTTTGGCAACTTAAGTTGGCGAACTAGTTCCTGAGGCTCGAGAGCTAATTTGTCAACTTCCAATACCTCCGGCAGCTAATATCAACTATACACCCTCAAACTATGTTATATTTGTATAATATGCCCCAAAGAGAAAAAAAAACTGTGCTCATTTCTGATTTTAACATTTGTCTATGGCTGTAAGAATTTTTTGCTAATTGAATTTTGTACTCACATGGCTTTGTGCTTTCAGGAAACATGACATCGTGACGTTTGACATTGACGCCAAGCCTCTGCAGAAACTCCTTGTAATTGACGACTCCATTGTGGTGGAAATCATACCGTGACCATAATCTAGAGGAGAAAAAAATAATCCAGCAACATTATGCACCGATCATGTAGGTTACAAACATCAGTATAAGATGTGTTTCAAGAGTTTGCAAGAAGTTTGGGCATGTTTCTTATTTGAGCGTATATTTTAATCGCTTACTTTGCTTCATAGGATGGAATTTTAAATTCAATACTGGGTTTTGCCCTTCATTGATGTATTTTATAAATACATCAAAATAGCTGACAGATTTTTAAGACACGTAAATAGAGCTAATATTATTGTCAAACAAACTAGCATTTGTAAAACCACACAACTATACGATTCAAGTAACACATTTTTCTTCGAATATTCAAACTAGAAAAATGCTATTTGGATATTTGAACATTAATAATTCCCTGCTCATTGGGCCAATGAAACATACCAAAGACAATCTCAGCTCCAAGGGGAGTATACAGCTCGATGCTGCCATCTCGGCGCAAAGCAGCTAAAATCAACCACAATAAGCATTTACTCCTGGGTGGGGAGAAGCGATGAGTGACAAAGTGCCTTTCCCAAGGACACACGTACCACAACCCCAGGCTGGACTAGAACCCACAACCAGCAAGATTAACACCCGCAGGCCATGAGTTCAATGCTCCAGACCACGAGGTCATGGCACTCCACTTTGGCATATATTCAGCAGTCATCACAGCCCTAGAAAACAGCCCTCACCTGTCGTACTGTTCATCGGACATCCTGAAGCAGTAGTTCTCAATGACCTTACGCAGCTCGTGCTTCTGCACTTTGCCGTCCCGGTTGTAGTCAAACAGCTGTAATCCTTTCAGGAAGTTTTTGAGGTTGGCGGCCACCTTCTCCCTCAGCTGGCGTTCCAAGACGTCGATACCCATGTCCTGGGGAGATTTAGTGTAGCTGTATCTGTGCAAGGGGGAAACAAAACGAAATTTTGGGGTTTGCAGTGAGCATATGTAAGTTTATGGCTTCTAACTAGTGCCTCTTAGACTATTAAACCCATTAGTACCAATATCACCACAAACTGCCTTGCCTGTTATTCCCTGTACTGCCCAAAACCTCCCCAGCACTTCCCTTTTGTGGTTTGGTTGAAAATGGTTCCCAGACCAGATCCTGTACTGTCAACCATCACATGATCATATTTTGCTTTAATAGTAGCTTAACAATTTTATGGGAAGGCTTTTTCCTTAAGTGCTTTTCAAGAAGAAACTTTACTAGACCAGTGTCTTCACATACTGGAGAAACTTATAGTAACTGAAATAAAATTATGGAGTAACTAGTGCTGCAGCTTGGAGACTGACTTGAAAATGGACCAGCAAGAAGTATGGAATCTGTACTGTTTAAAATCAAGAAACCATTTTACAAATGATTTTATGAAATGCAATTTGATTGTTCAAATTTTCAAAAATTAAATCTTTGATATAATTGTAATCCACACTGTGGGCATTCAGTCTCATATTTTGGCAGAGTCAACTGACCTATGACCCGAGGTCATTTTCCAGGATTCTCGCGAACCCTCGCCGCTGCTGGCAAACCTGTCCAGGAAGTTACAGTAATTGACGGTCCCGTTGGCACTGACGGGAACCTTGGCCACCACGGCGTCAAACTGCTCCCTCGTCAGGGGCTGGCAGTACATGTCTAGGACCCGGCGCAGCTCCCCCTTGGTGATTGTCAGGCTCTGGTCGATGTCGTAGTTTTGGCAGGCCTAGGGTAAAAGACGAGCAAGAATTACATTAGCTAAATTAACCCAATAGCACCTGTACTAGCACCTGTACTACATTGTATTACATTGTGTTTATTCACTGAAGAATCAATAACACCATAGATCACTTTGGCAGTTTCGGACACTTCAGAGAGCAATAGGAAGGGCCGTTTTAAGCGCTACAGTGATTAAAGGGTTAAAGGCATTGGTAATAACCTTGTAGCAAAGCTACTGATTTTAATAATGAGAAAAACCTTGCTCAAAGGAACAAAAGTGAACCCTGTGAAATTATTCTGCCTGAAATAATAATTCGAAGAAAACAATCATTGCAGGTACATGTAGTTAAAAAAGTGTGCCTCTCGGCACACTTTTTAAAATTTTGACGATTTTCATAGTAGTCTTGATCCAAAGCTGTATTTGGAATTTCTTCTCCAAATATAACCAGTCCCTATCAAGCATGGTGATGCATCCACAGAAGCCGAGAGTCCTATTAACAAGATGAATCAAATGATGTCTTGGGAACAAAAGTGCTAAAAATCGAAAGAAGGGTGCTATAATAACAACTAACCTGATGAAGTTTTAGCTCCTTGAATGCTATATATTCCGAGAAAACAATATTCTAGGATCTAGGTTTCAATTCAAAAGTTGCCGAGTCATGTTTTGAATTGTGCCCGAAATCAGCATCCTGGACATGTTCACATTCAGCTGATTGCAGATACACAATGTCACGCACTGAACCGACAAATGATAGCAACCGCGCGCCTGTGTGTCATCTTTAGACGCATCTTTGGAAATTACCTTCTTTTATTGTTTTATTCAAAATGACAGCATGCCAGAAAGTATCATTTCACAGGGAGTTCAGTGCCATTACTATCTTTAAACCAAGTAAGCTTTTCAGCAATAATTTCGTCAGTTACTTTTTGGATAGCTGCAAATGATGTATTCTACCTTTAAAGAAGAGTAATTTTAGCAAGGTATATGGTACCTGTTTCAAGTCGTGGTAATGCTGGCGGACTTTCTCTCGGATGAGCTGCTCAACTTCAATGACACTGAGTTGGGGATTGGCTGTCAGAACGGTGTTAGTCAGAGGGGCAGATGAGGCTACAGAAATAAAACATGAAGACATCAAAAGTGGCCATCAAGTCTTTACAAGTGAAATCACAATCCAGATTGTTTACATCTGATCTTTGTGAATCAGTTTATGCCATTCCCTCCCATGCGTACACATGCGTACATGTTGGGCGCGTTCGGTCGATCTGCGCGATCTGTCGATCGCATTGCGCTATCCGTTGATTATGACGCTATCGGCATGGGCGTCACCAGGATTTTTTCTAGAGGGGGGGCAAAACATTTTTTTGCCAAAAAATGCTTGTATTTCTCAACACATTCTCGATTTATCAGTTTTAAAGGGGGGCAGGGACATTTTGCCCCCCCCCCAACTCATTAAATTTACACCACTTTGTCTTCGCGCCTCTTTTTCTTTTCTTTTTTTTTTTTTTTTTTTTTTTTTTGCTTTTCCAGGGGGGGGGGGGGCAAGTGCCCCCCCTTGCCCCCCCCTCGCGACGCCCATGGCTATCGGTCGATCCCACTGCCACCAGTCAAACATCTTTTCTTTCTAATTCACGCTTCTGGAGGATTTTTTTTTAAAGTAAGTAAAGTCCAAGATATCCTACAAAATCGACCGATCGCGTAATGCGATCGACCAATCGCGCAGATCGACCGATTACGCCTAACATACACATATCTGTTCAGATACGAACGGAGAAATAGACATGTCAACAAACCTCTAGAGGGAACCCTTTCTTCTATCCGTCCGTATTCAAATGACCCCCTGGATGCCCGACTGCCTGGGGTACGGAGTCCATTGGACGTCTTCAGGATATCCCTCGGTGTGAACATGACGCCACTGGTGGCTGGGCGGAGACCCCCCATACCGGAGCCTATGACTAGTGGGCTCGCCATGACCTGTCACTCCAGAGGGGATTCTGGAAACAAAACAGTTCAAATCATTTTTGAAATAGACCAATTTAGAGACCAGCCATTAATTAGTTCATGAAACCTGCAAACGCACAAATTTACTTGGTTTAAAAAAAAAGCCATGGCTATTGTTACGGCAGTTGACCATCTGTTTTTTTTGTTTTTTTAAACTAAACCTTCCAAAGCAATAGTCTGAGTATCACCCGTTGTCCACAGAGCCCTGTCTCCGGTCCAACGTCTGATATATCTAAGCATGCAAATTTATGCGAGCCTGCGCACCAGGCAATCGGAGTCTAAGTGAAGTCATGTCATTCCAAAATGTGGACTAAGCTGTTTGAAATTTGTGTTATGCATTACAGACACACTCTCGGAAAAAATGGTCCGGATAACATTGTTAACTTATTTCTTATGATGGGACTGCAGTTTGGCCGAAGTCAATTGAGCGTGATCGGCTGACTGATAAGGTTTACGTACAAAACCCTGAGCCAACGAGGTTTTTGTATAGAAAGCACCCGGACCACATTTTGCGAGAGTGTGTCCGTAATGCTTGAAGCCTGCCGGTAATGCTGAGCCTGCATACTGCCAAAGTTACCAGTGGCATCCCTACTGCAAATAGGACCCCTTTTTGGACCCTAATTTTATCAAATCTGCTCTTAGATAATAGCCCAAAAGCTAGGGAGATTATCCTCGGCTATATTTGCACGATTCCACCGATTTTTAAACTAGACGGTCTCGTTTTTTACAAAAAATTGTGGGGGCACTTTTTATGCAAATTAACGACTTGGATGCGTAGAAATTTTTGAAACCCTAATCAAAATTATTGCGCCCGCTGTCGGTCTTATTGCGCCATTCTGATATATCTTCTGTCTGGCATCCCCCCCCCCCAGCCAGCCACTCCCCCCCACCACCACACCAAAAAAATAATAGTAATTAAATACTGTTAAAAATGTGCTCGTTTATTAAGAAATTCATGAAGCATATTCAAACTGATTGGATTTTTCCAAAGTGTCTTTCCCATTTGCAAAAGTTCCTTTTAAAGCCCATCAACCATTACAGACACACTCTCGGAAAAAATGGTCCGGATAACATTGTTAAATTATTTCTTATGATGGGACTGCAGTTTGGCCGAAGTCAATTGAGCGTGATCGGCTGACTGATAAGGTTTACGTACAAAACCCCGAGCCAACGAGGTTTTTGTATAGAAAGCACCCGGACCACATTTTGCGAGAGTGTGTCCGTAATGTGTTATACCAGGTTGCCGTAATAATTAATAACTAATACAATTGTTACTAATAAGCCACTACTAAAGAAATGAAGGAAAAAATGTTGCAACCTGACACCACTTTCTTCTTCATATATCATCTCAATGAAGCCTTTGAAGGTCAGTCATTGCAAACATGATGATAAGACATGAATATGGGACTGAGAAACATTTCCAATTTTGTCAGGAAATACTTAGTCTTTGAAAATTTTCTTGACTCTCCAATTTTCTTGACAACTGCTGAAGTGGCGTCGATCAGGCTGCAACATTTTTTCCGAAATGGAATATCTACAAAACGAGCGTGAGGTAACTTTCATAAAATAAGTTATCAAGATCATAACTTCTCAACAAGCCCACGCTCCCCCCCCCCCCCCCTTGAGAAAAAATAGGGCCCACAAAAAACTGATGGAACTGAGAAATCAACAAAAGCACATCGATCGTGCAAAAGTCTCGAAAATGCAGTCTACAAAAATTCAAAATAAGGCCGAGGCCCTACTGGGATTTTTCTTCTCGGATTTAACACGGCCTGCTGCCCTGGAGACTAAGCCGGCAGCAACACATTTTATATACGCATCAGTGATTCACCGCACGAAAAGACATGACATGAAAGCTAAAGACGCACGGACATGACGGATTTCGGCGTAGCTTGAAGTCGACCCAAATGAAAATCAATTTAAAAAACGCTCTAAAATAACTTACATTTTATCTGATATTCACATAAATATACAAAGCAACAGTTTACCTGTTTATTTTCAAGAACTACGACTATTTATTCATCGGATCTTTGCAAGAAATCTCGTCCGTCTGTAGTTAATTTCCAGATCCGCACGTAAACTTGTGCAGGAAGTTTCCTGGGTGGTACCCGTCACACATGGCTATCTCGTACGAAAGCACACGTTGAACATGAAGTGCACCAGCCAAACAACAAGTTGCCAGTGATTGGTCACGTGATCAATCAGTTGATTGAGTGGTTGCCAAGCAGTGCGTCAGACGGCTGTTTCATTCTGTTTCATGTTTATAGTTCTAGTGAATGGATGCATGTATGATGTACACACAGACATAGCCCGACTGCGTCTGGCCGTACAGTACTATCGCAAGCTCGTACTACAGAGCTTGCGGTAGTACTGTACGGCCAGACGCAGTCGGGATAACACAGACACTGAATGAATATAATAAAAATATCCCACCAAAATGGAAAATCATGTACCCGAAGATCTTTATTAGTGGAAAGATATTCACTGAATTAAAGGAGGATTGGGTAGGGTTTTAGAATACTGCAAATTGGGTTTCTATTGTGGTTACTTAACAATCATGTTTTTTTCGGTGGGGGGGGGGGGAGAACTTCAAAAAAAATTTTTTGAGTGGGGTTCAATAGATTTGTCATAGTTTTTGTTTAATAAAATACAATAAGCTCTTGTTCCTCCAAATTCTTATAAATGATAAAGAATTAAAAAAAATCCATCCCAACCTTGATAAAAACAATTGGTGCATTATACAAATATGACCCATAATCAATTTGTAAAGAGTTGGTACCGCTTCGTCATTGTGCTGGTGTGGGGGGGGGGGGGATTATTATATTAGCTTTTTTTTTTTACTGTTGTACCCCGAAAGCACCAATTTATCAATTTTTAATACTGAAAAACTTCATCCAGGGGCAATTTAGATGTTTCAAGTGAAAAAAAACCCGTCAACTAGAGCAATTGCGTTTTTCTTTGTAACAAACTCAGGGTGATGGGCGCTGAACTTTTCATGAAATTTGTTTCAAGCAAAAAGCAGGAAGAGCATGAAATTCAAATGAACGTTTTTGGTTTTTATCATTTATGATTTTGAACAAATGCATCCTTCAGGGAACGATAGATTCCAGACACATTTATTAACCACGTGTCACTTTGGGTTTGATGGCATCATCAACGTATGTACTGACGTAGTTCATGTGAGTTAAGTGAAAAGAAATTCTGAAAATTTATAAATACATGTAACACGGACATAATGTGTATGTATTAACGACAGCCAACCTCCGGTCTGATGACGTCATAACATTAGGGTGTGGTCGTCATCATTTTTGAAGTTTACATTATCATTTTGGCAACAATGATGAATTTTAATTTAAAAATGCAGAACAATATTATCATTTCAAAGTTACCCTACAATAACTCCATGTCTGATGACGCTGTCTGATTGTGAAACTTTGCAAAGTAATGTTTTATTTTGCAAAGAATATGGGTAATTTTGTTTTGACAAATGGTTTTTAAATTAAAAAAAAAATCAACTTTCCAACGTGCCGCTAGAAGAGGGCACCCTTTTGGATGATAACGTCATTGTGACTTTTTTTTTTTTTTTTTTAAAGTTTACCACACTGTATCAGGGTTGTTCATGCCAATTTTAAACGCCATGCATTGTTCAGTTTGAAAGAAAAGCCGCTGGAAATTATTGGCGAGAAAAAGAAAAAAACACGCAAAAAGAAGAAAGAACATTGACAAAAACCAACGAAGACAAAATTGAGCCAACTATTCTTTTTGTAGTCAACTTTTTTTCATTGCACACATCCATTTAATTCCAAGCTGAAACGGTTTTTTTTATTTATTTAGCGAAATACAAATCGGCAACTGTTTGCTTGTAATTTGTACAATTCATCTTTTTTTTCATGTCTGTAATCAAAGTCAAAGAAAATATAAACAAATTTTGGAAACCACTGCTAAAACAGTGCTGTTTCTATCATTCTTTTTGGTTTTCAACGAGTGTTTATATTTTTACAGCTTATTTAAATTTCACAAAAACTGACACATTTTACGCTTGAAATAGCATGTCCACAAACATAGATTAATGTTTGTGTCTATATATAAACTCTAAGGGGTTCTAGAAAGAGACTTTTTTTTGTGACCACAATACCCAAGAGATATTATTTTTGTTTTCATGAATATATTTTTGAAGCAGTGAAATATCTATTACATTAATACTTAAGAGTGACGACCGCGTGCTTTTTATGTACGTCTTATAACATTAACACATACTATGGGTTACAAATGATCATACTTTTAAATTCAAGTGTTTTTTCCTTTCTTTTTTCTTATTTTTTTGGGGGTGGGTGGGTTGGGAGTTGGTTTAGGGAACTACATGTATGTATTAATGTTCCTCAACATAATGTCATACACGTAAACATAAAGGCAATGTACAGCCTGTCTCAAAAAAATGGTACAATCAGAAAAAAAATTGGTTAAATGTGAAATTTCAAAATAAGTCATTCTTACTTGGCATAATATTAGAGAACAAAGACTGGGCTTTCCATAGTGTTTGTTTGATCTTATTTGCTTTTGTCAATTCAGAGATATAATCAATTTTGTGCGATACACCAAAATCGATTTTGTGCCACTTTTTGTGTTCCGCAGTAAACTGGAGTTATCTCTGCATTGACAAAAGCAAATGAGATCAAACAAAAAGTATTGGACAGCCTGGTCTTTTTTCTTTAATGTGATGCTCAAAACGACTTATTTTTTTATGTTGAGATTTAATATTGAAAAAAAAAAATGTTTTCGATTGTACCATTTTTTTTGGAGACAGGCTGTACGTGGCAGCACATGTATAACTAAATAGTTATAGTCCTATACTGCGTGTGTTAAATATTAACAGTTTGCACTCACAAAACACGATGAGTAATTTTGCCTACATTTGCATACACACTTTAGAGCACCGCACATGCTTAGAGTATTTTTAATATTTTCCATTTAATAAGGTAAACAAAACTTATACGAACCTATAAAATGGTTGGTAATTGGTAATTAAATAAACATGAAAGCAACAAGGTGAGTGGTTGGTTTTGGTTCATTAAAGCAGTATAAATAAAATAATTACACCCTTATAAATAAATAAATGGAACAATTCTTGTAAAACATTTAATATAATTTAAAAATATCACATCTAAGAAACAAACACATTCAATATATTTGGTAATAGCCAGGTCTAAAGAAGCACTGAAAATTTAAATAAATAATATATCATTTACACTATGAAACTTTAAAATATCAATAGTACGGCAGATAGGAGATGGGATTGTGCCTTTGATGATACAAGCATGGCATTTGGCACACAGTTAGAGTATGTCATGAGAAAGATATCTAGCTACAGGGCCATCACAAATTTGTCCTTTGAAAAAATATTGGTAGAATGACAAACTATGGCAGCCATTTTGAAAATTGCTTGTTATTCGACCTATATTATTTCAAAGGACAAATCTGTGATGGTCCTATAGCCAAATACCTTTCTTAAGACATACTCTGGTGCCAATTGTGATGATTGTATCATCAAAGGCACAATTCCCCCAAATATTTCCCCTATGTGCCCCACTACCAGTGTTGTATTCGAATCCCTGCAAGTCCATCACAAAGTCTTTCAGTCGCAAGTCAAGTTACTAGCTATTCAAATGAAAAAAGCATTCCTTTGTCATTGTTCATCCTGTTAGGCCGTTACTTGTATATTGTGTCTGGACTTGTGACTGGACTTGTGACTGGACTTGTGAAAGGACTCAGATACGGGGCTGTATCATAAGTCCGACACCTCATAGGTTCCGACGCCTCATAAGTCCGAAACTTCGGACTTATGAGGCGTCGGACTTATGAGGCATAACATTTTTTTATTCCACCCCATAGGTCTGACGCCTCATAAGTTCGACGTCGGAAAAACGAGGCATTTGATTTGTCGGAGCTCTGAGGCGTCGGAGCTCTGAGGCGTCGGAGCTTGAGGCTTCGAACTTATGAGGCATCGGACCTATGAGGCATCGGACTTATGGACCTTTATTTGGTTATGGACCTTTATTTGTCGGACTTATGATATCCCACCTATGAGGCGTCGGACTTTGTGCATTTGAGCGGACCCCCTCGGATACAACACTGAAGACATCAATCCAGTATTCAGTACTTCCGTGATATGTCAAATATTTAGCATCAAAGATTTAATGTAGAGTATGTAAAACCTTTTAAGTTCCAAAGGCTGAAAGTCAATGGCATACTGTATAAGCAGCAGGTGTTTCACACTGCAAAGTTCTTGTATTCTATCTCTGTTACATGAATTCGCCAGATTAGTCTATATTGAAGAATTGCTAGCCCTCATGACTGTATTGTGAGCCCCTTTTGTAGAGAAGGTTTTTTTTGCAGGAACACAGCTCCTGAGAAAGCTGTACACAACAGGAAGCCAACTAATAATATCCACAGAAGACTTTTATGATACGGTGGGCTCAGGATGATATTTCACCTCAAAACAGAAGACATTGCAAGAGGTCACTGCAAGTGGCATATAGAACACAGACACACTATGTTTTCCGAGTTCTACGAACGCAAAGTGGGACGACAAATTTGTCTGTAGAAACACATGTTTGGCAATAGTAAAATTCAAGAGCATGACAAGAGTGAAAGACTGTGTATGGTGCCCTTATACTCCACTACGTATATAGCAACAATATTATCATGAACGGCTATTAAATAAAAACATACATATTGTACATATATAAAGCAGTTTTAATAATAAAGTTAAGAAAATCTAGTCGAATAAACTCAAATCAAATGAGATCCGTGCATGGGCAAGGGGCTACACGAGCAACACGATGGGAAAATATCTTTGATAAAAGTTCGATTCTGCAAGAGATAGTGAGCATTCTGTATATGATGCTGTTTAAGACTCCAACACAGGATGAACTATAAATGAACAATTGGGAAAAACATGCTAGTTTGATCTTTCTGCCAAACCATGCCTACCCTTGTTTGTCAAATGTGATCTGCTTTCCGCCAATTCCTTTCAGATAAGGCCAAAAAAAAAATAAGTCGGTCTCTGGTCAGCACGCGCGTCGATTTTTAATCATGCGCATCAATCTTTTTTTTTTTCAAAATGTTCCGCGGTAGCTCCAACAGCGCCCTCTATTGCCGCACCTCCTCAATTTTTTTTACCAAAGAGCACCAAGGAATGGGAAATTGCACCAAGGCAAATTATCGAGAGCAACAAGGCAAATTATGGAGGACACCAATGTACATGAGGACACCAAAAAAGCAAAATAGTACCCCACCTTGTCTGTACAATCCAAGCTTGAAGAAAAAAAAAAAAAAAAAAAAAGCCGCGTCCCCGCGTCAATTCCGGAACTTTGGTCTGACCAGAGACCGAATATATATTTTTTTGGCCTAAGGGCCCAATCAGTTTTTACTTTTTGGTCTATGGGCCCAGTGCACAAGTATACCCCCTCTACGGTAAGGAAGGGAGAGTTGGGGGAAACCACTTGGAGCGGCATTGCCGAAGACGCCCGACACTGGCGCGAAGACCCTATGGCTTTGTGTACTATCAGAACAATGTAGAAGTGCGCACTTCGCGCCATACGCGCACGAACCAGTATGCATGCGCGGCAGTATCCCGCCCACGGGGCTCTCAAAAATGGTTAAGAAGCACCTGTTCTTGTTCAGGCACGGAGCCCGTAAATCAATTTGACAACCCAATGAAAATGGAACGCTGGTGATATGTTAAAAGTCCTAGTTGATTCCCAGTATGATAGATTATTCAGAGCATTTTTCTCATTGGGTTTGTTTGAGACAAAATCAAATTCTCTGTCACGTGTAGGTAGTATGTTATCTAAATTACAACGCGAGCCAAAAAATCAACTTGAGCCCAAAAAAATCAATTAATTGCAGATCAAAATAATTTCAAATGGTGCCACTGTGGTAGAGCATACAAGTTAATACTTCAAAAATCTGCGAAACTTTATGGGAATACAGTAATCTGCGAGACTTTATGGGAATACAGTACATCCGGGCACCATGCATAGGAGCTATAAGGCCAAAAAAAAAATATTCGGTCTCTGGTCAGACCAAAGTTCCGGAATAGACGCGGCCACGCGGCTTTTTTTTTTTTTTTTGGCTTTTTTTCCCTTTCTTCAAGCTTGGATTGTACAGACAAGGTGGGGTACTATTTTGCTTTTTTGGTGTCCTCATGTACATTGGTGTCCTCCATAATTTGCCTTGGTGCTTTCGATCATTTGCCTTGGTACAATTTCCCATTCCTTGGTGCTCTTTGGTAAACAAAATTGAGGAGGTGCGGAAATAGAGGGCGCTGTTGGAGCTACCGCAGATTATTTTGGAAAAAAAAAAAGATCGACGCGCATGATTAAAATCGACGCGCGCGCTGACCAGAGACCGACTAATTTTTTTTTTGGCCTAACATGTAATACGTCCTATTTTTTGGTATTTATTTTGTGTCCTGGCAAGGTTTATCCTGTCAAGGGTTCTGCGCAAGAAAAGAAAGCATTACAATTTACAACATATTGAACATATTGCGAATTGATGACTAAAAAAAAAAGAAAAACATTTGACCTCAACTTCGCAGATAATTGGATTAATTCACGGGAGTCTGTGACTAGACTAGTCAGTGTTTGACGTTCAAATGAAAAGTGAGCGTGAACTGGTGGGACTTGCACGCTCTATATAACCATGAAACCCCGATAAAAACTGTATACATTTTATAACCCTGCACAAACATCTCAATGCAAGAAGCACCTGTAGTTTCTAGGTTGGCCAATCAGCACTCAGCATATGTACTCAGCTCACTGAGTACACCTGTTGTTATTTCATGAACAGCCAATCAGCTCAGAGCGTGTACTGGAAGTCCAGCCCTGTGCTAGCGGGTAATCGATCTGGTAGTAACTTGTCAAACTTCTCGTTCATGTGGACGGTGAAGTAATACTTCCAATACCCAACACGATCCTCTGCAATTAAAATAACGATACAAAAAAAACAGACTTCACTTTGGCTTATAGAAGAAATTTGAGCTAATAGTCCTCATGGAAACTCTCCAATCGTGCCGTGAAAAGTGACTTTTGACAAAAGTGTGGCCTTTGACAAACACAATAAACCACTCAACTTACATGAATAAAATTACATCACTTCTGTTTTGTCGTCATCTCGAGACTTCTCACTTTTTCCAAATTATTCTATTTGGTAACGGGATATTTGGATATACAGGGTGATTCAGAATGATCTGGACCCAAGTTCACAATTTTTTGGTGGGAAATAGAGTATAATGAGAAAAAAACTTGAGTATTTCATGTGAATGGTTATTAACTTGTCTTCCACAGGAATTTTGAATTTTTCAAATTAGTGGCTGTGGTGATGAGTTATATGCCATTTTCATTAAAGTTGCTCATTTTCCAGTCTGCACACAGAATTGGTTTTGCCTTTTTTAAGTATGTCAATAACTTCAAGTGAGTCAGTCACCATGACTAGGTTTTAATATATTACACTGCTTCACATCAGTACGCGATTTCAATAAATTTGTTGAAACATGGAATCGTAGTCATAGTGTTTTTAGCACGTGTTCTTTGCTAGCACTTTTCTTCAAAATGGTATTACATGAATCTTTCACCAAATATGTCCAAAATACCAGCCTATAACATATCTCATTTGCACTTGTTTTGATAATTGCTACATATTTTTAATATTCACTTTGAATTGGGTCCAGATCATTCTGACTCGCCCTGTACGCTGAAAGTGAAAGATCAAATACGTGGATATTTGGCATTTTTAGTGCAGCACCACTAATATCCTTTGCAAAGTTATATGAAACTTGCATTCAATTGTTACGTAAGGCACAGTTTTTCAATTCAACTCCACCTTACCTTTGCGATTGTATGCTGCCTCCTCCTCAAAATGGGTGTAGATGCTTTTCAGTGCGGCCGGGGTCAAAGGTCGCTCTAAGAAATTTGCCAGCTGTTCAATACTAGATCTGATATCCTGAAATGCAGGTATTTGGAAGAAAAAAAAGTTTATAATTAAAGTAAGTTTTTCAACCCGTCAGTCACTCCCCAAACCATCCCAGTAGGTATGGCTAAATAGATTCCTCAGGGAATTAACCCTAACAACCCCAACTCCATCTTAATCCATCCCCTCTTTTTTTGGTGGATTTTGGGGGACTTGGTCTAGAAGGCCTGGCGTGACTAAATATTGATGGAGCATGATGGACTTGGGCCTGAAGCAGTGTTAGGGGTATCCGAATGATTTTGCCTAGCTTCCTGTACTGCTATTGTGATAAAAGCCATGTGTAGCAAGTCCATGAATGTCAACCAGTACGTCAGTGGTGGATTCCATTATGTCATGTACAGTTTTGTATTAGACGCACAGTGATTGATGGATTTTGATGGATTTGGTCCAGTTCCCAGTAAAAGACGCTTTGGGAGTTAGGGTTAATAAAGTAAAATGATGTAGTACAGGTGATAATGGGTTAATTTCCAAAAACGGACTTGATCTACACACCTGACGGACATCTTCATATTTTAGGAAGAGCAAATTGTTGTCCTTTCGCTGTTCCCACCACTCCAACACGTGTCTGAAGTAGGAACCATACCCCACTAAAAAAAATAAAACGGTAACAAATTTTAAACAACCAGGTCACTGACATGACTGACAACAATATACAAATATGACATGGCTTGAGGGTGAGTAGTCATTAATAGCTCCCCAAGATTTTGGAAGTTGACAAACTAGGCTGAGGAAACTACTTTGTAACCTTCCCAAACTGAGGAGAGTTAATATGGACTATCCACCAGAAATAAACCGTGTTTCATTTTGTTTGACAATACCTCGTACATATTAGCAAAATGTTGTCAAGTTATACATCAGTTATCTCGGCATAACGATGCTGTGCGTGTTTCGCCATATGTTTTTGTGTAGCTAGGGTAGTGTTCACAGTACGCAATACACGATACGGTATTAAATGCGACAAGCTCTAAAATGACTCCATGCTTGTGTGCTATGATAGACTGGCAGATACCTAAATGTGTGTCCTGTCCGTGAATTTGGCATAGCACAGGACCAAATATCATAACTCGATGGACGATTAGCCAATAACTGAAAGTTGGCTGATTACAAATTAACCAGATTTTCATAAGCAAATAATTTATTTAGCAAATATTTGTGTTTCAATGAAATTGGTCCCAGACTGGCAAAGAATGATGATCCATTTCAATTGTTCTATTCTTTTACAACATTTCTTCGCACAGTCTTCAATTCTTCTGTAAGCCCTTCACATCCATGGTGCTCTGAGTCAAAAACCTGAAGGTGAATCCAAACCTCACATTTATTGTTGATGAAGCGATAGAAGAACTGATGGAAAGTGCCCTTGTAGTGCACCATGCGGACAGTGCGATGGAAGTCATAGAACGAGCACATTACGTCCTTGGGGTTCCTGGTAATGTAGATCACCTGGGCCAAAACACAAATTGATAACTTTGATAAAACCCTTTCACTACCTGATACCCTAAAAAAACAAAACCAATTACATCCACTTTGCCGCACCTGCACATGCCAGCTAAGAGAGGTTTCACATTCGAATGGATGTGTGTGCACATACGTTAAGCTATCCCTAACTGTATTTGATGTTGTACGCATACCCTTAGTTATTGGAAAGGTTACCAATAAAAATAGTAATCCAAACTAGCAGCCTCCAATGAAAGCCTTGTATCTGCTGCAAATCTTACTTTGAAAAAGGCTCCTCCATATTCAACGCAAAAGTGAACGCTAACGCTTTTCAAGTTTTCACGTGGTGAAGTTGCGAACTTGACACACTTCAACTCTGGTGAATTCTGCTGCGAATGCTTCGTGACGTCAAATTTGCTTGGCATACACATTCATGTGAGGTATGAACCAACCTAAACACGACAAATGGCACATATATGGTCACAGCATTTCATCTCCTTTCAGTCAAATCATACCCGATTGAATGACTTATCAGAAAAAACATGAAACTTGCCAATTTACAATGCATTTCACACTGGCGCATAAAGTACGATATATTCGTGTGGTGTACATAACAGGCCAGTTCATACTCAGCATGAAAGCAAACATGAAAGCGAATTAGTGACACCATGGCAAGTTTTTTGCACTGTAAATTTGCACAAGTTGAACGCACTTCAACTTCAACTTATTTCGCAGCGAGTGATTTGTGCCGTCGACGTCACTTGGCATTCGCATCCTTATGAAGTACACACACGAACTACCTTCTTTTGTTTACCTTGCATTCTTTGTTCCTGACGCCCTCTGGCAGCAGTCCGTATGGCAGGTGGGACTTGATGTAACGGGGCGAGGGCAGCGTCTTCAGTAACTCCATCCCGGGGCTCGGGGCCTCCAGGAAGGGGATGGAATCCTCCACGGACTCCAGGCTCAGGTCTGTCGTGTTGAGATCTCCCCCCTCTAGGAGCAGATAGATCAGGTCCTGTAGCCACACCCCTGGGAAAGGAAAAGTGTTTTACCCTTTCGTCAATGTAGCTCCCGAAACTGACCTGCCTATTTTTCTCTGTAGCGCCCAAAGCCACCTGAGCACTCTATCCGGTTTGTAAGTGTGACACTATTTCAACTTAACCGTGCGCACAGCACACGGTGTAGAACTGGAACCAACAGAACTGGAAGTAGTGCGAAGTGGCGTGTTTAGCCAAAAGTAATCAGTGGTGCACGCACGTGTATGACGCAGTCACTTACGAACCGGATGGTTTCTATTGATTCTTCAGTGAACTAACACAATGTAGTACAGCTGATAATGGGTTAAAAATGACTAGGCAGCGAGTCTAGTAAAGCAGTCCCCAGACGAATAGACCATTATCATGTTGCGGCCATCTTGATTTTTTCCCATTCAAATCAATGCCACCAAAGCGAGGCTGGAAGGGAAAATAGTCTGGCTGCTTTTTGCACAAAAAACATCATCATTCAGTACTCTTATTGGATACAGGGAACATGACTGCAATGGTTGCAGCATGATAAAGGTCTTTTTGGTTTAAGGTGTCTACATAGTTTACTGAGTGAAAGACTTATGCAAGTCTAATTCACAAGTGATGGTCAGTCAATCGGTCAGTCAGAGAGATAGGTGCAAAAAAAACTGTAGTCTGGCTCTCTGGGACCAGCAAAGTCAAAATTGTGGGCCAAGTGAGACTTGAATCACAAGTGACAGTCAGTCACTCAGTGAGGTACAAAAGAGGATTCTGTATGGCCGATGCAATACAAAAGTGGACACAGCTAAAGAGCAGAAACTGAATGAAATATTCAAGAATATTTACACAAGAATAAGCATCACAATCACATACGTGGTACTACAATTTGCAAATATATGGACTTAAGGTACATGTAGTCAGTTTGGTATCCAATTAGGAGACCCCAAAATAATTGTGCATGATACCCTTACAGAAATGCCTGCAAGAATGCCTGCAAGCTTGCAAGGTTGCAAATATGTAAATTAGGGCAAGCTTGCGGCAAGCTTGCGGCAAGCTTGCGGCAAGCTTGCGGCAAGCTTGCGGCAAGCTTGCGGCAAGCTTGCGGCAAGCTTGCGCAAGCTTGCGGCAAGCTTGCGGCAAGCTTGCGGCAAGCTTGCGGCAAGCTTGCGGCAAGCTTGCCGCGGCAAGCTTGTAGGCAAGCTCACCAGAATGTGTGCGGGTAAGCTTGCTGGTAAGCTTGCAGGCAAGATTGCAGGCAAGATTGTTAGCTTGCCTGCAAGCTTGCTGGTGAGCAGGCCTGCAAGCTTGCCCTGACTTACATATTTGAAACCTTGCAAGCATGCTTACAAGCTTGTTTACAGCAAGCTTGTAAGCATGCTTGCAGGCAAGTATGCAAGCAAGCTTGAAGGCAAAATGCAAGCTTGCAGACAATAATAATTAACAATAATAATCTTATATAACGCTAAATAATTAATTACAGGTAAAACAAAAACGAGATTGCAGGCAAGCCTAATGGGAGCTTATAATTACAGTAGTCTTATGGCCACTGCAATATGCTGCCTGGTTATGGCAATAATTATGTTCTGTCTGTTTTCTCAAAATGTATAGTATCCACTGAGTTGACACTTCAACAGGTTAGTGTTACATTGTATGCACCCAACTTATTTTGTTGCTTCAAACGAAAACAATACACAACCAGCAAATGATCTGACCATGCATGATCTGACATACCTTGAATGTATTACTTTAAATACACATGACACATGTACACAATAATCTATCACTTGAAAATAAAATAAACCAAAACAAATCATTACCACAAATACAGCACAATTCCAATCATGCATGGTACTCAACAACACGGATACACTTGTATGGATGGAGCAGGCGCTGCACAAAGACAATTACACACGTGCAACCATCGAGCCAAGCACAACCACATGGGGATCTGGAAATGGCATAACAAATAAAAACCAGGGGGAAAAAAGGGTTATTTCTTTGAACCTTGATTTAATTTGGTGAAAGTTAGTTTTGGGATTGACAGGTCAACAAACGCATTGTATTTGATTATCTCATCTCTGACCAAATTACGGAGAAAGTCCAATATTTGTGACACATTCATGGGGCTAAATATAAGCCAATTAACGTCGTAGGACTGTGAACCAGTCCCTCATTTTTTCAGCTCTTGTGCCAGCACTTTCTCTGTTCAGTGCCATGCGGAGGTATAGATTTACACAATGACATGCACACATGAGATAATGTTACCATCTCCAACCAAGCAAACGTCCTAGCTAACGACATTGCCTGAACCGGTGACCCGAGTTCGACCCGGCCGTGCCAATCATTTTAATATTGTTTTTTTCTTCCCACTTTCCCAAAAGTATGAGTTTTCTTCCTTTATTGTTTTAAATTGAATGGTCCACTAGGGCCTACTCTCGACTCAAATGTAGAACAATAACGTAAATGTTGTGCACTTTCTTGTGATTTGCGCAATCAAAGAAATGATTGTGCAACTGGATCCTTGCACAATCTTCGAAAAAAATTCTTCCAAATTGAGCGCACATTCTTAAGAATGCGTAACAAGAGAAGCGATCTTTTCGATGCCGAGCACCGGCTGCGCTTGGAGAGTCTAGCTGCATCCTTGTTCACTGATTCTTGGGCAGTACTTAGCTGGAGTTACCCAGCCCTAAATTGTATCATTGGGTTGTCATTTAACCCAATAATAAAATTTAGGGCTGGGCAACTCCAGCTAGGCAGAACTTAAATAATTATACCGTTGCAATGCACGGTCACTAGGGAAAAGTTGTAACGCTGAAAAGTAGAGAGATGAAAGTAATAATAAACACATATTGGGGAGAAATCATAAAAGAGACATAATAATTGATAGTGTACTGGAAAGAATTATGATTTTTGGGATAACAAAAGTAGGGGGGGGGGGGGAATGGCGCTGTTTCGCGTTGAAGAACTGCCATGACTGCCAGCTGGTTTTATTGACTTGTAACTTGTCTAGACTAAACAAAGCACTTCCCAGACTAGTTTCCAGTCCTCAATTATTACAAAACTCCCTATGGGGGGCAGAAAAAAGCATTAATAACAGCATTAATTTATGTCAAATTATAATATCGTAATTAAACAAGTACAGAAGCTACTCCTAGAACTATGAGGCTCTACGTGGAGCCTCATAGTTCTAGGAGTATACAGAAGCATCTAATGATCATGATGATCATTTTCTTTTCTCGATATAGGCCTATGAACATTTTCCCCTAACCCCTAAAACATTAAAAGGCCTAACATAAAAAATTATGCAGTGCAACGTTTATTAAGATTGCGCAAAATTCGTAAATTGCGCACGTAATATTTCCACGCAATCTTAAAGAATGAGCGCTCATTCTTAAAATTTGAGTGATCATTCTTAGAATGTGCGCTCGTTCTTAAGAATGCGCGCCCATTCTTAAGATTACGCAAATTGCAAGAAAGTGCACAACAGAAACATGGTAGGGCCTAAACATGGTAAATCAGTAGCTGGAGTTACCCAGCCCTGAGTTTTATCATTGGGTTGTCTATAAGGGCTGGAGCGAATTTTTCTCGTAACTTGTAGTATTTGCAAAAAAATTTGGAAAATGTTCAATTCTGTCCCCGTTACACACTAATTGCAACTGCAACTCACCCCAAACTTGCCTGGAATAACCATTACACAGGTCCTTGAAGTAAAAAACAATCCACGATGAAGATTCAGCCTACAATTGCAGTGAAAACAGGAGGAATAACCGCTAACTTGACAACCTTGCTGGATTGGCCAGGACCGCCATTGGTTTGTGCACAAAAAAAATTGTGTACAATGAATGGCGGTCGATTAACAGGCACAGAGAGAGCGATCGCTGTCAACTACTCGTTTTTGCCGGCTGCGCTGGCTGATGGCGCGTGACGTCACGCGGAAGCGTAACACCCGATGACTGTTTTATGCACTAATATGAGGTTTACCACTCGCATCACAGCTTTGGTACTGGAACCGCAACCAATAGTGCATGAAACAGTCATCGGGTCATACGCTTCCGCGTGACGTCATGCGCCAACAGCCAGCGCAGCCGGCAAAACGAGTAGTTGACAGCGATCGCTCTCTCTGTGCCTGTTAATCGACCGCCATTCATTGTACACAATTTTTTTTGTGCACAAACGAATGGCGGTCCTGGTCAATCCAGCAAGGTTGTCAAGTTAGCGGTTATTCCTCCTGTTTTCACTGCAATTGTAGGCTGAATCTTCATCGTGGATCGTTTTTTACTTCAAGGACCTGTGTAATGGTTATTCCAGGCAAGTTTGGGGTGAGTTGCAGTTGCAATTAGTGTGTAACGGGGACAGAATTGAACATTTTCCAAAAATTTTTGCACATACTACAAGTTACGAGAAAAATTCGCTCCAGCCCTTATAGACAACCCAATGATAAAACTCAGGGCTGGGTAACTCCAGCTAGTAAATCAGGAATCTTTCGACATGGCCCTTCCGTACCTGCACGCGGATAACTCACAATCCACACGTCATCTTTTCTTACAGGGAAGGTGGCCACATCTTCCATCTTTCCTCTGCAAAACGGGGGTAACCTTACCCCGTCTACGACATAATACTGCATGATATCGTACTCATCGTCTATTGCCAACTTAGTGGGCGATTCGGGAGACGAAATCTGCGCCATCTTGTTTAGCGCTATGGCGGTTTTTCAAACCATGGCTTCGCATCATGCAAGCCGGATCAGATCTTCTCAGGGTTCAGACTCTTTTTAAAGCCTTTAAAGCTCGAACCACACAGAAATACTGTACATTTGAGCCTCATTAAATACCACAAAGGGACCTATTAATTTCCTTAATTTGTGGGAAACTGTGGCCTAAAACAAATCCAACTGAAGCCAAACTACATAGCAAGCCGAAGTTTTGAAAAATTCTTTATGAAGCTTAGGTTTGAGGGCGCCCTTCTGCCCGAGCGGTACAAAAATAGACATGATAGAGGAGCGTGACTGTCCTCACGTTGACAAGGGACATCATGATCAGCAGTTTCTTCTTTAGTTGTGCATAAATTTACATCTGGATTGATGATAGCCCAAAAGCCAGTTAAAAAAGGGTTAGGGTATCATTATGTTGAATAAAATAAATTATTATACGTTGAATGAAATAAATAATCTTCCCATGCATGCGCATTACATGGAATTTAAGGCATTATTGTAATGTAACTCGGGAACTAGGAGACGCCAGCCTGGATTTATGTCTGGCCTCACTGCACTGTAGCATGTTTGAACCTTTGAGGGGATTTGGAGATTTTTTTTATTTTTTGATCCAAAATTGACCTTTTTGGTGATGGCGAAGTTTTCAGATTTGGGGGCAAATGGTAAAAATCTTCCTACTTGGATTTCTCTCAGCTCACAAACTGGTTGTAGTGTATGGTGTTCTATAAAAGACACTTATCTGTTATCGTCGTGCGTGTGGAGCGCTCCGTCGTGTTTGTGAGCAGAGCGTCGTGCGTGTGGGGAGCTCCATCGTGCCTGTGAGGAGGTCCGTCGTGTTTGTGGAGAGGTCCGTCGTGTTTGTGAGCAGAGCGTCGTGCGTGTGGGGAGCTCTGTCGTGCCTGTGAGGAGGTCTGTCGTGTTTGTGGAGAGGTCCGTCGTGTTTGTGAGCAGAGCGTCGTGCGTGTGGGGAGCTCCGTCGTGCCTGTGAGGAGGTCCGTCGTAGTGACCACGAGGAAGGGATAGTGTGTAATTAGCTTAAGTTTGAAATTGTGCATGATTAAGAAGTTTGACGCGAAGACTACAGTAGTTTGCAGGTATCTCAGATGCTTTTCTTGGCTTATTTTATTTGAGTAATAACGCATGCACAAAAGGTTTACTCATGCCGGTATTTGAAACGATTACTCAAATTTCGATCACATAAACAAGTTAGGAGAGTGCGTCATTATTTACTACTCCGATTAGAGCAAACATTTTAACTACAAAATTTTATCAATTTCAAACATAACATTGGGCAAATTAAGACAAGAACAAAATTAGAGGGCCTTAATTGTTTCGGTCATTAGCAGGACCTTTCTCAACGGCAAAACATTTGAGCAAGTTCTGAGAAAAATCGGAAGAGATTAGGCCTAATCATTGTTTTCTCGCATCCTGTATTTTCAAGTCGAAAAACTTGTTAATATGAATACAGGATTCAGGATTGTTTTTTTTTCGCATGGTACTTACATTCATTCAATTAGGAAAACGTAGTTGAGCATTTCACTCATGTAATTTATACTTTGCATAACATTTTTGCAGTCCTGTGATTTGCTGATATTTTCTTTAAATAGCTGCATAAACCCAAAGGTCAGATTATTTCAACAAATTTAAAACGGCAGCCAACTTTTCATTAAAAATAAGGCACAGTATGAGTGTATGATCACTAGCAAAGAAAATTCGCAAATGTAAAAGTAAAAACTAACATTTGTAGTGTACACATTTTGCATAATGGTCAATTTCTCGAAATTGAACACAAAATTGAATGTTTACCCTAACGTTACAACGTTACAAGCTTCTGATGACATCTCACATGCCATAGTCAAAAACAAAAATGGGATGAATTTGTTTTCTAGACACTAGTTTAAGGAGTTTCTACGAGACAGATAATAGTGTAATACGTCACTCCTTTTGCTCAATCTAAACAAATCAATGAAAACTTCATAATCCATAACCATTTAATTTTTAACAAAAGTGTTTTCATAGGTAAGATACATCCTTGTATCAATATGCATTGATTTGTTCTCATTGAAAAATATTACACACTGTAGTATAGGTAACCCAATCTTTTAATCTTTCGTCTGCCATCTCATCCGTCGCGTCTTAGACTTTTCCCGTGAATTCGGAGAGTCTTAACGATCCTTTCTTGGCATCACACGAACAAAGACATTTTGTGGCTCCAGCATTGTCATCTTCCCGAACGTCAGAGGAATCTACATGAAAAGGAGGAAAAAAAGGTACCGGTAAGTCATATGTTGTTTTAGATCATGAGACAATTATTGTTTACAAACTTGAATGCAGTGTTCGCGTGATGACGTCTTTACCAAACCCTTTTATTTGATACTGCCCTTTTTTAGTTAAAACATACAGCTGTATTTGGTTTTAAGAAGCACATCGCACTGAACACTAAGACGAGAGATGAGGGGGTGGAATTTGGATGGCTGCCGGAACCGCATAGGAATAAAAATTATATGTGGGCCCTTCTCCCGTGAACAGTCTCTTTTTCAACGACTGATACGTCTTGAACTGTATCAATTAACGCCAGACAGGCAACAATTGCTACCAATTGCCGTCTGGTACCACTGCCAATTGCTTTAATATCGTCATCGTGACTTCGTAGTCATGAGATGGGGATCAACATTAAGAAATGTAAGTTCGGAGTAAAAAAAAAATCAGGCTTTTGACCCCAGTGACCTCATGATGACCACTGACCCCAGTTTGGTCATGTGACATGTTGCAGCTGGGCTACTGATACTTTTGACAAAGTTTGGTTGAAATCGGTCAAGGAGCAATATAGCTAATGTCAACTAAACTATAACTAACTAACTAACGGAGAGACATGATGATGAGCTGCTACCCGCTGCTAAAAAAGGCCTCGAATCTGTAAGCAAATTTACCGGAAAATACTTTTTGAAAGTAATGAGTGAACACTGAGTTGCGAGTAATGGCCAAGAGTTGTAGACCACAATAATGATGTTCTCAAAGCAGTACAATGTTCAAGACGTGAGAAATGAGTCATTTTCCAGTTAGCAAATTTGCTGACAAGCTATTTGGTATTTTAGGAAAGCATATCCTAACTTACCGGCGTTTCAGGGCATGCCTCGAAGCGGTATTTCTGGAAGACGCGGGTCATGAAGACCTTTGCCAGGAGCATGACGAATTTGACGGCGATGCAGATACGCGGACCGGCGCCGAAGACAATCCAACCCAGAGGGTGAACGGAGTCCTTATTCTGGGGGCTGAACCTGAAAATTTAGAAACGGGGAATAGTTTCATTCAGAAACTTCTGAAATCTCCTTATTTTGTGCCTAGACCGATTTTTTTTTTATAAAACTGAATTCTGGAGTTCTGTACACATAGCTACATGTAAAAGTACACGTGCTTATATGAAAATATGTTTTCACCGGCTGACGTAATCCTACGTTGCCCTATGGCATCATGTAGTGTACAGTGTTATTTAATAATTGTTGACTGCTGTGATTTAGGGTTTTCAAAACATATAGCATCCGAGGTGAACGCTATGCGCCCGGAGGGGCGTTAAAAAACACCAAATCCCACATCACAACAGCCAACAATTGTTTTGTCATACAGGGTGAGTCAAAACATATGGAACCCAAACCCCAAACATTATATTTCATATTTAAAAAAATGTGTAGCACCAAACATAATAATGACTGGAAAGCCAATTTCATAAGCTACTTTTAGATGAAAATATTCCTGAAATTGCCCAATCCGTTCAAAGAGTATCACCATTTAAACACAAGAACCCTAAAACCTCTTTCGTCCAAAAATGCGATTTCAAGAATCGTCGTCACGATTGTCTTTAAACATCACCAGCGATAAAATCTCAGTTTAAAAGATAAAAATACTCAACAAAGTCCTTTTGAAGGCCCGTCTTTAAAAAAAAAGGTGGATTTTATAAATTATAGTTATTGTTTGCCTAACCAGGGTTGTTAATAAAGATATTGTGTACTACAGTTGTTGAAACAACTATTCTGAGTCATTTTCTTTGTTGTTCCAAACAGTCGGAATACACACTAAACTGCTTGTTTGGACGAAACAGGTTTGAGGGTCATTGCGTTTATGGTGATATTCTTTAAACGGATTGAGCAATTTCAGTTATTTTTTTTTACCTAAAAGTACCTTATGAAATTGGCTTTCCAGTCATTATTGTGTTTGGTGCTACATACTTTTTTTAAAATATGAAATATATTTTTTGGGGTTTGGGTTCCACTATTTTTACTCACCCTGTATCTTGCTTATTGGTCAGGCGATGCCTATGATTTGCTCCCCCCACTCTCCACCCCGACACAAAACCTGGATACGCTGCTGCCCAAAACCCAGTTTGCTACTTCATTGTTTCATATTTTTCTTCGGTTTCCGTACCTTTCCGGATCAAACTTCTCTGGATCTGCCCAGATTTCTTCATCATGTTGAATGGGATAAAACGGGATGTTGACCAGAAGGCCTTTCTTCAGGGTGTACTTGCCATAGGTTACAGTCTCTGCGCAGACACGGTCAGCTCTAGCGACAATAAAAAATAATCAGAAAAACAAATTATATTGAAAATTGTATATCTAAGCTCTGGCAGGAGCTTCTACGGTCACTTCCTTGTCGGTCGGTCGGTTGGTCGGTCGGTCGGTCGGTCGGTCGGTCGGTAGATCTGTCCCCGGAAAATTGACCAAAAACGGGCCCCCTACGTTTCCCATTAAATACAACTACCAAACTTTAATTTAAAGAAAAAAAGCAAACAAAAGAAATGAAATACTTCACAAAAAATTGTTTGTAAAAATTCGTAAAGTTGTTTTTCAAAATAACGTCGCAATAAAGGCAGGCACTGCGTACACCACCATCTTTTCCTCAAACGATTTGGTTAAAGTGGTCAGAAATTGACTCAGATCGCACCACAGAGCATCTAGAATCAGAAAACCATCTCGTAATTGTTGGGACCCAAAATTTGGATTAAATCCTACTGCCTCTGAAAAATGGCAAGGGACTCACAGTAAGGTTGGTGGGTACATGCGGAAGCACTCCTGTATCACCATTTCTAGGTACGTCATTTTGCTCATGGTCTCGTAGGTTATGTCGGCGGGTGTCGGTGCAAGCCTGTCGATCTCTTCAATCATCTTGTCCTGTACTTCGGGACTCAGTGCGAGCTGATAGGTGGCGCACAGCAGGAATGTCGACGTTGCCTCGTTACCGCCAGACAGTAAGAGAACATTCTGTCGACAATGGCAAAAAAAGTCCCACCAGTGCATTGAATCTTTTTTTAAAGGCATGATTTAAAGGTGAATCCAAAGGATTAGTCAATCGACTGATTTTTGGAAATAAGGACAAATGCTTTCTGGTTAAAAAGGTTGTGCATGGTAATGCACAGTTGTCTCGAAAAAATGTAACACATGTATATCCACTGGGCTGAAATGTCAACAGGTTAGGTTTGGAACAATCTTCTTTGGATTTTGAGCGGCGTTATTATTGAAAACGAACAAAATGCATTGCATTCAAGAGTGCAAAGGGAAGAAGAAAATTTGCTTGCGTTATTAAACAGGAGATTTTTGGCATGATTCTTTGAGGATCGTACAAAAAATAAATTTAGAGCGGAATTGTTTTAGGAAAGTTAGCATTTTGTGGATTATGCTGGTGTTGCCGTTTGTTTTTGTCCAATATCAGTTTATCTGCATTTGTTTGATGCAAACTCTTACATACATTTTACATAGCGGCAAGGTGAATTTGACTGGATAAGTACAAACGAATCTCAGACGAATCTTTAACTGCAGACGAATCTCATCCTGCTAATGGCTTTTCCAGATGATGAGACACAAATATAGATCACTCAAGGGACGGACTAAGCGATCAAATCACTCATTATATAATACTGCGATTATATATTTGAATGGGAGTTTTAAATAACTGTGATGTTTGTGTGTCGTCTAACTCAAGTAAATTGTGTTTTAATTAATGTTTCTGTTATATAAATTATATTTGGTATTTGGCGTGTCTTAACTTTTTAAATCAGTGTATTTTAAATGTTTAATTCTTAACCATCGGGATTTTTTTTTTTTTGCGAGCAATCAAGACAAATTCTACTGTACTGTATTTTATGCATTATTATGTAGCAATAATGTCACAATGATCTTGGGAGAAGAAAACTTTGCATTATCCAAATGAGCAGCCCATTGACACAATTTGTAATTGAAGTCGGTTCATTGAACATTTACCGCGCAGAGGAACTCGTTGTAGGTAAGTTTCTTCGGTTTACCGGCAGCCTCATTGGCCAGATCTTCTTCAGTCGGAACATCTCCTGGAAACTCTGTGTTCTTCTGGTACATTTCATTCATGGTAACATACTGTAAGATAGAGGAACAAATAATAAAAGTCAGACCCTATGTGTTCTATGATACAAAAATATGCAGATGACACCTCACTGATTAGTCATAACAATGAGACTGGATATACAGGAACGAAATTGTTAAGTTCTGTAATTCAAATTGTGACTGAGTACAGGGTGAGTAAAACAAAAAAGAAAACTTTTTTGTGTGTGAAGCTTTCTTTTAGTGAAGTTTTCTTTAAGTGAACTTTTCCAGTTATGGAATTTTGAACACAAACACCGTTTTTTTAACCTTGTCCACGGATCACAATAAAGGTGATATTTCAGCAAAATGAAAACTATTTACACACCAAAAAAACCCATATCACTGCAGAACACCTTCATAACCATGATAACTGGCACTTATCATAACATTTATTTAAAAACCTGCTGCTTCCAATGTTAAAATATCATGCTTTACAATGTCAAGGGTTTAAAGACTTGCCCTGCCTTCTACTTGGCTACCATGGAGACCTATGGGATTATTGTGATATAATTTTCAGGATACGACATGGTTCATTTGTACTGAAATATCACGTACATCAAATGTGATCCGTGGACAAGGTTAAAACGGTGTTTGTGTTCAAAATTCCATAACTAGGAAAAGTACATGAGCGATTTGAATGATTCTTTAACCAAAACAAAGCTTGTCAATTGGGCTTTCATATCCTAGATTTGGAAAACGCTACATGCAGCAATTCTTTTTTAGGTGACAGTAAAGTTCTGGTCACTTTGAAGCTTTGCTCAGAGAACGTTATATATCTCGCATACCGACAGTGAGAACTCCCCTCAATACATTATCTCAGACGCGTATACTGAAGAGATGATGTCGTCTTATGACATCGTCAGTGTGGCTTTCCGTGACTTTGTTTTGTCAAGTAACTAACAGTCACTTCGGCATCAATTTGGTCATCATTGTTAGTTTTTTTTGGGGGGGGGGGGTTACCTACCCCTGCGGCACCCTCGCGCCGCTGTCGTATCTGGACTCCTCCTTGAAAGGAATCCTCTATGATTTGCTTGAAGAAGTTCACCGCGTCTTTAGGGATAATGTTGGACCCCATCATTTCGAAAAGTGGTCCCAGTATTGGAAAGATTACTGTAAATAGAGAAGAAGGAAAAACACCAATTATTGGCGAGTTATTAAAGGAAATAACTAATTTTGGAATATGTTCCAATAATTATGTCGTCCGACCGCTTTGGATTTATCTAATATATGAGTAAAGACACTGAGAGGTTTTAGATTTAGATTTAGATTTAGATTTAGATGTCTTTATTGTCATGCTCAAAATTAGATGAAATTGACTTCCCAGTGTACAATTAAAAAGTAGGTATACATACAATAATTTAAAATACACCCAAAAATATGACAAAGCCAGAAATATATTACTACATGTAGGCCCTATATACACAAAAACACAATTACGACTATACAATCATGAAAACTATTGGAGCAGTAAAGTAGGATTTCAGGCCGAGGGTTGATTAGGGAAGGAAATGAGGAAATAGGACCGGGACAGGATGGAAACAGTTGGGTCATGTATAGGGTAGGGTAGGATTGAGGGTAAAGGGGGGGGGGTGAGAAGGGAAAGGGGGGGGGGGAGCCTGATAAGGGAAACATTGGAACAGGGTAGGGTAGTGTAGGGAGGAGCAGGGCTGAGAATAGGTATAGCAAAACATAGTTAAATAGCTAAAAGCCACTTATCTGTAGGGCATTTGAAAGAAATAAAAACACAACAGGTGTAGGGATAAAACTATCTGGCGAAAATTGAGTAAAAATCTGAATAGCCCATGGTAAAAATGAAGATTTGAACCTCTTTGTTTTGAGACTAGGTTGACGTACTTAGTCTACAATATTAATTGGCTACTTGCAATTACATGTATACACACGTTTCTATGGGAAGCAGTGCAGCCGGCTGTAGCCACTTCACATTGACGTGTGTGTAATTGCAAGCCGTATCAAAGTAGTTCAGACACGGCTTACCAAGTTTTGTGTCTGTAGTCTGCACGGTTCCTATGAAAAACTAATACTTACTTGGGATCAACGTGACCATGGATGGTTGGAATGCTTTCTCCACCTTGGTCACGAAAGGATGGTCAAGATTGGCCTGACACTGGACATCCAGACCGTAGATAATAGCCATGATGGTTTGGATGAAGAAGCCCAGGTAATTCCTGGGAATACAGACAGAAATGGTAAGTGAAACATTACAGGGCACAAAAATGCATTGTAAACCAATTAGCTTTTTTTTTGCTTTTTGCTGTTTTCTTTTTATTTTTGTTTGCCAAAAAGAGTTCATCTCAGCAAAAAAACCCCTGTTTTTAAATAAGACGTTAAAAAGTTGAGTAGTGGATTATCTAAACTAACTGCATGAGAAAAATGCTTTGGTTTTATTGGTTGAAGAATTGGTCCATCCAAGGAACTAGATAACTTGTTCTGTTCTTGGAAGAGACCCGCACTTACTTCTTTGTGTTGAGCGGTTTGTTTTCGGCGTGAGACTTTCCCATGTTGTCCAGAAGAGGGCCGCAACAATCGCTGAATATTTCCACCATCTGAGTATAAGTCCAGAAAGGTAGCAAAATAATTAAGTATGACACCATTCCATAGTGATTATGGTGTATGTCTTGTACGCCAACCAGTTTGTCCGACTGGAATCTAGTTGCACCAATCCAAAATATCCTTTCTATCGAACGTTTCTATTGGGCAACAACGGTGGGTTGTATACCTTTCGACTAAACACATCGCTCAATAGATCGTTTGTACTGCTGCCATCTTTGAGGTGTGTGCTTTTGCTCACCAGGGATATACTCTTGTGCAGTCGTTGTAAGTGCATTGACTTAGCAAAACACACCCCTAAGATGTCTGCTGAATGCATTTTAAAAAAAAATGATCTACTACATATTAAACTTTTTCCCCATAGATGTTGGCAGATTGTCGACCATATTACTTGAAGTTGCACTCGCAGTAGGTACAACCTCTGTACCTGAACATGCGTGTAATTAGGCATAAATAATAATAATAGGGCCTAATCATATATAATGTGTATTTACAAAGTGCACGTATCCACCTAGGTTTACCTGTCTGAGCTTGCTTGTTGTGAATGCTGGTGTGATGATGGCACGGACGTCTTTCCATCGTCGGCCTTTCATGTAAAGCAAAGTACCATTCAGTGGGAAACCGGCAGCAGGAATGTCCTGTTATGGGTCAACAGAGTTAAATGACCAACAGATGTATTGCAGTATACATTCTATATGCAGTATACATTCTATATGCAGTATGCAAAGAAATAAATACATTAAAAAAAACCCTCTTTCATCTCGTACTAATTTTGTACGATTTTCAGTTGGATATCTAGGCCCTATATTAGGCTTAACGAGTGGTTCGGGAACTACAGGACGGGTTAGGTATTTATATTGTACGATATTCATTTGGATATGTAGGCTTTATTTTAGGCTTACCCAGTGGTTCGGGAACTACGGGACGGGTTAGGTATTTGTATGATATTCAGTTGGATACCTAGGCCCCATTAGGCTTACCCAGTGGAACGGGAACTACAGGACGGATAATAATAAATAATAATAATAATGTAAATTTCTATAGCGCCGAATCCATTAAAAAAATGCTCCATGGCGCTTTACAATCAAACTATTTACTAAAAGGAATATATATTAAATTTAAAAATGTGATTAGGTATTTGTACGATATTCAGTTGGATATCTAGGCCTGTACCCAGTGATTCGGGAACTACAGGACAGGTTATATCTGTCTGATATTCAGTTGGATATCTAGGCCCTATCAGGCTTACCCAGTGGTTCGGGAACTACAGGTTGGGTATTTGTACGATACTCATTTGGATATCTCGGCCCTATATTAGGCTTACCTAGTGGTTCGGGAACAACACTGGTCAAAGGTATTTGTACGATATTCAGTTTGATATAAAGGCCTTATCTTACCCAGTGGTTTAGAAACTAAGGTACAGGTTAGATATCTGTCGGATTCAGTTGGATATCTAGTCCCTAATTTAGGCTTATCCAGTGGCTCGGGAACTACAGGACAGGTTAGATATTGAAAGGATATTCATTTGTTTATCTAGGCCCTATTAATCTTACTCATTGGTTCGGGAACATGACGGGTTGGATATTTGAATGATATTCAGTTGGATATCTAGAGGTTCAATTAAGGTTTAACCTGTGATTCGGAAACTATACGACATGTTGGATAATTTTGAGCAATATTCAGTTTGTTATTTGGGCCCAATTAATCTTACCCAGTGGTTCGGAAACTTGTTGAAATCGGTCACCAGAACCCTTTTCGCGATGTCAATATCCGACACAAAGAGAATCGGGTATTGGAATTTGTATATTCTGCAAGGAGAAGAAAAGTCCAGTTTAATACTGCACGTCTCACTCCTTCAACAATTAAGCTTCAACACATTCTTTGGTTTTATTTTCTACTTCATCTTAGTACTTACAGGCCTTTGGATTCCAGAGAGATTCTAATGCCTTTGCTTTTGAGCAATGCCAAAAATAGCGGGATCAAAATAACCGAGGACAATGCTTTGTGTTTCTTGTTGTCCTTGTAAGCACATAACCGTTCGATCGAGGACCGTTTTCAACAAAAGACCAAACGCTCGAAGACTGAAAGGATCTCTTTGTTTTCCCTTTGTGTTGTCTGTCCTCTATCACAAAGCCATACATGTGTATTCTGTCTCGTTCGAGTTACATTTAGGATCAGGTCTATATGGAAGTAGATTCTTCGCAGAACGAATGGGAACAAAATTAATCTTACCCAACTACTTTTCCATATTTTATGACGCATTCCTCGGCATAGAGGTTGTTGCCTTTCTGAAAGGAGTATATAGTTTTGTTTTAATTTAAATTCATCAATCGATAAATATGAAACCAAATTAATGTGGATATCATCAACATTAAATTTTGTTGCTGTTTGTTTGGGCATCCAAATGCTGCATGTGACGTCATCAAACCAAAAGTGAAATGCCCATCAATGCATGCAAACACACGCTCATGTAATTCGAAGAAAAATATTTTCTTTTCGATGTCTTTGGTCAAAACTGATCAACTTGGACTATTAAAACCGGGATTGACATTGTCATTCATAACTGAACTGAAACACCGTACAACACTGTCGTCGCACCCCCATCACTCTGCGCTTGTCACAAAAACAAACGCCATATACGTCTAGTTTTCTTCTTTTCCCCCCTCCTACCCTTAACTTACTATGCGTATTTATTAAAAACGTATGCCGTGTGCTAATCAATTTGTTTAACTTACCCTCAACCAGTCGATGGCATTGCCCACGATAGGGTAGTATGGGACCACAGGAATTCCCGCCCTTTGGAAAAACTGATGGCACCACCAGTCATAGCTGCATGTGAAAAAAATGTGTTGAGCATGGGATCAACACAAACCACTGTAGTCTGTATAATTACTGGTAATGGTCAAGTAAGTTCCATATCTAAAATAAAGACAAGTAAATTAAAGGCATATATATGATCATTTGCGTTTCATGCATTTTGTTCGTTCCCAATAACACATTGAAGTTTCAGCTCAGTGCACATTAATCCTGTTCGAGAAAACTGAAAAACCATGCACAATCTTTTGATCAAGAAACACAAATTCGTTTAAAGCACTCTTTATTTCCAAAAATCTGTCAGTTGACAGATAGTTGGAAATCACCTACATTTCTTGATTTCTTCTAAATGATAGCTAAAGCCAGATGGAATAATTTCACGGGGTGTTTAGTACCAGTGCGATGTTTAATCCAAGTCTTTTTGGTAACAATTCGGTAGGCTACTTTTGGGATAAATTGCAAAGGATCACATATATGCCGAAGTTGCCATGGATAAGCAAAAAAATATCAAACAGGATTAAAACAAATCGGTTAACAATTTAAATCTTCGGAAACTCATTTAAAATTCAAAAGCTTAAAAAACTCTTACGCCAAAAAGATGAGGATGGCACCAATTGCGAGGGTCCAAGTCACGGAAAAAGAATCACCGAATATCCACAACGCCATTTTGATTCGAAACGGTGTACGACGTCTCCTGTGTGCTGGATCTGTATCAGACACTGCACTGACTGACATGAAGCGAAGACATTCGTGAACGGACATTGCCCAAGGTGGATATTTCTATCCCTAAGAGTTAATGTTTGTTCTATTTTTATCGATACTTTATCGCAAAAAGTGCGCCGGTGTCAACTTTGGAGCATCGAGGTCACCTCAGTGGGGAGGCAAATCTTTGTCCGACGAAATGTTGTATCTTGCTGTACTGTAAAAAAAAAACATGTCCGTAAAAAGTTTGTAATGTCAAAAATAGTTTTTAATTTTGTATCTTTTTTCACAGTTTGTGTACTTTGTACTGCTTAATGTCAATTACATGGGGAAAAATGAAATTGTACACGATCGAACTCCCTCAAGTTGAACTTTTTTTTCTTCTTGTGTGTGTGCTGAAGTATTTGTGTATAAAGGTTATCCTGTACTACTGAGGACTTGGGACAATGGGGGTGTGTGCGACAACAATGGGCCCAAACAAAAGGGACATGAAGGGGCCGGTCCGAATGAGTAAAACACGACTGATTGCGTCTGCTAGATTGTGGGCTGCATGCACCCCCCCTCTCGTCAGCACAATCATTCTGCACGGATCTGGGTAAAACCTATCAAACACACGCAAACGCAGAATTGTTTACGTTACATACGTAGTGTGGACATTCCTTTGTTTTCGTGTAGTTAAGAACAGCCTGTGGAAAAAAAAGAAGTTTGCGCACACTGTGAAAACTCTTTCAACCCAATGTTGTTTCTTTGATTCCCTTTAGTGTTTCTCTTCATTTTGCCACTGATAAAAACTAACCAAAAAATGTCCTCTAAACCTGTGTTCCAGAGAGGGGGAAACACTGTGTGGACGTGGGCAAGTCCACGCAACGTCGCTGCTACCTGGTTTATGTGGGCCTCTTTTGTTAGGAAGTCCACACAGTGAATGAAATGCTTGTTCACGCAAAGCTGTGAATCACCTGTTTTAAAACGTATTGTTTGAACCCTATCGACGTTGAGGCCTTGGAGGGCATGACACAATTAATGCTCCCCTAAGTACGCCAGTGGTTTTACTGTTTGTCTCTACGGTTTTTTTGCAGGATGATGGTCCTGGCGTCCCAACTACCAGGAATTCTCAGTTATACTTCAGACAGTGTGGGATCTAAACACATCAGACCCTCTGTTTATGTTTTGTGCAATCAAAAATCATTTAAGGTGTTAATAAGCAAAGGATTTTCGACATGGCAATAGAAATCATTACTACTGGCTCTGGATTTTGAATTGAATTAATGTCAAGTGCTGGTCGTTATCTTAGGCAGTGCAGTTGGATAAACAAAAACTGCTCTGGGCCCTTTGAACATTGATAAAAGTTGGAAATTCGAATTGTCCAGAACCCTCACATTATCAGATTTAGTTCTTTTTCACACTACGTTTGCTACGCCTGATGACTGAATATTTGTGTTTGCCTGGGATACTGGAACATTAATTTGTACAGTGCACGGATAAAAAATTGGGGACCTTTGATGGGGGACTTGATCTTTGAACAGGGTATGATTACACGGGTACCACAGTGAACCGAAAAGGTCAAAATAGTTTAACTTTACACACTTCACTCCATTAAATTGAAGTCGACGATTCAATGTCTGCTGCTCGTTTAAAAAAGGGGCCGTATCATTAGTCCGACGCCTCATAGGTTCGACGCCTCATCGGACTTATGAGGCGTCGGACTTATGAGGCATAATATTTATTTATTCCGCCTCATGGATCCGACGCCTCATAAGTCCGACGTCGGAAAACAAGGCGTTTAATTTGTCGGACCTACGAGGTGTCGGAGCTATGAAGCGTCGGACCTATGAGGCGTCGGACTTATGGGCCTTTATTTGGTTAGGGGATGCGATTTTGTCGGAAGGCTTATATATCGCACATATGAGGCGTCAGACTTATGACCGGACCCCGCCCAGAACATGAGAACAGTTCACTAAAAAAAATGGGTAAATAGCCAATGTTATTTGCCCAATATGTTGGCCAGAATTTGCCCAAGAGTGTAGGCGATTGGAATATATATATGCTGACCGGCATTATTATAAAACTAACAACCCATTCGCCCAACATTTTGTAAAACTAAGTCGGTTACTTCAACCAACAAGTACCAACAGCAGCCTTTCTTGGCTTAAACATTCCCACAAACGCAGCATGATAAGCGTAAATTAACCCTAAAAGAGCCGGGTTATTTTGACCACCTCTCAGAAGGGGGGGGGGGGGGTCGGACTTATGGGCCTTTATTTGGTTAGGGGATGCGATTTTGTCGGAAGGCTTATATATCGCACATGTGAGGCGTCAGACTTATGACCGGACCCCGCCCAGAACATGAGAACAGTTCACTAAAAAAAATGGGTAAATAGCCAATGTTATTTGCCCAATATGTTGGCCAGAATTTGCCCAAGAGTGTAGGCGATTGGTATATATATATATGCTGACCGGCATTATTATAAAACTAACAACCCATTCGCCCAACATTTTGTAAAACTAAGTCGGTTACTTCAACCAACAAGTACCAACAGCAGCCTTTCTTGGCTTAAACATTCCCACAAACGCAGCATGATAAGCGTAAATTAACCCTAAAAGAGCCGGGTTATTTTGACCACCTCTCAGAAGGGGGGGGGGGGGGTCGGTACATGCATAGAACAACTCATCAAGAACATACCCAAGAAATTTCATGACTATAGGTCAAAGGGTTTTGGAATTATGGCTAATATTATGCATATGTCAGAATTGTAATTGTGCTCTGTGTACACGACGTATAGGGGAAAGTTTTGTGTGTGTGTATCTGGTATCAAAAGATGCGCAAGGCTCGAGGCTAAAAAGTCAGCTAAAACAGCTCGGGTCGCGAAAAAAAAAATCAAGGCTATCGCGGAAAAAGTTGAGGTGGGGGGGGGGGGCAGGGAGTCGCCCCAGCCCTTTTAGTAAGCCTACGATGAAGCCAGAAGCACGTGTGCTACCTCTGACTGGTAAATATTCAGACTGCTGCGTCGTTTCTTAGACTGTAATTTAAGAAAATCACGTGACCATCTGCTGGATTTTGGTGAAAACTTTACATCAAAAACGCCAAGCCCTTTTGGAGATATGTTAAGGGTCTCAGGCAAAGTCGTCTGTTTCAACACTCAACACTGCTAATGGTATTGCTACAACTCCCATTGACAAAGCGAATGCCTTAAATAGCCATTTTCAGTCCATTTTTACAAAGGAAAACTGTGACATTATCCCAAGCCTTGACAGTCTAAAGTTTCAGCAAATATCTTCTTTTAATATTACAACTGCGAGCATCAAAAAGCTGTTGAGAGAGTTAAAACCACAGAAAGCACCAGGCCCCGATGGCATCTTTCCAACGATTCAGAAGGAATGTGCTGACAGTGTTGCTCCACTCATACAACGAATTTTTCCAGAAGTCCATCATACCGGGGAATTACCAGGCGACTGGCTTATGGCTAACGTCTCACCTATCGTCAAAAAAGGAAACCGTTCAGATCCATCAAACTAGGCTACCCTTGGTTCAGACAGGCGTGCTAGAGTCGCGCCGATGCAAATTAAAGGCAAGATTAAAAAAATTAAGTACATTAGTCCGTAGGTTAAAGGGGGTCCTAGTGCACTCCCCCAAACCCACCGCCACCGTGGGTTGCCATGGAAACCAACTATAGAGGGCGCTACTGTCAAACAAAATATATATACTTGTACATGTTTATTTTGAAATTTTTCCGAAAAGTTGCTCATCATTAACGTTACAGCTTATTTCTCGTCTTGAAAAGCCATCGGCCAAATCATAAAACAGAAGTTAAGTTATGATTGTCCAACTTCTGTTGAGCTGGTAGGTCTTGGCAAATTGAAAATTATTTACATTTTTAATAAGTTAAACAACGTCCTGCTGAATCAAGGTTCTGTTATTCTTAGCCTTTGGGTTGGTAGGTGTCAGGTCCATCTTCCAGATACATGGCCATACCTTTACCAATCTTGCTGAATCGTCATGGAAACCGTCTACAGAGCCTGACTCTGTACCCAGATGAATATAATAACATATATACATTTTTTCAATAAGTAGAGATTTTGTGAGTTTTTAGTTTAAGTGGCAGTTAAATAAAAGGAAAATTCAAAACTTTAAAACACAAATGGGGTAAAATATTGAAATTACTTTATAACCTGGGAAGATCTGAACAAACAATACCTTGTTCGGAAGCTTGTGATGATGCCAACAAGCTGGCAAAAGGACAGGTCCTGAAACCAAGTAGTTGCGGAGAAAATTTAAGATATAGCGCATCAATGCCAGTAGTACCCCTATGTGCAGTCAGTCTATACAGCAATGCCTGCAAGCGCCCGCAACACGAACTTCGTGTATCGCGGTCTAAAGGTACCTTAACTTGAGAAGTTCTGCACAAACTATACCTTGTTCGGAAGCTTGTGATGAGGCCAACAAGCTGGCAAAAGGACAGGTCTTGAAACTCACTGGTTGCGGAGAAAATACAAGATATAGCGCATCAATGCCAGTAGTACCCCTATGTGCAGTCAGTCTAACAGCAATGCCTGCAAGCGCCCGCGACACGAACTTCGTCTATCGCGGTCTAAAGGTACCTTAACCTGGGAAGTTCTGCACAAACTATACCTTGTTCGGAAACTTGTGATGAGGCCCACAGCTGGCAAAAGGACAGGTCTTGAAACCCAGTGGTTGCGGAGAAAATTTAAGATATATCGCATCAATGCCAGTAGTACCCCTATGTGCAGTCAGTCTTACAGCAATGCCTGCAAGCGCCCGCGACACGAACTTCGTCTATCGCGGTCTAAAGGTATCTTAACCTGAGAAGTTCTGCACAAACTATACCTTGTTCGGAAGCTTGTGATGAGGCCAACAAGCTGGCAAAAGGACAGGTTTTGAAACCCAGTAATTGCAGAGAAAATTTAAGATATAGCGCATCAATGCCAGTAGTACCCCTATGTGCAGT